CACTTGCTGCAGATACTTTTTTTTTTTTTTTTATTTTTACATCGGGTTTAAGGTGCTGCTGTACGTTTCAATGTTCCTACCTGTTTTATGCTATGTTATATATGCTTGGTCGCCTGTGAGCCATAAAACATAAAAACAAAAAGACAGACAGGTAGGAAATAAATGGTAATCTAATAGTGGTGGTATATCTCCATATAGATGTATAGATTTTATTTTATTTTTTTAAAGAAGAAGAAGAAGAAGAGCATCGCATCGCTTTGTAATGGTATATATATATATATATATATATATGTTTACCCTTTTTTTCTTTTTTTTACAAGACAATTGTTATGCAGGAATAACGCAAAAAGGCATGATCTTATGTTTAGATGGAAATCGAAAAAAAAATCCTTGAGAGTGCGCCACGCGCCCACAACACACACTTGAGCTAAAACAAAAGCAGGTGGTGGATGTCGTTATTATTAATGAAGTAAGAGGAGCAAGGGGAGGTAGGGGGGGGGGGGGGGAGAAGGAGAGTAGTCAAGTTTCTTTTCTCTCTCTCTGTGTCTCTCTGCCTCTCTCTTTCTCTCCCTGTCTCTCTATATGTTTCTCTATTTATTTCTCTCTACTCTCTTTTTTTTTTTTTTTTTTTTTTTTTTCCTTCTGTTGAATCCTTCCATGCTCACTATTTTTATTATTATTATTATTATCATTATATATTCTCCTCTTTGCTCCTCTTACTCAATGAAAGGGCAAAGAAGAGAAAAGAAATAGGGATATGTCCAGCCTGCATGGAGCCTATGCATTGCATATTGGTAGAAGGCAAGGCACAGACATAGTTTAAAATGACATGCATGGCAACGCATCAAAATATATAAAGAGACCACAGGAATAAAGAAATGAGAGAGAGAGAGAGAGAGAGAGAGAGAGGCAGAGAGAGAGATGGGGTGTGTGTGGAGAGGAGGACCAATCGAAACCGTGCGACTGCCTTCAGGACCAGACTAAAAGGGAAAAATAAATTTAAGGTTTGGTGGCGTGGCCTGTGCGCAGTTGTTGACCTTTTGAATTGGACAGAGTATTTTAAGAAGACTAATATATATATATACCTAATATATATAAACGTATACATTTATACATATCTTTCAAACATATCCGATATATCTTTTTTGTAATTGTTGTTTTTGTTGCACAGACAAAAAAAAAACCCCCAACTGTAATAAATAAATAAATAAATAAATAAAAATTGTCAGTTACAAGCAAGCAGCACAAAAAAAAAAAAAAAAAAAAATATTTGTAAATGTGTAAATGTTTATCAATTCTGTAGAAAACAGTGATAACAGTAACAACAGCAGTAAAAAAAGTGAGGGAGAGAGATTAGTAAATCGACCGACCATCTTTTTAAATGTCGGAAAAAAATAATAATAAATATATATATATATATATAAAAAACAAGGAGAGCATTGTCCACTGGATAAGTGACGATAGGGGTTTGACCAAGGAAAAAATAAGGAAAAGAGATAGAGGTATTTCCTTAACTTCTTTGATTTTCTAGTTGGGTGTGTGTACATCGACGCAGAGCAGCTGACTGACTCTTTTGTTGACCCTATTTTGATAACGCGAAGTAAGGAGCACCACCATCTACCTTCAAAGTCGGCTGTATGAAGTTCATGTAGGGGCTCGAGCAGGTTTTTTTTTTTTTTTTTTGGGTGCAAATAAAATAAACCCGTGATGTCTTTGTATGTATATATGTTATACGGTACATGTTGATTGTGTCAAAGCAATGCTTTTATATACTATCGACATGACATTTAGATGAACAGCGGATGACATTGAGCATTAGTTGCACAACATAAAACAAGGAGTCAGGGAGCCTCCTTTTTATATTTATTATTTATTATTTTTTATTTTTTTGTTCGTGTCTATGGATATTTTTTCATGTACAAAGTGTTTGGGGAAAGTGGGCTCTCAATGATATAGATTCTTGTTGTACGTGTTGCCACAAGAGCCATGATGGATGGTGGATGGGATGAGAACGTGGAATGATTTTCTCTTCCATCAACCTTTCACACCACAGGTCGTCGTCCACATGTTCACACTGCTCTACATGAAAATAAAAAAATAAAAAATAAAAAAAACAAACAAAGAGGTCGCGGCGTTGTTCACAAAAGTCATTGGGTTACAGATAACTTGAGCAATGTGTGTATGTTTTTTTTTTTTTTTTTTTTTAGGCATTGGGATACACATAAAAATAATGCAGAAAAAAAAAAAAAGTCTTTACATCTACATCGGCGATTTAAGGTTATTTCCTCCCCTCTGCATTAAAGCATTAGACTTCCTTAAAAAGAGACAAAATGGAATACATAATGGTTCAAGTGAACAAACAGATGTGGGTATATGCTTGCTTGAAGTATGGGCCCTTGAAAAAAAAAAAAAAAAAAAAAGTTAAAAAATTAATTGGCTAATATGTACAATTTGCAAATCCAGGCTAGAGTTGATCCAAACAAATGGATTAGCAATCGGATCGGGGAAAAAGGATGGGGGAGGCAAGGACCAACTGTTGTTTGGTGTTACTTGATGATAAAAGAGAAAGAAAAAAAAAAAAAAAAATTTCAAGGAGTGTGTGCATTGTACAACCATGGTCATGATTTGATGGAAATATACAGATTCAGTACGTACAGAGCCAAAGAAAAAAAAAAAAAAAAAAAAAAAAGTTCATTTAGAAAGTTGGGGAAAGCGGAATCGATTTTCTGAATGCGAGCTTATAATCGAATGGCCGTTCTACTATACTTTGGATGTGGCCTTCTGTACAACCGTACAACTGTACGACCCAAAAAGTTTCATTAAGATTAAGAATAAGAAAAAAAAGAAAAAAAAAAAAAAAAAAAAAAAAAGAGAGCAATGAGATTTAAGGAGGCCAAGGTGTATGTGGAATGTGGTGGCAATCGGGTTAATCGCCTTTTTGGCTCACATATTTCTAAACAGAATGCTTGTTGATCCATTCTCTTCAAAGAAAAAACGGGAGCAACAATTTGGATCTCGCCACTTGATACAATTAATCCACAATTTATCGGTCTTTTAAGAAGGAATTTTATTAGCGAATTGCATTGATGTGATGGCAATCTGTACCTGCATGGAAAACATGTAAAAAAAAAAAAATAGTATTGGAGTACAAAACTAAAAGGGGACAGGCAGAGGGAACGGGACATGGACATTGGCCGGTCAGGGAGAATTTTTTTTTTTTTTTTGGCATTGTACCACACTAGAGCTGTGGGTCCAGTTCATCATCTGTAGTAGAATATCCAAAGTCATGCATGCCATGCAGATGCTTATTTCCTGTGTTTTTGTTTGTTTGTCCCGTCCATCTAAATAGATACACTTTGTTCTTTGTTCGGCAAAAGGATTTTTTGTTGTCTCTTATTTGTTTCAATAACCGCATTGCCGAAAAAAAGACTACATGTAAGTAGGCTCAAGAGATGAGAGTTATACATGTTTAGTAAACAGTAAGGGAGCAGCGAGGGGGGCAGGGGACGATCAACATCCTCGATGTAACTTTGCATTATACGCGCATTGGTTTAAACGTAAAAAGGTCGTCCCAAAAATGCTTCCGTGCAGATTTTTTATGCAAACACACATAGCATTTTCTTTTCCTTCCTTTCCTTTCCTTTATTTTATTCCGCGGCAGAATTGGAATGTGTACATGAGTTACAAAAGAAAACTAAATCTTATTTTAGAGAGAGAGAGAGAAATGATAACGTCCTTTGTTTGAAGCTCAGGCCGAAGGTTCGTCTTAAGGGATTCGTGCTGAAGCTTACATGTATTTTTTGGTCCAGAGTATTGGAGTGTGGGAGTTTCCTTTGAATAGAACTTTCATAGTCTCCATGACTTTTGTGAACTTTGTGATCTCTTTCCTCTCCTCTCAGCAACCTTATCTGCCCCCTTGTCCCCTTCCTACTTTACAGCGGCGTGATAATTTACATGAGCATGTGCATGTACATGTTACATGTACACCAACTATGCAGAACGCGTTTTTCTATGCTGTCCTTTTCATTGTCACTGATTGGATTGGTGGATAAACATTACATCCACTAAATTTGTTTCCACTTTTCCGCCCCCTTCCCCCTACATCAAAATGGATAGAAGTTTTCCATTTTAAGCCTAATGTGTTGATCTATAAAGTTAATCTTTGAGTTTTATACCAACATGAATGGAGCAAAAAACTTCATTCACAAACCCAAGAGACCCTAGAAAAAAAGAAAAAAAAAAAAAAAAAAGTTTCTAAAGCTGCAGGGTGACAAGATGTATTTGCTGATATTAGATAGTTAGTAATAGTTGATAATGATAACCTATAGTACTCAAAGTTAACCTATGGTCACGTATATTTTTTCTTTCCTGCCTTTCTTTCTTGGTACTATTTAATTTTTTCTACCGTTCAAATATTCAAGCGCAGCATTCCCTTCAAGTGCTTTTTTTTTTTTTTTTTTTCAACTCGCAAATCGACTTCTTTAATGCATGTTCAAAACACCACCGGTGTTTCTTACCTGGACTCAATTCTGGAAACCTACTCGTTGCAAACCGCTTATTCAAGCATGAGGGCTCAAGTGAGTGACAAAGATCCTCCCCTCTCTCTCATGATGAGGAGAGCCATGAGAAATTCTTTAGGCCCCATCTACGGGACTCTCTCTTGCTCAATTTAGATGAACAGGATGGAAGAAAAGGCAAGGAGGAAAAGATTACATAGAAGAGACAAAACGGAGAGAAGAAAGCAGAAAGTATCATTACCACAGACGAAGTGGGCAACCCGTTGGAACGACGCTTTTAAGACACAAATCCGAGTTTAGACTTTTTTTTATTGGGAAATCTTCCTACACTTTGACTTTTTATTTTACAACGCTGCAATACTTTATGGTCCTTACAGTTATGTTATTATGATCACTAAGCTCGTTCACCATAATTAGTAAAAATGGATGCGCATCGCAAGATTCATATTCAAGGACCATGTTCTTCATTCAAGGCTAGGGCTGGCAATAGATTTATTTACTTCTTCAGTCTAGTTGTCAATATTTATACCGTGCGCCTTAAGTAAATCAGAACCCAAATTATGGCCATCCTCATTTTGCTCAGTGTTCATGTTGCATCGAATGAGTCTGATGTTTGGCCAATTGTTCACGATCCATGTCGCATCCTCAAGTTGCATTCGATAGCGACCGCTATCTACGAACTCGAGCCGACTCAGTCTCTTCAGGTTGGCTAGCTCATCTAGACCTGCTCTTAGCCTCAAGTCCAGTGTCCTTCCTCCATCATTCCTTGGGCTCCACCGCGTTAAGTTAAGATGTTGTAGTTGGGTCAATTTCCCTAGTTGTCTGAACACAATCCGTGACCTTGCCATGCCTTCTGCGGTCTCTTGATCAACGTCTGCCTCAAGATAGAGAACCAAGTGGCCCAGTTCAGTGCTCACCTATTCTGCTCTATTGGCAATCTCTGTCACTGTTATTAAAAGTCCCGTCAGGCGCTTCAGTCGTGGGCAATTTGATAAAATAGCTTGAGCAATGCCACGACTATACCCCCTGAGCACCAAATCCTCAACTGTCTCGCAGAGCCTCCGCAGCCTCGCTTTTTGTACCATCTGTCCATTATCCTGCATACTTTGCTTGTCCGCTAGTAATTCCTTCAGGGAAAGCTGGCCGAACTCACAAGCTGGAACATTTAACCGTTTTAATTCAGCCATCTGTTTGAGAAGTACTGCCATATCCTCATCTTCTATGTTCAAGTAAGGAATAGATAAATCAGATAAACTTGCTAGCGTCCAGGGATGCTGAAGGAAAGCCGCCCTGTAGAAGCCACTGTGGGCTGGTTGTTCATCTTCCGTAAGCTCGGCGCCGTCGAGAAATTCCAGCGCACACAATCCTGGGCATCTCCTGACTAACATGCCGAAGCAATATGATGACGTGCACGGATGTGGAGGGTTGATTATCTTGACATCTTTCATATTTAGTGTGCGAATGTTTGGGAAAAAGTATCCGCTGGCCTCATTACTCAGGAAGTTGGTAGGTAGCTGGTTTATGAATATCCTATCCAGGCGCAGGTGCCTAACTTTCTTGCAGAGCAGAAAGAACAGGTCAGTTGCCTCATAGAAGTGTATCCGAGACAATTCTAAACGCTCGAGATTAGCGCATCCTAGCACTGCCTCCCAAAGCTCTTGTGAAGATAAAGGATTACCCAAGTAAAGCTTGGTGATGGTGGAATTGTGTGCCTTGATGAAGTTGCAAAACCCAGTTGGCTTTTGCTCCAATGCTCTTATGTATCTGATGTACTGGAGGCGAGTGCATCCCTGCAACGACTCATACTCCTTTGGGAAATCGCCTGCAAATAGAATTTCTTCAATGTACTTCTTGTTGTTCTGCAGTGCTTCGCCAATGGGGTATCTGAATTTGGATTTCACAAGGAGTTTGACAGTGATTGACTTCCATATGAATCTGATAAGTGCACTTTGAAAAGTCCTCGAGACACGGATACAGGCCAGAAGGTCTTTTCTACTGAGGGAGCTGCCAACGAGTGAGATGATTTCTGGAATATCCAAGGGATTCAACTTGATGTTGCCCATCTGCAGAGAGAGATGATGATGCTGATGGAGATGGGATGTATGAAGACACAGATTACGTGGTAGCGTCACCACCAATCACGAACTTTAACTATGTCATATGCGAAATATAAGCAAGAGTATGAGTATGCCACTATTTTGCGAGGAGAATCCTGAAGGCGTTAGAGTTGGCAAATGTTTTGAGATACGACTGCTTTGTTGAATGTTGCATTTTAGTTAATGGGTTCCGTATTAATTTCAAGTTCTATGAATACCAGACTGTGTGCACAAAAAAAAAAAAAAAAAAAAAAAAAAAAAAGCAAATACGAAGTTTCCGACATAATGTAAGATCAGTATATCAAAAATAAGTCAGAACAATTGGATATCAGGTAAACTACTGACCGCCTCTGTCATCTTATCGACTTGTTTATTCAGGTCGCTCGCTGGGTTGTTCGTCCTTTTCCAGTCCACAGAAAGGATGAAAAAAATGCGTTGGTAAAGAGCTACTCCGTCAATTTGCCAGACCAACACCGCTTGGCAATCATGGGGCGGTGATATGAAACGCTCTCATGACTGTTACGTCCCGAGGAATCACTTGCTTCATTATCCTATTTTCTTTCTTCGCACATCGTACATTAACGGCGGCAAGGATAAATCTGAAATTTGGTCTACGTGCTCCTTAGTATTTACCTTGCATAAAGCTGATGGAGAAAATAAATGGATTCAAGGATAAAGCTCTTCGTTGGACATCTCATTAAAGCATTTATGATTAGAAAGGAAAATGAGCTCTCCAATGTTGTTTTTGGATTGGGAGGAGAAAAAAAAAACCCCCCCCAACGACCTGATCGTTTCTCTCTGGGACCAAGCCCAAATTAACCTAAAGACCATTTGTAAAAGATTAATCCTCTAACTGACTTTATTTACCCATACCCTTCACTTTTGTGCTTCTGTTTCAGTTTTTGCGTGGTATCAAAATATTGAACATCTACCACGATGCGCGACACAAACGACGAGCACATCCCCTGGTGAGGGTAACCGTTAAAAATTGATTACATGACTTATGGTCCTTGCCTGGTAAGCATTAATTGGCGTCAATTACGTCTTTTATATTTTTATTACAGCTCCACTAAGCTGAACTCTTCGTCCGGTTTCGGTTTCCTAAACGGATAACCGAGAAAGCACTGTCAGAAGTCAAATCAAAATTCCTTAAATTCCTTTCTTTCCGTTTTTCCTCATACAGTTACATTCCAAAGCACCAGGCTCTTTAACAAAGATGTAGTCGTTCATGGATTAGGTAAGGTCTTCATGTATGCTGCATATGAGTTGTTTCCCCTAATTATTAAACAAAAAAAAAAAAAAAAAAAAAAAAAATCATTCATTACTTTTTTTCAGGCGCATCAATCGTCCTCTCTCACAGAAATGAATTGAGATGTACACTTGGCTAAACATTCATTATTTGGATAAGAGTGAATATAAATACATGTAGATGAGGCGTTCCTGAGCTAAATAACCACAATCGAAGCATTGTGTACAAAGAAGTATATACTTGATATGTAAAAGCCTCCTGATATTCATTACTTATGAAGCTATGTATATCCTAGTTGTTTTAGTTTCTAATGCTTCTTTATGACGATGACTGCCCTTATCACTATCATCACCATCCTATCGAGCAAATGTGCATTGGAAGGCAGACACCATCCACGAATAGATGTTGCATCTCTTTGCTTCCTCAGTTTATCTGCTAATCTTTATATTGTGCCGCTTACGTAAGTTATACACCAACTCGCCATTCCAGTACTCGATTCTTGGCCAATTGTTCACAATCCATGTCACTTCCTCGAAATCAATTTCCTGGCGATCATCATTGTTGAACGATAGTTCACGCAGCCTCTTCAGGTTAGCTAGCTCATCTAGACCAGTTCTTAGTCTCAAATCCAGCGTCCGCGTTCTACTATTGCTTGAGTACCACTCTGTTAGTTTAAGAAACCGTAGTTGAGTCAATTTTCCAAGTTGCTTAAAGACACTACGTGTTTTCTCTATGCCATCGGGAGTCTCTTGATCAATGTCTACCTCCAGATAAACAGTCAATTCGGTCAATCCAGTGCTCACCCATTCTGCTCCATTGGCAATCTCCGTCATGGTGATTTTAGGTCCCACAAACTTCTTCAGGCGTGGACAATTGGATAAAATAGCTTGAGCAATCCCATCCACATCGGTACCGCGCACATTGAACACCAATCTTTCAACAGTCTCACAAAGCTTCTGCGGCCTTGTCTTCCATACCATTTGTCCATTATCAAAAGTCTCTTGCTTCTCAGATAGTAATACCTGCAGAGAGAGCTGACCGAGCTCACAGCGAGGGATGTCTAACCGTTTTAACCCAGGCATCCGTCTGAGGAATCTCGCCGTGCTCTCGTCTTTTAACTGCGCGTTAATCAAAATCAGCTCTGACAAGTTATCCTGAGTCCAGGGATGCTGAAGGAATGCTTCCTTGTAGAAACTATCGCTGCTTTGCACATATCGGGATTCCAGTACACGCAATCCTGAACATCTTCTGAGCAAGGCCCCAAAGTAATATGCTGATCTGTACGAGTCATGGCTGAATATTCGGATGTTCTTAAGACTTAGTGTGTGAATATTCGAGAGATTATAATCACTGTCCTCATTACTAAGGAAGCTGGCAGGTAGCCGGTTTAAGGATAGTCCATTCAAGTACAAGTACTTAATTTTCTTGCACACTTGGAGGAATACATCGATTTCGTCGTCTATATCTACGGAAGATACTTCTAGATGCTCGAGGTTGGTACATCCCAGCAATGTCTCCCAGAGTTCACGCGATGTTTCAGCATCGTACAAGCAAAGTTTGGTGATGGTAGAGCTGTGGTTCTTGAGGAGGGGTTTCAAATCGTCATTCGGCTCGTGCCCCCATCCTTCGAATGCGATGAACTGGAGGCGATCACATCCCTGCAATGACCAATACTCGTATGGAATGTCAAAACATTTCATTAGGTCTGCAAAATTATCACTTCGAAATGTTATCGCTTCAATGTATTTCTTGTGTTTCTGTAGTGTTTCGCCAGTAGGATATACGGAATCAGGTACGACGACACGGATGTCTTTCCATATACGCCTGATAAGGGTGCTATGAAAAGTCTTGGAGACGCGGATGCAGTTCAGGAGGTCATTTCGCTCGAGAAAGTCACCAAGAAGCAAGATGATTTCTGGGAGTTCCAAAGGATTCACTTTTAGATTGTTCATGTTGTAAAGATTGTAGAGAGAAGATGTTGTTGATGAACCTGTTCCCACAGTTGGCATTCATTTGTTTTTGTTTTTGTTGTACACGTCGCACACTCTTTGATCACAGCCAAGGTTTTGACATTGTTCCTTGTCCACTCTTTGGTGAATGTCCTTTCTTCGTCCAAAAGTCCCATCAATACACTGTCAAACTGCGCGAGAGTGTAGGAATCTCGAAGTGTACAACCTGCCTCACGTCTAACTTGCTGATTGGACAACATGAGTGTAAAGACTAGACCCTCTTACATGCTGAGCAAGGACAGCTGCTTGGAATAGGTCATGTGAGACGGCGAAAGACAAACGAAGGGTGTATGTAGAAATATAGAAAGTGAAGCTTCCTGTCGATGTGATAAATATAAACATCACTAACGGACAGATTAAAAAACATTGTTTTGTCGTTGCGTTTGCTACACGTTATACCTATAATACACAGACTAAAAGCTTTGGCAGAGTAATTTTCAGAGTTTGATAGTTTGTGCAAGCAGAGTCATCAAATAGCCGATCTGTCCACTCGGCCAATCTCCTCTGTCCTCTCACCAACTGGGCTTCCTCATTATTCAGAGGATCCTCAACACTTGGCTCCAACGGCAACGATGGAACCTAGGAACTGCATGATGAGTTTTCGCTTTCCAAATGAAGGAGATTGTCGAAAAGAAATATGGCTCAACGGAACGACGAAGCCTCGATTGCCGCTTGCCACTCCGAAGGGGGAGAACTTTGTGAAAGGAGGTTATCGTGTGTCTTCTGGAAACAGGCCACGCATGTGGTGCCAAACCATGTCCATTTGAAAGAATTGATCTCTGTCAGAGCCATAGCCCTCTCGTCATTGGCAAGAGAGTAATGTGGTGTTCGTGGCACCCTTCCATGGACTTAATAATGCGGCCTTTCTCTTGGTCTCCCAATAGCAATCTCTTTCTGCCTGCCGTACTTGGACTCCGTGTTCTTGACAACCAGAATAGTTCTGATTTTGTTCTTATGCATCTTCATCCGAGGACTATGTCTTGATAGGTGTTAAATGTATGGGGTGCTAACAAGCTCCTTTGTGAAGACGTAGACTAGTTGCAGAGCTGGACTAATGCTGGGTTTCGCTCCTGACGCAGCTAGGCTGCTGTGGCAAGGGGGCCATCGTCTCACTACCAACAATATTTTAGACATTATAAAAGGTCGAGATCATTTTGGGCACTCAAGCCGAATGCAGCAGGGCTGGCGATATTGAATGAGAACGGCTGCGGTAGTAAAGACTATATAACGACAACGAAGACAACAAGCCTTTTGTTGGTGTTCTGACTCTACCGAAGGATGCTCTTTGAGATAGCGGATGAGACGGCCGGATCAAGCAGACGGAGGTGCAAAAGTCATTAGAGCAACTCAAGCTGATTAGTAGCGTCCATGTTAGAGAACAACGCGCCTTATCTAAAGCGGCCGCAGAAGCACAAGCATCAGAGGCATCCAGCAGCCACCATTTCCATAAGTCTGGCCAAGATATATAATCAACCATGGCTGAATTATGTCAGGAACATATGAGTAACGAGAATGAATGAAATTACGATCCAATCGTTGAATGAAAAAGGTAAAAATCTTAACTGTAGTAAAGACCCATATGAAATGACTACTAATCGGAATAATGACAACGGAAACTCAAGCTAACGGAGGCAATGATGATGACGATGAAGAAAAAGGTGCTTTCCCTCGTAGACGAGGACGGTGAAGAAGAAACCGCAGCAGAGCATATCCCGCAACCAACAGTCGAGGGTCCTGATGATGGGGGCGATGAGTACGAGATCGACGAATGCCTGGCAGATGAGGAAACGCTAGAGTGCAGCGAGAGGCAGATCCGTCGACTGCGTATCGCCAGCATTAGTTTTTCATCCGTTCGCCACCAAGAAGGAGTACCGCGATTTGACCCCATGTCGCCTTACTTGCGCCAATACTTGACATCGTTTAGCCGCCTCTTGCATCTATCAGATTTTACAGACCCCAACGACAACTTCCTCACAAGCCGCTGTGGGCTCTTCCTGTAGCCTGCAGCCCCGTTAAATGCACTATACAAGGCTCTGGGAACAACCGCAGCCAACCGATTCAGCATCATTAAATACTTGGGCAAAATGTTCACCAGTGCAAGTAAGATCAACTACTTATAGAACAAAGAAGTAACCAAACCATTTCCAAACGAGTATGGCTTTTATATTCTGCACAGCCATCTGATTGTCAATTTAGATTGATTATATTGATCGCTTTACACTTGATAAGGGATACCGACACGGTGTCAGTGGATGGTAGGAGACAGCAATCACTCCGGAACCCTATATTTGTGTAAGGAGTATCCATGGTTCGTATGCGAAGCACTGAAGGTGGCTACATTTCTGCAATGACCCATATTCCTTTGGGATTCGGTTCTATGAGGATTGAGCTCCTTCAAAGTATTTATTGTTACTCTGCAGTGCATCTCTAGTAGTATATTGATATATGGATTCGTCAGAGGCTGTTATGATCCTAAGAGCGATTCTTCTCCATCGGAACCTGATGAGTACACTATGATAAGTTTTTGAAACGGTGGTATTTACAAAGTCATTTCGATTGAGGAAGCCACCAACGAGTGGGATGGTTTCTAATTTGTCACCTTTTATTTCTATCACCAGTCTCATCCAATTGACTGTCATTTTCTCCTTTTGCAGAATTTGCTCTCATGCTGTATAGAGTGTTTGGTATGCCTTAATAAAACCGATGACATTTCTTTATTCATATCTTCCACAGCTGGATGAAGCTCTAGTAGGGTTCGTGACGAAATAAAAGGGTTGATATGATACTTATGTGCAACAGTAACGCGTTACTCTATGTCCAATATATAAAAGCATTATAGACTTGGACAAGCACAAGGTACAGGTAAACTTAATGATGATGATCCTGCACTTAAGACCCTCGACTGAGATATTGTGCAGAAATATCTTCACGAGGTGCAAAAGCAGATCAAGTTATTCTTTTAGTTGAGAACCTATATGCATTTTACAGTGTATATGACTATTGCCTCTACTACATGTCCAAGGTTCCTTCCTTCCATACCAGGCTATGAATAGGCAATGCACTCACTCCTTTACTTCCTCAGTCTTTTTGCCCAATATATATATTGTGCGGCGCAAGTAAATCACATATCAACTTGCCATTCCAGTACTTGATTCTTGGCCAATTGTCCACGATCCATGTTGCTTCCTCAAGATATATTTCTTGGCGATGACGGTCGTTGAACGTTAGCCCATGCAGCCACTTCAGGTTGGCTAGCTCATCTAGACCAGTTCTTAGTCTCAAATCCAGCGCCCGCGTTTCGCTATCATTTGAGTCCCGCTTTGTTAACTTAAGAGACCGTAGTTGAGTCAATTTCCCAAGTTGCTTAAAGACACTACGTGTCTTCTCCATGCCCTCAGTAGTCTCTTGATCAATGTCTACCTCCAGATAAACAGTCAATTCGGTCAGTCCAGTGCACACCCATTCTGCTCCATTGGCAATCTCTGTCATGGTGATTTTAGGTCCCACAAACTTCTTCAGGAGTGGACAAATGGATAAAATAGCTTGAGCAATCCCATCCACATCGTCACCGCGCACATTGAACACCAATCTTTCAACAGTCTCACAAAGCTTCTGCGGCCTTGTCTTCCATACCATTTGTCCATTATCAAAAGCCTCTTGCTTCTCAGATAGTAATTCCTGCAGAGACAGCTGACCGAGTTCACAATAAGGGATGTCTAGCCGTTTTAATCCAGACATCCGTCTGAGGAATCTCGCCGTGTTCTCGTCTTTTAACTGCGCGTCAAGCAAAATCAGCTCTGACAAGTTATCCTGAGTCCAGGGATGCTGAAGGAATGCTTCCTTGTAGAAACTTTCGCCGTCTCCCTCATTTCGGGATTCAAATGATTCGTAGATATCAAGAAGTTCCAGTACACGCAATCCTGGACATCTTCTGACCAACGTCCCAAGGCAATATGCTAATGTGTACGGGTGCTGCCTTAATATTCGGATGTCCCCAAGACTTAGTGTGTGCATATTCGAGAGATTATAATCACTGTCCTCAACACTAAGGAAGCTGACAGGTAGCCGGCCTAAGGATCCTCCATTCAAGTGCAAGTACTTAATTTTCTTGCACACTTGGAGGAATACATCGATTTCGTCGTCTATATCTTCGTAAGATACTTCTAGATGCTCGAGGTTGGTACATCCCAGCAATGTCTCCCAGAGTTCACGCGATGTTTCAGCATCGTCCAAGCAAAGTCTGGTGATGGTAGAGTTGTGGTTCTTGAGAAGGAGGTTCAAATGTCTATTCGGCTCGTAATACCTCCATCCTTCGAATGCGATGAACTGGAGGCGATCACATCCCTGCAATGACCAATACTCGTCTGGAATGTCAACACTTTGCATAAATCTAATACTCTCGTATGGTTGATCATCACTTCGAAATCTTATCGCTTCAATGTATTTCTTGTGTTTCTGTAGTGTTTCGCCAATAGGATATTTCCTTTTAGATTCGTAATGGTATTCGTCGACAAGGATGTTTTTCCATATACGCCTGATGAAGGTGCTATGAAAGCTCTTGGAGACGCGGATGCAGTTCAGGAGGTCATTTCGCTCGAGAAAGTCACCAAGAAGCAAGATGATTTCTGGGAGCTCGAAAGGATTCAATTTTGGATTGTTCATGTTGTAAAGATTGTAGAGAGAGGATCTTGTTGATGAACCTGTTCCCACAGCTGGCATTCATTTTTTTTTTTTTTTTTTTTTTTTGTTTTTGTTGTACACGTCGCACACTCTTTGATCACAGCCAAGGTTTTGACATTGCTCCTTGTCCACTCTTTGGTGAATGTTCTTTCTTCATCCAAAAGTCCCATCAATATACTGTCGACTGTCGAACTGTGCGAGAGTGTAGGAATCTCGAAGTGTATAACCTGCCTCACGTCTAACTTGCTGATTGAACGACATGAGTGTAAAGACCCTCTACATGCTGAGCAAGGATAGGTGCTTGGGATAGGTCGTGTGAGACAGCGAAAGACAAACGAAGGGTGAATGTAGAAATATAGAAAGTGAAGCATTCTGTTGATGTGATAAATGGATTGCATGTTCCAACCCGGAATCAATACGCTAAAAGACTTAACATTGGAAATTAGTGGCAATAACGCGCCATACTCATTAATGCGATAAAATCTATGATGTGAGGTTTTAGAACGGACTGATGTCATCTTATAGATCTTATAGATAGATACGTAGTTATCTGGTACAGGTGCCTCTACCAGAAAATGAGTTAATACCCCATGGGTGTGGTATGTGGACCCATATCTTATTCTCGCCGACCTTCGTATTCACATGTCTACAAAATATTTTCAGTAGTAAACGTTTTGTAATACAAATGATGGTGTCCTTGTCACAATGTCACTAGGGCCCTACTATCATGAGCCTTCATTCAAGACCCAATCTGTTTCTTACTACTTCATCTTGCCCCGATTCTCTAGAGCCGTGGCCGGTTCTAGTAGGAAATAGGTAAAAAAGGAATGAAGAACTCTCTGAAGAAGCGCAAGAGACTACCAAGCAACACAAAAAGACGTGGATTTTTGTAGATAATGGCAAAACAAGTCATTTGAGGGCAATTTCCTGTTGAATCTGATTCAAAATGATGTGTCAATTTAATCCCCACAAGTCAATCCCCACAAAGACGAAATGTAGACTACAGAATGAACAGTCACAATGATTAAAGAATAAAGATCTCTCCGAGTCGATTTTTTTTTTTTTCTTAAACTGCTGTGGGTGGCTGAATAGCGTTTGCTTGGAAACAATACGGCTGTGACAAAGAAATTTGATCCAGCAATAAATCATCTGCAAGCGGGTAAAGTCCGCGCAAGTGTAAAGTTCCCTTAGTGGGGGCGCCAGTCAGTTCATTTTGCTGGCGAGATTTTTGGCTACCAGCAATAATTCTCTGTTCTTTCGGGATCAGATTGAAAGCGGCCTCTGACACACAGCTTCTATAAGTCCAATACGCTGTAGGTTCGCCTTTATGGGCGAGCTGAAACTCAATGCGGATTATTGGCCTACCACAGCAGCCCCCCCCCTCCTTCTTTTTTTTCGTTAACTGAAACATTATGCACTCTAGTCTATACTGTGCATTCTTGATTGGGCAGGGACCACGCGTCAATACTTTAGTTCTTTACTTGTTGGGCTAATTTCACGAGGAAAAAAAAAGGGTTGTGAGTAAAAAAAGAGGCTGGAGGAAATGGAGATTTTTTCTTTCTTTCTTTCTTTCTCTTTCTCCATCTCTCCGTCACCTTTGTACATACATTTGTAAATAGCAACCATCACGAAAGAAAAAAAAGAAAGAAAGAGATAATGCTCGCACCACATAGTTGGATTCTTGAAGCCTTCGCCTTCATCCCAGGACGTATCTCCAAAATCCGGGATTGGGATCCTACCGACATGTTTAACAATCTTCTTTGGGCCTTTATATCCAACCTGCATGAGTTTCAGCAGCGTTTCCAATTATCTGATGCCCACATTATGTCCTTGGGCGTATTAGTCCTTGTTCTGCCAATGATCTTGCTGTTCCTCATCTTTAGTGTAATAAAAGGTGTAGGAACACAAACTGGAACTGGAACTGGAACAACAGCGAGAGCCATCCCCTCGGGCAACAGCAACAACATTAACGCATCGAAAGCAGCTTCAAAAGATGCTCCAGAAACCAGTAAGTCTTCTTCAATTAATTAAGCTTCTGTTTCTTAAAAAAGCTTGCAGATGTGTTCAAAATCACGCTGCAATAATAGAAAGATTTATATATTTATAAATCCTGGCGTGTCTTTTGGAACGCTTTTTTGATTAAAGGTATTGATCATCGGGATCAAGTAGAAGCTACGTCCATCTCCACGTCTACATTGAAATTTGATGGAAATAGCAGCGAGAAACGTTCTTGGGGTACAATGCTTGGATCCACGGGTTTTTATGGAGGAGAAATATTGAACTACAAGCGCATTGATATCTATGGTAAATTATAATATGTCACAAATTCTTTCCTCTACATCAGTTCACACTCACGCATACACAATTCAGGCAAAAGCCTCTTAATTTTCTAATCGTTTTGCTTTTTTGTTTTTTTCTTTGGACAGCTGCGCTGAAGGAAGCCGAAAATGATATGCCAAAGACAAAGAAAGAGACGTACAGGGAGGACATCTCGTGGGGCTCTAGACTTGGAGCAATGGGATTTATGGGTGCAGAGTCATCATTGGATTTTGTGGCCCATGAGCATTTAGCAGACAAAGATCTTGGTAAACTCTTGACTGCTCCTTCAGCTACTACTTCCACTACTGCTACTGCTGAGGCGACTCAAACAAAGAAACGTATCAAGTTGGACCTTGACGAAACCGATTCCTGGCCTGCTATGTTGAACTCGATTGGGTTTATCAGCAAGGTCGATCGCTTGAATTTGAAACCTTACGAGAACCTTCTTTATAATGACTTGAACCACTTTATCCGTGACTGCAGCTTTAATCCTCCACGCAGATCAAGCAAAGGTAATGAAAAAAAAAAAAAAAAAAAAAAAAGAGAGAGAGATATCAACTTCTTTTCCTTGTCGTATTAACTCGTTTTTTTTTCTTTTTTTTTTTATGTAGCTTATCATGGCATCATCGCCACTAAGGTTGAAGACTTGACTGTAAATGAAGATGACCTGGTTCAACAGGCTATGCTAGAGGCTGTTGAAGGCGACCCTAGGGCTGTTTCCTCTTACAAGCCCAAGGCAGTCTCCAGAAAGTCATCTGTCAATGAAAAAGACTTATCTGTCTCTTGCGACATTTCTGAACACCATCCTTCTAAGCCTAACAGAACAGCTGAGGAAAGAGAAGAAAGAGAAGGGGAAAGCGAGGGATTAAAGGAATTCAGCACAGCGCCCTCAAGCGAGAGTCATAATCATACTAATCGTGACAACGAAGTTGATACTGCTCACGAGCAAGAGAACCTGACACAAAAACACGGTGCCATTAAGACAGTTGGCAACGATAAGGGCCATCGCTCTCATCATGACCATCATTTGGTTATTCACCCGCATGATACAGTACAAATGGTGAATAGCAATAACATTGATCAACACAACCAGCATAAGCAAGCTAAAAAGGAGAACCCAATGTTGCTGACTGGAATTGTAACGACCACTACGTTTGGAGGGGAGCAACAGGAGCAAGAGCCACAAGAGTATACACTGGATGAAAATGGCAATAAGGTCGCGGTGGATTTGCGCCGAGATTCTGGATTTGATTCAACTTGTTGATAAATGGAAAAATAATAATAGCAACAGTAATAACAATAGCAACTTTTTTTATTTTAATTCTGCTGGGAAAGTAACATTTGTGGAATGCAATGTCATATTCATATATCTTAATAGATTGGATAAAGAAGATACATGGGGAAGAAGGAAACAAAAAGGGTATCAAATGGAAAGAGAAGACTGTGCAAATGGATGGAAGGAAAGAGTAGATTGATGAATTTTTTTTTTTTTTTTTTTTTTTTTTTTTTTTTTAAATGTTCATATTATTTCGGAATTGTTTCTGTCGGATCATGAACGAAAGCACGACGCAGATACCAGCCCAGGCAGCACAGGTGTACCATACAAACTCGGGCATAATACCAACTGTCAATGCATAGACCCAAGAAATCACAATAGGAGAAAAGATAATTGCGATTGAATCAATAATCTGGAAAGCACCCAAAACTGCTCCAAATTGAGAAGGCTCTACCATATAGGTGAGTAAGGACTTGAGCGACGGATTGGAGATTGTACAGATGGAATGCAACGCAGTCGCAAGGTAAAATACCCAGCCCTCAGTTGCAAGACCATATCCCACATAAGTGATCGAATTGATTGCAAATCCAAGGCGGACCATCCAAGTATCAAACTTCATGTCACTGAATGTCTGTTCTCTACTCCTAGGGGCATCTTCTGCAGCCTCAGTTTTTGCCTCAGGGGATAATGATGAATCTTCACCATCTAATGAAGGAGTTGTAAGAGTTGTGACCGAGTCGAGAGATGTTTGACGTTGTCTATGCTTGAAATCTTCAGGCTCACTTGGATATTGTACACTTGCTGAAATAGTAGGATCATTGGTAAGCATTGCTACCTGATAAATGCTTAAATCTGCACTATCGAGGACTTGTTGTTGGGGAGAAGAAGCTGCAGAAGAAAATGTTGGTGCGTTTGTGGTCAAGGTAGGTTGCTTTCCATGACGACGAGCATCCATGGCAGCCTTGGCTTGAACCTTCCTCTGTTTCTTCTCATAGGATTTTTTATGAAAATGGGCCAAGACTGGGATCAAAACGATCATTGTAAGCAGGCGAGCAAGGTTACTGAGCGAGAACATGATTCCATCCTAAAATGAAAGTTTATACAGTTTTTTTTTTTTTTTTTTTTTTTTTTTGATTGTTTGTTTCGATGAATATCCCATTCTTGTAATTCTCATTCGAAAAGTATGAACATTTTTTTTTTTTTTTTTTTTTTTTTTACCTCGTATTCAGTCCAGTTAAAGAGACGATTGGTATACAGAATGATGATTGAGAGCGTTCCACGGTAGGCCAACATCCCCAAGAAAGAGATGACAGCCAAGAGGATGAGATTAGTGTTACGCCCGTTCGGCTTGAAGAACCTGAGGGAGTGAATAAGATGTGAGTACCAAGGGATATGTTCTTGAGAGGAAGTAGAAAGATCTTCATCCGAGTTGGAGTCGTTCTTATTCTCCTCTTTTTCCTTTTCCTTCTTGAAGGTCTCGTAAAGTTGCTGTACTTTCTCCGATTGGCATATTGGAAGGGATTCTGGGACGAAGAGGATTGTGAGCAAGAGACAGAGCGCGTTCGAAGCCACATCCATGTACACGAGTGTTAAGATTGTGCCAGAAGCTCTGACAATTGTTCCGCCAAGGAAGGGTCTAAAAAAATAAAAAAAGTGATATTAATAACATTAAAATGGTAGTTGACTTGTCTGATGATTATCAACTTTTTTTTTTTTGTAGTAGCTGTTGCTACTACTAACAAAAAAAAAAAAAAAAAAAAAAAAAAGACATTACCCAATAGCAAGCCCGAGATAGAGGCTGGCGTGAACCCAAGTAAATGCCAGGCTTCGTTTAGCAGGGTCAGTGCAGTCGGCAGTGTATGCCAGAGTCATGGTAAGACCCAGGCTAATAGTTCCCAGAAGGCCATTGAGGATGCTTGACGCAACCATGAGTGGTAGGCCGATCTGATCCCAGTACATACTCATGGCAATAATCGCGGCAAGGGTCAGTAACGTGTTCAAAAAGCAGACTATCATGACAATTCGTCGACCATGCCTGTCACTCAAAGATGAGTAGTAGCCTACGGAAATTGTGCCTAAAAAAAAAAAACAGTTGAGATTTATTAATTAGGAATAAAAACATAAAATAAAGATTTAAGAACTAAACATTAAAATTAAAACTTACTCGCAATACCAGTGAGCATCTCGATAATGGCAATGATTTTTGCGGTGAACGCTTGAATTTCTGGAGCCTTGCACTCTTCAGATGGTCTCATTGCGATCATCACATTTCTGCTCAATGAATTCAAGCCTAGAAGACCTGTACTAATCATGTTGCTAGTAGTAGTAGTAGTGGTGGTGGTGGTGCTTGCCATGCTTGGAGTCTGTGCCAAGTAACTGAACAAATCCTTACTGGGCACAGTCGCAATCGTAATTGTAGTCGCCGTCACATTGGAGGAATGACGGTTAATGTATTCTCGACAGAGCAGTGCTGCCTGGAACTGTCCTAGAGAGGAATTCAACATACCCAGGGTAAGCCATGAGAGTCCAAAGATTGGAAGAAGCCAAAAGACTGATGGCCGTTTATACCAAGGTAAGTGCCCCTTGAGGGTTTTGACGTAGAACGTTGTGGGATCAACCTCTTTAGTTTTGATCTTGTTATGATTGGTGTTGATGTTCTTGCTATCGTTGCTGCTATTGCCACTACTGTTGGCAAGTAAAGGGGTGTTCTCGTCATGCAACTCGGTGATGGTCAGATCAGAAGGATGATGGGGCAATGTTTCCCTCTTGGATCCATTGGATGACACCATGGCTTAAAGATGTAGTCTATCAGTTAGTGATGTACGCGCCTGATTTATTGATGTTGATCAGCAAAGGGTAGATAGGTAGAGGATCAAAAGAATGTTGAAAAGGATAGAAAGTATTCTGAATCGCAACCGAATACGTTTTGCTTTAAGTTTCAAGAAAAAAAAAGATGATGATGATGAAGAAGAAGAAGAAGAAGAAGAAGATAGAGGGAAGGTAGGGAAAGAAGTTCAGGCGAAAGATGAAGATGGGGTATTGTTTTTTGCTTGGGAATAGACAATGTAGTTTTGGGATATGAGAAAGTGAATGGGGCAAGTGCAATTTTATCCCTCTTATGCAGATCCTGTTAATTGAGAAGGTTACAACTTATTTGGGGTGATTGTGTGGACAAAATGAAAAAGTTGTGAAACAGTCGCGATGTATAAAAGAAGGACTAGTGTACATACAGGCAGAAGTAGCAGATGCAAAGGATAGGGGGTGAGGGGAGGATGGAAACGGGAAAAAAAAAAGGGAAGAAAGAGAGAGAGAGAGAGAAAGAGAGAGTTCCAATCGTTCAAGTATGCAGATCTGTTGTTTGTAAAGAGTAGATTTTCATCTTGAGGGAAGGGATTGGCCCATTCCATCAGTAGGGGTTCAACCTATTAATCATATCAATTTGGACTTCAGCCCTTGAAATGGCAACGAAAAATAAAAATCTTTACAAGCCCATTGGATCCACCAAATAACGCGCTCTCTTTTTTTTTTTTTTTTTTTCTCTTTTACCCCTGTTCTTGTTCTCTTGAATTCATATAAATGATCATAGTCTAAAAAAATAAAATAAGGAAAAAATTGATGGGTAGTTTAAATTAAAAGGAACTAAAAGATAGAATGACAACCCTGTAAGAAGTAACATTGCTCATCTTCTCATCAAGACCTATTAGAAATAAAAAATAAAATAAAAAAAATACTTCGTGACCCAAAGTGAACAGGTGCTTTGGATTTCTAATAGCAATACAAAAATAGAATACAAACTTTCTCATGCTCTATTTTATATATATATATTTTTGTTGGTTGTGTTCCTTTCCTTTAGATGAACTTTCTGTCAACAAAGTGTGGTGCAACATTCTGATGTTCTCTTGTACTCTCTTCTTTGTGTACATGTTACCTCAAGAAAGAAGGAAAAAGGTTCAAGAGAGAGATTGATCTATAATCTTGTTACTCTTTTTTTTTATTCATCATGATGGTGGACAAGAATTGATAAAAAGTCTTCTCTTAATATTTGAACGTCGCCTCCCCTGTTCTGTCTGTCTGAAAGAAAAACTAAAGAAACCACATTACACACATTACATGTACAATACAAACAACAAGCAAGTTGACATGGTTTCCTAAAAAGGCGCACAAAATGAAGGGTTTTCAGCTTTTTTTTTTTTTTTTTTTTTTTTTTTTGCTCACGCCTTTTTTCTACCGCACATCGCTTTCGAAGCAACGATGCAACTATTCAACGATGCAACGATGCAACGATACGATGGACTGTTTATTTATTCTATTCACTCATTTAATGGTAATGATTGATGATAGATGATTGCATAATTAGCTAAGGTAGTCTAGGGACAAATGGAAAAAGCTAATGCTCCGAAAGAATTCGTTTTTTTTTTTTTTTTTTTTTTTTTCGAAGCGCGTGGGCCGGTTGGTGTACTTTGTCTGGCCTGGTCGGGAATCAAGACAGAAAATGGAATATGAATATTAAAACAATGCAATGTCTGACATGGACATAGGCGCGATCAACGGTATATTTTAAAAAAAGGCATGAATCGCATGTTCCTGGGTCTCGTCTCATATCTCGTCCAACATTTCTAACATACCGAAATTCGATGATTCCATTATCGATTGGCCGTTCCCATATCTTTCAAGACCCTGTGCACTATTGGCGCGCATGCCATGCTATGCACTGCCCTCTCTTTCCCTCTCTCTTTTCTGTCTTTGATGCTTTAGATTAAGATTTGGAATCCCGATCTTTTGGGTAAATTCTAGCGATCAGAGAATGTTCATTGAGTTATTGTTCTTTTTTCATCTTCTGATGATCTTTATTAAACGTGTTAACTAAAAATACCTCATGTCATGTCCCGGTTCACGAGGGAAGAAAAAGAAAAAGAAAAAGTCGTAGCCTGCATAGGCTTTGCTTTCAAGATGTTTTTTGTAGTTAAGAAACAGGTTGCCTCTTAAACTAGTAACAGACAGAATATTCATAGAAGGAAGCATATAAACAGGAGGATTAGCCTTAGCATGCTTGAAACGGCTGTCATCATTGTTCTTTTCTGCTGCTTTGTATCTGTCGGCAACGTTTTTATCTATGAGCGTACTTTACTCCATTTTACTTTCAGCCCCATATCCATAATCTTTCTATTGTTCTAATACTCTATCTCCCCAACACCATAAGAAAGAAAGAATAAAAGAATGAAAGCTTTGAGTCGCTTGGTGAGGAAATAAGAGGGCACACGTGTACTTGAGAAATCAGTTATTAACGGAGACAATTATGAAAAATGAATTATTTTAATCAGTTACAACAACAAACACCTTATAAAAATCGATGGTCACATTTTCGCGTTAGGGACACGTCAAAGCGCACGAATTGCCTTTTTAGATACTTCAATTATCAGATTCATAGTCCCTGTTCAAACTGTATTGCTCCGGTTTATTTTTTTTTTTTTTCCCTCCTTCTCATTTTCCATTCGTTCTCCTCTTTTTTTAGTCCATCCATTCTTTTGTTGTCCTTGCTGATCCTCTTGTAAAAAAAAACTATGTATCATATTCTTAGACCTACACTCAGGGCCGGATCTGCATCCAACAGGGACCATGCAGGTATGAGCCGATCTAATTCTTTATTCCAAAATAAACTTTTCAACTGATCCGGATCACATGCGTCATAAAAATGCATTATACATTAATGTAGAAATGAATGACATGGGTAGCAACATCAGATTTTAAAAGCAAAAAAAAACCTACTCTTTACCTTTTTCTTCGCACATGACTCTGTTTAGTAAATGGCCCCCATGTTCATGCTTTGCGCATGAGTATAACGACGCCCTATTATCGTACAGTTCATGTTCAAGCTGTAAATGTCCGACGTACTATCAACGGTCAAGGATCTACCACGACTTCTTTTTCTTCGACGTTGAAACAACGCCACCATCATGGCTTCCATTCTTCACCTTTCCCCCGAATCCCCTCCTCTCTTCGTCTCCTCCGCTCTGCTGAGCAGCCACACCCAGTCCTCAAATCAACTATCGAAAAGGAGACTCTTGTTTCTCGCTCTGCAGAGATGGCAAAGGCAAAGGCCGCCAAGGAGGCAATTGAGGCTGCCAGTGGCATTGCAGGAGAAGGCGCGGTTGTCCAGCCAAAGAAATCGCTTTGGGAAAGATTCAAGAATGAGATGGTTCATTATTGGCACGGTACAAAGTTGCTTGGTAAGGAGATCAAGATCTCCACCAAGTTGGCTGGACGGCTATTGCGTGGAAACAAACTGACTCGGCGTGAACAAAGACAGGCAAGTGCAAGTGCTGAGGAGATTTTAATGAAAAAAAGAAAAGAAAGAAAGAAAGAAAGAAAGTCAAAAGAATCAAGCACCAAACTTATCCTTCACGAAAAAATTGACCTTTCATAGCTGCGACGCACGACTGGAGACTTGCTTCGACTGCTCCCCTTCTCCGTCTTCTTGATTGTGCCATTCATGGAACTCCTGCTACCTGTAGCGCTTAAACTGTTCCCCAACATGCTTCCCTCGACCTTTGAAGACAAGTATGCAGAGGAAGAAAAGAAGAGGAAGCTGCTCAAGATGCGCTTAGAGATGGCAAAATTCTTACAAGAAACTATTGAGGAATCAGGCATCCCTGGATCGTCGCGTGCTGAAGCTGTCAAGGAGTTTGGTGACTTCTTTAGAAAGGTCCGCACGACGGGTGAACAGGCTTCGACAGATGAGTTGATCAGAGTCGCCAAGTTGTTCCATGATGAATTAACACTCGATAATCTGTCCAGACCTCAACTGGTCTCCATGTGCCGCTACATGAACCTCAACGCCTTCGGAACCGACAACTTTTTGAGATATCAAATCCGAAACAAGATGAACTCAATTAAGCAGGATGATAAGGTAGAGAGTTCAATGACACAGCAAAAGAGAATATATGCTTCGTCCTGAATGTTTCCTTCCTTTGATTATTTATTATTTCTTTAGCGTGTCATGGATGCAAAGCGTGTGTACTCGGTTGTGAAACCCTAACGAAGTTTTTTCCTCCTTTCTTTTTAATTCACCTCTAGTTGATTATGGCTGAGGGCGTAGATTCGTTGACAACTCGTGAGCTTCAGGCAGCTTGTCAGTCGCGTGGAATCCGTACAGGGGGCGTCTCGACAGCTCGTCTTCGCAGTGAATTAGAACAATGGCTCGAGCTCAATCTGAAATACGCTATTCCTTCTTCTCTTTTGATCCTGTCACGCGCCTTTGCTTTCTCTGATTTCAAAGAATCAGCCACGCCAGTGGAGGCGCTTCAAGCAACGCTCTCATCGCTTCCAGACAGCCTATTGACAGAAACAGAGCTGCATGTGTCTGAGCTAGAGGGCGCTGCTACTCCTCAACAAAAGCTTGAAGTCCTGGAGCAACAGGAAGAATTGATTGCAGATGAATTGGCACAAGAAGAGAAGGAAGAAAAGGCCCGTAAAGCTCGCAAGGAGGAGGCAAGGATCAAGAAGGAGGCTGAAGAAAGAGAGAAGCAGAAGACGCAGGAAAAACAAATAATGCAGGAGAAGCAGGAAGTACCTGTGGTTTCTGCTTCTTCAGGTATCCCTGTCTTTGACAAAACAACACCCGCTGCCGCTGCCGCTGGTGCCCCTGCTACCTTTGCTGGCGCATCAGAGCTTTTGACTGATGCTCAGGTGGCTGCTCAGGTTGCCAAGGATACAAGAGCTACTGCTGCAACCACAGAGCTATTGGAGGCTGCTAAATCTATTGATGCAGCTCCCGCAGCCGCAGCTCCACCCAAGCCTGAGGAAGATGAAGACACTGCTCGCATGACAGAGGAACAATTGCTCGAATTGCGCGAAGCTTTGTGTATTATGTCATCTCGCTCTGCAGTATTGGAAGAGCGTGAAGAGCTCGAGGACCTGAAGGAAGATCGTATGGAATATAAAGAGGTATGGCTTTGGCTGCGATATAAAAAAAAACACTCTTTTTCTTTGGATACAAACATTATTTGTTATTCATATGCTTATATCTGTTATTTTCTTTTATTTTAATTTTGTGCGTAGGATATTGAGGAGCTTGCACAGGTACAGCGTAAGGAACACAATGTGTCGAAACGATTGGGCAGCCGCCTGGAGAAGATGATTGCTAAGCTGGATCAGGAATTGCAGGCATATGATGCGGAGGGCAACAAACTACAAGCATTCCAGGCTAATGAGCGTGGTGAGCTGACGGTGAAGGATATTGAGTCTGCACTCAAAGTTATCAAGCACGCGCCCGACGAGGAAAAGATTAAGCAGATTGTCAAGAAGTTAGATGTTGATGGCGACGGCCTCGTCCTCCTAAGTCACATTGTAGAATTAGCAGATCTTGTGGAGCAAGAGGAAGGTACAGGAGTGCTTGTAGAGGGCAAGAAGATCCATGGCAAAGTGATTGAAGAGGCTAAAGAGAAGAAGTTGAAGAAGGAAGATGTCATCAAGGACGACTAAAAAAAAAAAAAAAAAGACTACAGGACCATTGGGAAAGAAGCAACTTGTCGGACAACGTTATTTGTCATTTATACACCTCATCCTCCTCTTTTTCACATCGTACTACAACTAGTTTTTCTATTACTATTATTACTACTACCATTTGCAATTTTGATCTTTTCTATCCAATAACATATCTGCTATTCTTCATGTCTTGTTTTCCTCAATCACCATCGCCTTGTAGACTGTTTTTTACTTTATATTACACTCCTGATATGAAAATCCACCAGAATATGAGATGAACTCAAAAAATGAGCATGTTTTTCCGTACGTGCTGGAAGGAAAGCAGGTGCACACACTACCTGTAAGAACCAGTATTAAATTCACAGATGGCCGACCTACCATATTCATACACAATGACGGGGGACTATATTAAGAGAGGATGCCAATGGTAATTGAATTTGAAAAGCGTCCAATTAATCGCTTTGGATTTATTACAATTTATTTAACAATTTTCAAGCATATTCTAGGCTTTATAGCAGAGTGACTTGGCTATAGCGTCTTCAACACAGCTTTTATATTTGAAAAAGAGGATAACCCTGCGAAGGTGTGAAGAAGACAAGTAGCTATCTTTATCGATCTAAGTAGCAGTGCATGCCCATATATTTTAATGAGTTATGTCGTGGTCAGCTCGTGTATAAGTCGAGTAGAGGCTCCCGCATATATTGCAAAATTAGATCTCTGATGTGGTACAGAATCGAATGAAAGGGGATTACAAGAGTCGAATAGATGGGAAGAAAAGCGTATTTCTCAACCTTCAGTTTTTATTCGACACCAGTACAGCCCAGATATTCTTTATTCGACAAATACATGGGCAACCACCTCATTCTTCATCTCTCATCGAATAGACCCTGACTAGGATTCTGGGCCGGCCACTTGACTATCGTAAGAAGAATGAAGGGAACGATATCCGTTTCTGTTTAGGCGCATCTTCCCCTTAATATAACCGTATTTCTCTTGCGCCCACCAGCCATTGGGTCTAGCCTTTTTGAATTTGATAAATTGCATCAACAGACGAGTCTGAAGAGAAAAAAAGAAAATGGTATTTGAGAGCCTCATGTCTCATATGAACATGAGAATTGCAGAACTAAAGACACGTTTCCATTCTTTCCTTTTCATTCTTTTATTCACTTATTAGCCTTTTTTCTTTCACTCCATTCTCTTCCAACTAATTATACATTCACATTATACATTCACATTCAACATCTATCTCCATCCCTTCACATATTCATACGTCATGACCAAGACTATTTTGTTGACTGTTGCTGTCGCCATGGCACTGGTTGCCTCGGCTTCGACTTTGTCTGCTACTGCAGCCCCAGTCGCCGCTCCTGTTAGTGCCTCTGCTGGTGCTGCTGTCCTCGACAATGCCAAGGCAGAAGGAGAGTTTTTCGACTACTCTCGCTACCAATCCCCTCCAATTTGGCAAGGTAATCATATACATCCTTGTCTTTGTCTTTGTATTTGACATTGTCTTGAATGACACTGAAACAATGATTAGACAAAGTCTCATCTCTTTGCTTATGCATGCAAAAGATTGCTTCCTTTCTCTTATGCATATGAATGCCCTCTATTCTATCTTTATTCTCTCGTAATATGTACTCTTCCCTTCTTGCAAATCCTTATGGCTCATTTTTTTTTTTATCTTTATTTTATGAACTTCAATTATAGGAAGCATCATCAATGACTTTGAAGAAAGAGATATCCCTATCAACTATCGCATTGGAGGTGCCCGTGGCGGAGATGCCAGTAGCCGCCGTCGTCGCAGTTTGCCTAAGCGGGCTGTAATCTACGGTGAGGATCCTAAGCTGTTACTGAAGTCTGACTTTGGACAAGATTTGCACCTGGGTGCACAGCTTGATACAAAGATCCCAACTACTATTGACTTTGGAAAGCCTGCTACTCTTCAGAAGAGAGCCGATGGAGATTATGAAGATGAACAGCAGGATGAGGGCGAGGAAGGCGAAGACGCTGACGGCGACCTTACTTTCGATTTCGAGCAACCCGAAGAAGACCAAAATTATGATGATAATGATTTCTTCAATATCAGCTCTGCTTCGGACGAGGCTGACGGGGACGACAATGTTGAAATCAATGGCAATACAAATGAGACTGAAAACGAAGGAGAGGAAGAAGACGAGTATGCAGACGAGGACGGAGAAGAGGAGGAAGAGGAGGAAGAGGAGGAGGATAACTATAGTTTTAGCTATAGCCTGGAGGACGAGGATGAAGAGCGCCGATTGGATAATGAAGCTGGTTTGCAGGATTGGATTGAAGAAATGAAATCGGAGGAATATTTGGATATGGTTGGTCACCCAGATGGTACCCAAAAGCAGCAGCAGGAACAGCAAGAAGTAGAAGATGGTTCATCTTATGACGAAGATGAACATTCTCCTTCGGAGGAGGAGATCTTTGCTGCCTCTTGGAATAATTAAGATGATCTTTTTTCTTTTCCCTTTTTTCCTTTCCCTATCATGATGGACTAATTCTTCAATACAAGCTACACCTACCCCAGGAACTACACATGAGCTATGATACATTACACGTGCCTCGCACACAATAAAATAAATAAAATGATATGAAAAGAAAAGAAAAGAAAAGAAAAAGAAAAAGAAAAAGAAAAAGAAAAAAGAAAATAGTATTTAAAATATAAGCTCGGCAATGTTCTTATTTTCTACAGTAGGCTGTATATTAAGAGTCTATCTCGCTACTTCCATCATCTATTCGCAAGTGGATAATGGTGCGACATAAAGAAGAGTGCGTACATGTATACTCGCCTGAAAGAAAGTGGTCAAAAACATAAAATTTTGAAATGATCATGAAGAGAAGCACTCTCTTCAATTCTTTTTCTCGCCATTTTTCCTCAGGAAGTACTGCCGAAAAGCCTCAGTAGTTACCCGCAATGACCTCATTAACAAAAACGTAAACTTCCATTTTGGTTGATGAAGTCTTTATGTATGCCACATATGAGCTGTTTGCCAGAGGTTCAAAAAAAAAAAAAAAAATAAAAAAAAAAATAAAAAACTTCCTTTCAGGTAACTGTACGCCCTTCTCATCATTATCCGACTTTGAGTACGCGCAATCAGTCAAGCTTCTGAACTGGGCCAGTTGTTTACAGTCCATGTCGCATCCTCGAGTCCAGTTTGTTGGTACTCATCATCGCTGAACCATAACATACACAGGCTCTTCAGGTTAGTTAATTCATCGAAATCTGCTCTTAGCTTCAAGTCCAGCATCTGTTTTCCATAAGCATTTGCACGCGACTTTGATAGCCGAATGCAACGTGCCCAGTTGTCTCAATGCAATGCGCACCTTTGCCATACCCTCCACAGTCTCCTGATCAACGTCGGCCTTAAAATAGACATTCAGGTCAGTCAGCCTAGTGCTAGCCCATTCTGCTCCATTGACAATCTCTGTCACTGTTATCGTAGGTCCTGTCAGCCGCTCCAGCTTTGGACAATTCGATAAAATCGCTTGAACAATGCCATCTACACTGCCAAATGTACTGAACTCCAATACTTTGATCGTCTCGCAGAGCCTCCGAAGCCTTGTCTTTCGTATCATGTGCCCATTATCCGCTACCTCTTGCTTGTCCGCTAGTAATTCTTGCAGAGAGAGTTGACTAAAGTCACAAACTGGGGTATATAGCCGCCTTAGTTCTGTCATCTGTCTGAGAAGTGCGGCCATATCCTCGTCTTTTATGTACATGTAAGAGATATAGGCTTGCTAATGTCCAGGAAAGTTGAAGAAATGCCGCCCTGTAGAAATTCTCGTGGGATGGTTGACTCATCGCAAGGTACTCACTGCTGTCGACATATCTCAACCCACACAGTCCTGGACATCTCTTAACTAATATGCCAAGACAATATGAGGATGTATAGGGGTGTGGAGGGTTGATTATCCTGACATCTTTCATATTTAGTGTGCGAATGTTTGGGAAAAAGTATTCGTTGGCCTCATTACTCAGGAAGTCGACAGATAGCTGGCTTATGGACACAATAGACAAGCTCAAATGCTTGACATTCTTGCAGATTTGAAGGAATATATTAACTTTATCCATATTTACGTGCCAAAGTTTCAAGCGATTGAGGTGAGTACATCCCAATAGCGCCTTCCAGAGCTCATACGAGGCCAGCGTGCTGCTTAAGGGAAATGTGGTGATGATCGAGCTGTGAGCCTTGATGAGGTTCAAAAAGTGAATCGGTTCGGGCAATGATTTCCCTTGATAATCAATCAAATCGAGGTGATTACATCCCTGCAATGATCCATACTCTTCTGGAAATCCGCTTTCAAACCTGAGATCTTCAATATGCTCCTTGTGCTTCTGCAATGCTATGTTCTTTGTCCAAGATAAAATGTCTTCATCTATGTCTTTCCTCATCTTCGAAGCGACAACCGTCATACCCTTTTTAGTTTCGCTTCAACTTGAACAAGTCTATCTATCCTTAGTGCTTGGGAGGAAGAGGGGAAAAGAAAAGAAAGAGGGAGAGACGATCAAGTGAATGATTCTATGGTCGATTAAGGTTGCTAGAAACCATCAACGAGCAAAGAGATATGACGGGAGTGATACTGGCTTTCCAGGAGCTGCTCCGTACTATCATCAACGCTCAAAGTGTGAACCACGCTGTGCCTTTATCATAGCCAATGATATGGCTTAGTTGAGAAGACATTTGAGCGTCGTCTTTGTTTGACCCTTTTTTCTTTTACAATGAGGGTTCGCAGTACATCTTAAGATACGAGAACATCATTCAGAGCCCTATCCACTGTTATTGCCCACGGCCGCTGATACTAATCACTCTTGCCTCACAGCCCTTGATCACCTTCAAAATGGATTGTACACGCCAGTTATAAAGCTGATGCCTAAAGCGACTCTACACGCACAAGGGCTAACAAATCCCGAAAACAACGTTAATAATCGCCATATATGGCCGCCCTCTCACTTTTGTTGTCAAATTAGACCAAGTGTAATAGAATCGCCTTTATTATTATCCTAATTCTTTAAGATCTAAGGGAATTCTTTGAAACCCGCTATTGAGCGCAAAACGATCCTCTTAAATGACATAAACTAAAGCAAAGCACTCTTAGCATGGGGCGTAATGATGGAAGGGAAATGTTCCTTCGCCTTTTTCGCTTTCACTACCTTAGCTGGTAATAAGTCCAGCTGGCTATGGAATAATGTGGCCGTCTTCACAACACAACCTATGTCCTGGGCAAGAGCATCGAGCGTTTCTAGTGAATCGGGCACTCTCCACGTGCCTACTTGGACCATAATGTACATTGTGCCCAGAGGGAACTGAATATACATTGTGGCTTTGCGTCCAGTGATGTGTACCAAGGTCGTAATTATAGACATATCATAAATATCGTCCACTTGATCTATCGAGTTCTTTCCATACACACCTAGACGTACTAAATCTCCAGCCTCCTTTGTTGTGTCCTTGTTCAATACTCCAGAAACTTCTCCAAAAAACAGTTCAATATTTCTAATTGTTCTCGATGTAATATCAGGTGCCCACATGTCTTTGTTTCGAGCTCAAGGATTCTTCGGTGGTATATGCTTGTCTTGGAGGAGTTATTTGTGCTAGCAAAATTTATAATGTATTGGGTATGAGTCTGGAAGAATAAAAGCAGCTAATAAGTGATGAGGATTCCCTACACGTACTATGCAAGCCTTGCTTCGTCTGGTTTGTGATAGAACTTGCGCAACAACGGCATCACAAATGATGCTATTCCATCAGCCTCACTGTAGGAGTTTTTTTGAACCCTTTCGAATTCAGACACAGCTTGTATGAGATATCGCTTTAATGGCAGAAGTTTCTTGGTCACAGCTACATTCTCAAGGCGTCCCAGTGTGACTTCTCTCTTCCAATCATCATCAACCAAACCCTAAAAGTATCATGATAATACATAATAAATAAAGCATTTGAGCCGCATGTTTCGACATAGAGCCTCCTTCGCAACAATGATGACATACATCTAACCAATCCCTAATGAGTTTGCGTTCATCGGCGACATCATTTGTGGGTACACGTTGTTTGAAGGCATCCCTCATTAGATCGAAAAATCCCTCCCCGAAGCATTCGAGCTGAAGCGGAGATGGGCTATCCCTTATCAATAGTGTCGCATTTAAGGCCCTAGGGAAGAGAGATGAACCATTAAATTAGGCCTGTGTACTACGGACTTGATAATAATCTGAAATGAACTTACAAAGCATCTTCTGGATATTTGGCCTTGAAGCTCGATTCACAGCATCTCCTGTAGTAATTGCCAAACGCAATACCAATTTCAAGGCCTCCTTCACTAGCCACAAATTCCCAAGAATATGAGCCAAGGATGGATCCCATGGGTCGCGATATACTCTCAAGTAGCTGCTCCACAGGATCGTGCTCCGAGATCAGAGACTCATTTGATTTTTCACTAGTCAATAACGGAAGCGATGAAAGTTCTATCAAGTATTTAGGTCAGCTCATTTGTAACTCAATATTTACAATTGTATAATCTACACTGGCAGCCTCTTATCTGAACTGCTAGTATCACCACTACCATCTGTTGGCTTTCTTCTCTTTAAGTAACTCAAGCCTGCTTAATAAATGTATAGGTAATTTTTTGGTATTTCGTCATTCATTTTAAATTATCGCGGTGTTGACTATTATAAATAGCAACATACCTGTGGGTCCGGCATATTCATTGCTTTCAGTAAAAACATCACTGTCTCTTTTTGTCCTGTTAAAAGCCGTTGCTATAGCACCCAATATTTCAAAGTAATATAAAATGGGCTGATTAAAAAATCGGTAATGAATCGTATGTATTTAATAACTTAAAGCTTACCTTTCTCCTCTTCAAATGTCAAGAGCCTTCTCTTTCCATCGGCCTGAGTTGGTGCATTCCAATGTGAACCTAAATATCGCGTTTGTACAAGTCCGAAATATAACAACTGCTTGTTATTGATATCCAAAAAGTCAACGGCGCGCTCGTAATAATAACACTGATGCATTTGCTACTATATGTCACAAACCCTGATTAATATTATTGACCTCTGCTCTGCGAGACGACTTAGAAGGGCAGGGGATCTTGCTCCTTCCTTGGGTGGGTCCAACGTCACTGGTAGAGCTTGTAGCTCCGTTAACTGTATCATAACCATTAAATAAAGAGAAAAAATGCGATCGATGGATTACTTCCCTACCTTTATGAATAAGTGGGTTTTGATCGGAATCTTCAGTGAATATCCATTCATGTCATATCGCCTGGTACCCACCTTGTTTCTCATCATGTTTTCTCTTTTCCTTTCTTGTGGTTCGTGCAGTGAGCTGATTATTGTTGCGTTCTAATAAGTCAACAGTACATTCACTCAGTCTAGCTTATAACTAATAATAATAATAATAACAGTAGCTGCAAAAGGTATCTACTTGAATCTCTTGACAGAAAGATATTGGACTGCATCTCCGCTGCTTGCTCGTAATCATGACAGGTACGCTCGCTCCAGTAGGTATCTGATGCTTTCAGAGCCTTGAGCGACCCACTATCAAGGCCACGTTTCCGTTCCAGATACAAATTGAAAGTTTGTTCTATTGAGACATACTCCTTCTGGGTCCACTTCTGTTTCAGTATTCGACCGTGTCTTCCCAAGCCACTGTGTGGCGACCCGGTTAATTGTGTAATTCCTAGGTGCCAGATGGATTGGCAGCGCTGGAGTGTACAGTTTTCTTTCTGCGTTATGTCTGCGTAATAAAGGAAATCTTCATAGTTGATATCGCTCAAGCGAGCACAGTTGCACATATACGTCAGCACACACGAATCGACATTGACGAGCCTTGTGAGAGCTTTCCTCCAATGCTCTGGCTTTGATGCGTTGCTCGGATTAGTTGACATCACGAAAAACAGGCGCCAATACTGTAATGGAGAATGTCGTGCCGTTTCAACTAGTTTAATTTCTTTTTATATCATTAATACGAACAGGCAGTTTACGGCATCAAACAGATACGAAATAAAAGGAAAAAAATAAGGGAAAAGATATGGGTGGACCCCGGCTCTTGGAGGTTCCGCTTAAGACGTGCAAGAGTTAACCAGAGCTTCATGACAGGCTGCCGCGCAAGCAGCCTCTCGCAATAACGAGACCTGCGCGGTGTTGAAAGATCATGTCAACGCGCGTGGATGAAACTCATACCAAACGATGCCCTACACCCAGAAATGCAGACCAACGCCAGTTTGGTGGGGACAGCTACATGGCTCTCGGAGGCCCAGCTACGGGCGTGCAAGAGTCTCCAGGCTCCATGGGCAGCCTGCTGTGCCAACAGTCTCTTGCGATAACAAGACCTGCACAGTGCTATAATGCTAAGCATTACAACATGCTGGATAGAACCTATAACCGATATCGCCCAGCAGATGATGCGATACCAGTATGGAGAGGGCGTCAACCCCATGCACCCTGACAAGTGAAAGAGATGGAGTGATAGAACTAAGATCACGTTTACCTGAAAAGAGAGAAAGAGAGAAAGAGAGAAAGAGAGAGATATGGTTAAAAAAAAAAAGGAATGCAAATGGAGTGGAAGCAAAGATGAGAACGAAGAGGAACGTTATGTGGCCATTTTTTTTATTACCTTTTGCTTTATGCTTGACTTTCTATCTTTTTTTTTTTTTTTTTTTTTTTTTTTGGTTTATTTTTCAGCACAAATATCTTCTGGGACCGTGTTGATGATAATTTTGCAAAACAGGCTCAGGACAAATGCGACATTAATAAACAGTAACCGTCTTTTTCTAAAAGTGCAATGTTAATGGTTTAATGGGTTCTGACATTCGCATTCGAACGAGCGGCGCATCGGATTTTATGGTAGCATACGAAAGCACGTATGCATGCTCCGGTACGTGAAATTTGTTTCTCCAGCTACCAAGGTGCTTTTCCTCCAAAAAGTCATGAACAAATATATTTTTCACGTTTTTAAATCGGATAGATTACTTGCTTTTTTAGACACAATAAAAAAACGTACAAACTCAAAATTTTTAATTTTTACGAGAGCGTTTTCTATTGATAAGAGGCTCTTCCTCAGACTCACCATTTCAAACATGCTTCGAGTATCTGGCATAAGATCTACAACTATCTCAGGACCCAGGATGACAGCCTCAGCTTACTCTTGGCTTACCACTATAAGGAGTTCCATATCCCATTCGCCGCTGTCAATCTCATCTGGCGTATCTTCTTGTACCTGACTTCTCTAGTTATAGTACATCATACCAATTTTCACAGACCTCTTCCACACAGAGTAAAAGACTCTACATGGAATCTGAGAAAACAAGCTGAGAAGCCATTCCTTCAGCAAAAGAGGCGTCATTGTCGTTCTTACCCTTGCAGCAATTATGTTTTTTACGACGGCCCAGATCTTCTCAATAGGCTGCAACTCACAATGGTAGGGAGGAGTCTTGAGAATCTCATGGCCGCCGTTCACCTGGGCTATCTTGCTGATAGAAAAGTACGACTCGTCGGGAAGGGCGTTGACCATTTTCAAAAGCTCCTCTTTGTTCAGTGCTTTCCCATTTTCCCTTGCTGGGATAACAATGTCCTTTCCCCACAAGCCAGTTTCTGATAGTTTTCACAGTGTCACTCTTAGTTGGCTTTTTGTTTTTGTGGAAGTGATATGAGACGCCATCAAGATGGATCTGACAAGGCCCAAGACCTATCTCATTGAGGTTTTTCCAAAGCCGGGTGAATATACTATCAAATAGACTGGCGATGAAGTTTCCATGAGACGTGATCTGTTGCCACAACCCCTGCATTCCTGATCTCTTCTGGGACATCAACCCACAGCTCAGCCTCTGTTCTCGACCTTTTTTTGACTGAGGCTTTGGTCCTTTTGACGGCCAGACATACACGCTGTCCTTGACAAATTTGCTTTCGACTTTTTTAGTGGTTTCATCATAATAAACAACAAATGCTGCAAATATAACCATAGTAGGTTTCCTTCTTGCATCATTTACAGTACCACCGCGACTTTCTACCCAACGTTTTGATGCAGCGTGGTCATTGTGGCAATACGATTCCTCCAAGAAGACCTCCGGCATTCTAGGCACCCAATTGCCGTCTACAAGTTTTAAGTTTTTTAAGATGGCGCTTCGTATAAGTTGCCCGGAACACGACATTCTCCTTGGAGTCATGCAAGAAGTTTTGTCGGATCCCTTTGCCCTAATGTAGCCCCATTTTACGGAGGTCCCGAGTTATTGACCTTGCTGATTTCTCGATTCCAAAGTCCTCCTTTAGTTGATTTGCCACTAAAGCTACAGAATTAGGTGACCCGCTCTTGTTTGTTTTCACTATAATGTCCATCACCTTGGAGCTCAGATCTTGATCCACTTCTTTTTGGGTCGTCCAGTTCTTCCATGTCCTGTAGTGTCGAGGATGCCTGTATTTGCAAATTTAAGTGCTGTCTAACAAGTTTTTCTTCCCACACCCATTAGGGTTCTTAGCTCTATCGTTTGTCTTCATAAACCAATTTTGAACTTCTGGCGGTGCTGCAGATATAGCTTTAAACGTATGGGCCATCATAACGTATTCGTCCCGAGTAACCGTCGCTTTAGTGCGTCTAAATGCATTGTCCTGCTGTATCTCTGTGGTCGTATCTGAAAGGAATGGATTTATATCAACAGCATTGGGCATTGATCCGATCTTAGTAGGGGAGGTCCACTGATACTCTGCGGGAGATCTAGTTGGGGAGATATTGAGTCCGGCGTGTGTTCGAGGTGATCTTCTAGGTGGCGTGCCTGAAAACGTTTGATTGATAGTTCCCTCACTGTACCAACCACTCAGGCCATTGTAGGGAAGAAGGTTATTGATATCATAGTTGGCAGAAGACATTTTATTGTATACTGAGGACGTAATGAGGTTGGGATGAATAAGTTGATCGAGAATGATTCGATCAGTTTTGTTTGCTTATATTTTCGATAATGGATAGCGTAGTCGAACGCTAGTGAAGGCTAAAGCCTATTGTTCGACAAGGAGGAGACAATGGATGTCCCACCCGCAGCCGCCCTTTGATTCTTTGGTAGTAGATGTGGAACATCCAAGAGGGCTCCATAGTTTATGTAGTAGTCAAAAAAAAAAAAAAAAAAAAAAAAAAAAAATCTTGGTAGTTTCAGTAGTAGCAATAAAAGAAAGGAAACACATCCATTGTCTCCTCCGAGGGACGAACAATTAGAGATTTGTTTCTAATTCATTCAATGTATTCAAAAAATATATGGAATTCTAACTGTACGTAAATTTTTTTCTTATATTGCGTATTTTAAAAATATCGCCAATTTTATTTGGTCACGATACCTTATATTTTTAATCTAAAAACGATGATTGAATTGTTCTGGTGGCATCTCACTACGTGACGGACTTGCAACAATACTCGTAACAAGCGAGCTAATTGGCTGCCAATACACTCGAAAGTATTCAAAAAATATAAGGTATCGCGACCAAATGAAACGGGCTATATATTTGTTCATAACAGTTCAAGGGACCATAGACTTGGACAGATACAAGTAGTACAAATGCAGATGAAGTATTTATTAATATAACCTTGATATAGTGGCAAAAGCAAAGCACAACATCCTTTTAGTTGATAACCCACCGATGTATCCTTATTTATTTCTGCAATAAGCATTGCTTTTTATGACCATGATCGCTTTACCATCACCAGTTGTGTCATTTATTGCCAGGTAGATGTGCATTAGGTGGCCATACTCGAGATTCTTGTCCCCCATATCAGTATTTGAAGTGGTAATGTATATCCTTGCTTCTTTAGCCTATCTTTAAATGTAGATCCGTATATTGTGTGAACTAAAGAAGTTATACACCAAAGCATTTACATCCTTCTGATTCCCATCCAGCTCTGGTGTCATGCGACCATACAAGCTACGAATGCATGGCCAATTGTTCACAATCCATGTCGCCTCTTCAAGGCCTATTCGCTGTTGTCCGTCATTTTGGAAGCGTAGCCCCCACAGACTCTTCAGTTTATCTAGCTCATCCAGACCTGCTCTCAGCTTCAGGCCCAGTGTTTGTTGACCATTATCGTATAAGCTCCATGCTGTTAGGCTAAGGAATCGTAGTTGGGTCAATTTACCTAGCTGCTTAAAGACAATACGCGCCTTTGCCATGCCGTCTGCGGTCTCTTGATCGATGTTTGCCTCAAGATAGATGGACAACTCAGCCAATCCAGTGCTTACCCATTCTGCCCCATTGACAATCTCTGTCACTGTGATTTTAGATCCTCGTAGTAGGGTCAGCATTGGGCAATTAGATAAAATCGCTTGAACAACGCCACTCACATAGCTCTGTTTACTGAACTCCAACATCTTGATCGTCTCGCAGAGCCTCTTAAGCCTCCTCTTACGCACTATGTGTCCATTATCCAACACCTCTTGCTCGGTCGCTAGTAACTCTTTCAGAGAGAACTGACCAAATCTACAAGCTGGGGTATATAGCCGTCTTAGCTCTGTCAACTGTCTGAGGAGTGCAGCCATATCCTCGTCTTTTATGTACATGGAGGGAATAGATACATCAGATAGACTTGTTAGTATCCAAGGGTGTTGAAGGAATGTTGTTTTGTAGAAAGTACTATGGGATGGTTGCTCCACCATAAGGTACTCGTCTTTTTCGTCAAAGTGAAGTGTACACAATCTCGGACATCTCTTGACTAACATGCCAAGGCAATACGAGGATGTATACGGATGTGGAGGACTGGCTATCCGGACATCACTCATAACTAGTGTGTGTATATTTGGGAAAAAGTAATCGTTACTCAAGAAGTCGACAGGTAGTTGGTATATGGATACACTAAACAAGCCCAAGTACCCGACATTCTTGCAGACTTGAAAGAATATATTGACTTCATCCCCAATCCTTGTATGCAAAGCTGTCAAGTGATTGAGATTGACACACCCCAGTAGTATCTCCCAGAGTTCTCGCCAAGCTAGCGTAATCTTTAAGAGAAATCTGGTGATAACCGAATTGTGGGCCTTGATTAGATTTAAAAAGTGAATTGGTTCGGACAATGATATTCCTTGGTAATCGATGCACTGGAGGCGATCACATCCCCGTAATGACCCAAACTCCTCTGGAACAAAGTCATATTCAAACCTAATCTCTTCAATGCACCCCTTGTGGCGCTGCAGTGCTATACTGGCAGGGTATCTGGACTTGCAGACATTGATTATTCTCCAAAGAGAGCCGACAAGAACATTATGAAAAGTCTTTGAGACGCGGATGCAGTTTAGAATGTCTTTTCGATCAAGGAAGCTGCCGATGAGTGAAAGGATTTCTGGAATATCCAGAGGATTCAATTTCAGATTGTTCATGTTGAGACGAGATGATGTTAATGGAATGTGGACAACGGACTAAAATACTCGTGTACAGGATTGGTGGCGTAACATAAAGAAAAAGGCTACAGCGACCAAGCCTCCAAAGCTGACAGTTTGCTAGCGGCATATTCGACTTAGAAAAAAAAAAGGGGCCATTTCCCCGCCGTTTGTACGACTTAGAAAGAAAAGAGTGTCAAACTTAGGCTCGTCACCAGCCAGTGTGGCTTATGTGCATTGCACTTACGCTCACTGACAGGCTGGGACCAAACTTGCGATTTTAGGGGGGTCAAACATTTTTTCTTCAAAAAAATTTCCTAATCTCAAATGCACGACAAGTATAAAGCCCCTACTTTTAAGCTTGTCCTCGTTGGTGATAGCGGTACGGGAAAGACCACGTTCGTTAAGCGTCACTTGGCTGGTGAATTCAAGAAGAAGTACATCGCCGCCTTGGATACCAATGTCCACCCTCTAGTATTCACCACCAGCGACGGCTCGATTACCTTCAACGTCTGGGACAGTGCTAGTAAGGGACAACTTGGCAGCCTCCCTAACGAATATTATATGAACGCGCAATGTGGTATAATTATGTTTGATGTCACTACCAGACTCACATACAAGAACGTCTCCAACTGGTACAATGATCTTGTCCATCTATGCGGAGTCATTCCCATCGTTCTCTGTGGGAACAAATCGGACATCAGAGAGCGCATGGTCAGACCCAAATCTATTTCCTTCCACCGCAAGAAATCTCTTCAATACTTCGAGGTCTCGGCCAAGAGCAACTATAACTTTGAGAAACCTTTCCTCTGCTTGGCTCGCAAGCTTTGTGGAAATCCGAGGCTAGAGTTTGTTGGCGCTACTGCTTTGGCTCCTCCTGAGATTCAAGTTGATGCTGAACTCATGCAGCGGCACCAAGAGGAATTAGACAGAGCCGCACAATTTTCTCTCGAGGAAGATTAAAAATACCTTTAATAAACGAGAATGTGAATAGAAAATAAAAGTTTCTTGTTCACTTACCACGCTCAAGCTCAAGAACGATCACTGCGCCAAGGGGATCTGCTCTGTTATTCCCTGAGATTCCTTGGCGAACATCCGAACCCAAAGGATCTCCTAAAATATGAATAACCAAGCGGCATCCGAAGTTCCGAGTAACATCTGAAAGCTGCATGATAAGTTGGCTGTTGAAGTCCGTCCTTGTTCAAACTGAATATCCCAATCTTCAAATAATGCGTTCCACGTGCTTCTGCGCCCTTGAGCACCCACTTCATGTGATCCATCAGCCCTGCAAATGTGCTTTGACCTTCGATCATGCTGTCATTTTGTTATTGTGCATTAATGACATTAATGATGTCGGACTATACTTTTACAGCCCTACAACTTCATCTAAAGCCACTTCTTCCTCCCCTTCTCTCCAAGCTAACTATCGCTTTGTAAGGCCCATTTCCACTCGCTCATCATTGTTGAACTCAATCGGGGCCACAGACGAACAACCTTCGTGGGCTATATTCACGTTTGCATAAGATGACATAGAATCCAGGCGATAGAGCTGGTCTACAATGCTGATCTATTCAACAGCTGACGCAGGCTGGGGGAAGGAAAGAAGAGATAAGAAATTAGATGATAGAACTTACAAAGGCAAACTTTCGCATGATGGAACGACCCCAAAACATGTGGCTCGAGGGTGAGAAGAGTCGAGTTTCATTGCTGTACTAAAGGTTTCTTTCTTTCTTTCTTTCTTTTTTGACTGACTGACTGACGTGGTATAACGTTAATGTATCAATGGAGTGGTGTTCGGTGGACATATTAAATATTAATGTTATGATGGCATCTTGGTCAATTAACCTCACCGGTGTACAAAATCAAAACTAAAAAAAAAAAAAAAAAAAAAAAAAAAAAAAAAAAAAAAACCACCAACAGTGGATATTTCTAGATGGTGGTGCACCACGCCGAGAAAAAAAATCACCGGACTAGCAAGTGAGCGCCTTTGTCCTGGACAAGGAATATGTGTCTCTGTTGTACATAAAGTCGCATCAATTTCTGTTTTGCTACACACCTTACAGTTCTAAATAGTTGTGGATGACATGGATAAGGAACGCTCTCAATCTTATCAAGCTATAACAAACATAATATCCGGAATGGTAACTGTTTCGATCAACCATATGAAAAGAAAAGGAAAAAAAAAAAGATCTTGGCTGTAGTCCAGGGAGTATACATGTAACTTGTCTTACAAAAGAAGCCTGAGGTTTGTGACAATAACAAGCACTACTTTGTATAAAAGAGCTTTGCAGAAACATGTAGTGTCCACATCCTCCTTTTGCAACATGAAGAATATTAAATTGAATCCTTTAGATATCCCTGAAATTCTATTACTTGTTGGCGACTTCCTCACTCGAAAAGGCCTCTTAAACTGTATCCGCGTCTCTAAGGCTTTTCATAGTATCCTTATCAGTTTCATATGGAGAAAAATCACGATCTCGCCTTTCCTAAAAAGACATCCTACTAACGAGGCGCTACAGAAACACAAAAAATTCATCGAGGCGATTAGGTTTGAATGTTGCTTTCCAGAGGAGTATGGGTCATTGCAGGGGTGTGACCGTCTCAAGCTCATCAGGTACGGGAGACCAACTTGGAGGTTTTCCGGACTGGCTCACCTTCCGAACTTCGTTAAGGCACACAACTCCACCATCACCATGTTTTGCATGAGTAGTACTCAAACCTCACGACAGCTTTGGGAAGCACTGCTAGAATGCACTAACCTTAAGCACCTGGAAGTATCTTACGCAAGTATAGATGACGAAGTTGATCTATTCCTTCAAGTCTGCAAGAAACTTAGGCACTTGGCATTGGAAAATGTAATGATACACCAGCTGCCGATCGGCTTTCTAAGTAATGAGACTAGCGAATATATTCTCTCAAATGTACACACACTATGCATTACTGGCGTTCAAGTTACTAATCCCCCGCGTCCATACACACCTTCGTATTGCCTCGGCATGTTGGTGAGGAGTTGTCCAGAATTGCGTGCACTGAAATTTTGTGATACCAGCGAGTACGGGCGACCTATCCAACCAAATCACGACGATGTCTTCAGGACAGCGTTCCTTCAACGCCCTTGGCCTTTGGCGAACTTATCAGAGCTTTCTTTCCCTTATATGAAAATAAAAGACGAGGATATGGCGGCACTTCTCAGACAGATGGCAGAGTTAAGGCGGCTAGATGCTCCATTTTGCGAGCTCGGCAAGCTCTCTCTGCAAGAGTTGCTAGCTGGCAAACAAGATATCTTGGATAATGGATATATGGTACGGAAGGCGAGGCTGCGGAGGCTCTGTGAGACAATTGAAGAGCTGGTGTTCAACACGCAAAGCGCCAGCATGGATGGTATTGTCCAAGCAACTTTGTCAAATTGTCCACGACTAGAACTACTGCGAGGCCCTAAAATCACAGTAACGGAGATTGCCAATGGGGCGGAATGGGTGTGCACTAGATTGACTAGCCTGGCCATCTACCTTGAGGTAGATGTCGACCAAGGGGCTGTAGAGGGCATGGAAAAACAGCGTATTGCGTTTAAACGACTAGGAAAACTAACTCAGCTACGCAACCTTGACCTAACATCCTGGAGCCCAAGGAATAGGGGGAGAAAGCGGACGCTGGACTTGAGACTAAGGGCAGGTCTGGATGAACTAGCCAACCTAAAAGTGCTGAAGAGGGTATTGTTTCGTGGTGATGATCACCAGTTAATAGGACTTGAGGATGCGAGATGGGTTGTGAACAACTGGCCAAGCATCAAGTACTTAGACCGCTTGATTGATGACCCATCTATACCCTCTTCCGTGAATGCCTTATTCTATTCACACAACATTAAACACGGATAGGCTGTAGGGGGAAAAAAAAAACTATCACTTCATGTTCTGATATGGACGGCAAAAGCCATTGGACATGTGCTTCCCAAAAGCGTATGCACTTTGGTGCAATCGTAACAATAAATATTTGAAGTTGAAGTTAATTGAACCCCGTTCTATTCTCAATCTGTATACTTTTTTTTTGTCATAAAGGCATTAACCCATCGAATAGGGTACTTTTTCTGTAGAAGGCAGACCCGGTAACATTCTCTGTGACGGGATTTTCTCTCAGTTTGCTGCTCGAGAGTAGACTGAGGACATATGGCTGCTTGTCCATTACTCATACTCTTTCAGTCATCTTCTGGCTCCTGATCCGAAACGACCTTATTGCCAGAAAATCAGTACAGTTTTTTGGGAATGTTTGTCAGAAGCGGGCAAATAAGTCGCTTGAGGACTCTCACCATACTCAAAAGAACCTGGACAACAGTAGTGACTATAAAGCGCAAGAGGGCCATGAGCTATTTAGAATAATGCTATTTATATGGCAGGACTGTATCATTATTTGTTCTACTGTTATAATCGTTAATTTTGACTCAAAAATGTGTTAAACTTCGTTCATACGGTTCACTGGGCCGAGGGACAAAGGCTTTAGGCTAGAGTGGTGAATATCAGTAGAAGTAAACTTGCTCTTTTGTCGACCTGCTCTTCTGTTGGCTTGCATGGTCCAGTAATAAAGCTGTAATAAAGCTTCAAATGACGCCTTCGTCTTGAATAGAAACAGCAGCAGCAACAGCAATAATCCAGAACCAACGCATTCAAGGTTGAGGCCCCTACAGGCTGCGATAGTATATCATGAAGGCGGCTTCATCCATGACTCTGTTGCAGGATACGTGACGAGTGATTATACCCTACTTTGAATATATTTGGTCATATGACGATGAGAACCAACCTGATTGGGCCCTTATGGATCTGTTGCAGCCTTTGCCTCGGTTTGCATCGAGATTATGTTCTTATCGCTTTATGGTCCTGAACAATTATCAGGGTAAAAAAAGAAATAATTTAAAAAACTGCAATGAGAATACCGTGTACCTGTGAATCTGTGGGACACGAAGCCTTATATTGATCAATTAATGTCATTTTACAATAGACCAAATGCTTTCTGGAGTACAAGGATTTCGTAAATGGAGAAGACTGTCCAATTTGGCCAATCCAATTCTCCAGGAGTGAACGGATTGTTAAATACTCTGTGCGAAGAGCTTGACACAGGGCTTCAAGGAAGATGATGATTATGAACTAGGCCTTGAAGTTACATTCAACTTGAAGAGCCTGCGTGAGTTATCGTTCAGCGATGATCACCAGGAAATAGGCCTTGAGGATGCGACATGGATCGTGAACAACTGGCCATGAATCGAGTACTGGAATGGCAGGTTGGTATATGACTTGCTTGAGCTGCATAATATAAAGATTGGCAGAAAGAGACATAATATTAAATTGTTAATTCAAGGTTTGGTCTCTAAAAGCGAGAACCTTGAATATGTGCAATGCAATGAAAAAAAGTGAAGGTTCGTCAGCATCCTCTCTTGCACCATGAACAATTCTAAATTGAATCCCTTGGAACTTCCAGAAATCATCTCGTTTGTTGGCGATTTTCTCGATCTAGATGATCTTCTAAACTGCATCGTGTCTCCAAGACTTTTCATAGTGCTCTTATCGGGCGCATATGGAAAAACATCCTTGTTGTATCCGACTTTAAATCAGAATCTGAATTCGACTTTAAATTAGAATCTGAATCCGAATCCGAATCCGAATACGGATATCCTACTGGCGAAACACTGTAGAAGCACAAGAAATACATCGAGGGTATTATATTTGAAGGAAACAATCTTCCAGACGAGTATTTGTTATTGCAGGGATGTGATCACCTCCAATCCATCGAGTACGAAGAACTTGTGTATCCCAAATCGGTTGAATATTTGAACCTCATCAAGAACCACAACTCTACCATCACCAGGCTTCACTTTTACAAAACTCCAACATCGTATGAGTTCTGGGAGACATTGCTGGGATGCACTAATCTCGAGCATCTAAAAGTATCTCACGCAAATATCCATGACGATATCGACGTATTCCTTCAAGTTTGCAAGAAACTTAAGCACCTAGACCTGGATGTAATATCCATATACCAACTTCCTCCCAGCTTCCTATGTATTGAGAGCAGTGGCTATAATCTCCCAAATATACACACACTGCATCTTCAGGATGTTTCGATACCTGAACCTCCGCACCCGTACACATCAGCCTATTGCCTCGGTATGTTCGTCAGAAGATGTCCAGGATTGCGTTCACTGCTATTTTACGAGCTCTACAAGCCAAACGAAGTCCAACACCACTTCCAATATGAGCCAGCAGACCCAAGTGACAATAGCTTCTACAAGGAAACATTCCTTCAGCATCCCTGGACGCTGAATAATTTGTCAGAGCTGATTTTGATTAGCGCGCAGTTAAAAGACGAGGATATGGCGGGACTTCTCAGAAGGATGCCTGAATTAAAGCGGCTACAGGCCCCATACTGTGAGCTCGGTCAGCTCTCTCTGCAGGAATTGCTGTCTGACAAGCAAGAGGCTTTTGATAATGGACAAATGGTACGGAAGACAAGGCCGCAGAAGCTTTGTGAAACTGTTGAAAGATTGGCGTTCAATATGAGCAGTGTCAACGTGGATGGGGTTGCTCAAACTATTTTATCCATTTGCCCACGCCTGAAGGACCTGCGGGGATCTAAAATCACCATGACAGAGATTGCCAATGGGGCAGAATGGGTGAGCACCGGACTGATTAAGTTGGATATTTATCTTGAGATAGACATTGATCAAGAGACTCTCGAGGGCATGGAGACGGCGCGTATTGTCTCTAACCAACTAGGAAGATTGATTCAACTACGATCTCTTGACTTAACAGGTATAACACAAGCGACGATGAGAAAAACCCATTGACTTCAGACTAGGGACTAGCTAACTTGAAGAGCCTGCGTGAGCTATCGTTCGGCGATGATGATCACCAGGAAACAGATTTCAGGGATGCGACATGGATTGTGAACAACTGGTCAAGAAACGAGTGCTGGAATGGCAAGTCGATGTGTAACTTACTTTAACATATTTCTGCACAATATCTCAGTCGAGAGTCTTAAGTGTAGGGATCATCTTCGTTAAGTTTACCTGTGCCTTGTACTTGTCCAAGTCTATAATGCTTTATATATTAGACATAGAGTATCGCGTTACTGTTGCATACAAATATCACGTCAACCCTTCTATTTCGTCACAAACCCTACTGGAGCTTCTTCCGGCTGTGGAGGATATGAATAAAGAAATGTCATCAATTTTATTAAGGCAAGGCATACCAAACACTCTATGCAGTATGGGAGCAAGTTCTGCAAAAGAAAAAAGTGGATGTATCCAAGGGTATACATGCATCTTATAAGGCAGTCAATCGAATGAAACTTGTGATAAAAATAAAAGGCGACATATCGGGAACCATCCCACTCATTGGCGGCTTCCTCAATCGACATAATCTTGTAAACTGCATCCGTGTTCCAAAGACTTTTCATAGTGTACTTAAGTGAAAAATATTTTGTAGACAGGTTTTATCAGGTCAGAAATATTTGTAGACAGACATGTGAATACGAAGGTCGGTGAGAATAAGATATGGGTCCACACCTATTTATTCATTTTCTGGTGGAGGCACCTGTACCAGATAACTACGTATCTATCTATAAGATCTATAAGATGACATCGGTCCGTTCTAAAACCTCGCACCATGGATTTTATCGCATTAATGAATATGACTCGTTATTGCCACTAATTTCTAATGTTAAGTCTTTTTAGCGTATTGATTCCGGGTTGGAACATGCAATCCATTTATCACATCAACGGAAGGCTTCTCTTTCTATATTTCTACATTCACCCTTCGTTTGTTTTTCGCTGTCTCACATGACCTATCCCAAGCAGCTACCCATGTCGTTCAATCAGCAAGTTAGATGTGAGGCAGGTTGTACACTTCGAGATTCCTATACTCTCGCATAGTTCGACAGTCGACAGTGTATTGATGGGGCTTTTGGACGAAGAAAGAACATTCACCAAAGAGTGGACAAGGAACAATGTGAAAACCTTGGCTGTGGCCAAAGAGTGTGCAACGTGTACAACAAAAACAAAAAAAAAAAAGAATGCCAGCTATGGGAACAGGTTCATCAGCATCCTCTCTCTACAACCTTTACAACATGAACAATCCAAAATTGAATCCTTTGGAGCTCCCAGAAATCATCTCGCCTGTTGGAGACTTTCTTGAGCGAAATGACCTCCTGAACTGCATCCGCGTCTCCAAGAGCTTTCATAGCACCCTCATCGGGCGTATATGGAAAAACATCCTTGTCGCCGAATACCATTACGAAACTAAAAGGAAATATCCTATTGGCGAAACACTACAGAAACACAAGAAATACATTGAAGCGATAATATTTCGAAGTGATGATCAACCAGACGAGAGTATTAGAATTATTATTCCAGACGAGTATTGGTCATTGCAGGGATGCGATCGTCTCCAGTTCATCGCATTCGAAGGATGGATGCGTTACAAACAGAATGAACATTTGAGCCTTCTCCTCAAGAACCACAGCTCTACCATCACCAGACTTTACTTTAACAATACTCAAACATCGCGTGAACTCTGGGAGACAATGCTGGGATGCACCAATCTCGAGCGTCTAGAAGTAACTTACACAAATATAGACGACGAAATCGATGTATTCCTCCAAGTGTGCAAGAAAATTAAGTACTTGTACTTGAATGGACTATCCTTAAACCGGCTACCTGCCAGCTTCCTTGGTAATGAGAACAGTGATTATAATCTCTCGAATATGCACACACTAAGTCTTTGTGACATCCGAGTATACAGCCAGCACTCGTACACAAAAGCATATTCCCTTGGGGCGTTGGTCAGAAGATGTCCAGGATTGCGTGTACTGGAATTTCTTGATTTCTTCGAGGGAGACGGCGATAGTTTCTACAAGGAAGCATTCCTTCAGCATCCCTGGACTCAGGATAACTTGTCAGAGCTGATTTTGCTTGACGCGCAGTTAAAAGACGAGAACACGGCGAGATTCCTCAGACGGATGTCTGGGTTAAAATGGCTAGACATCCCTCGTTGTGAACTCGGTCAGCACTCTCTGCAGGAATTGCTGTCTGACAAGCAAGAGGCTTTTGATAATGGACAAATGGTATGGAAGACAAGGCCGCAGAAGCTTTGTGAGACTGTTGAAAGATTGGTGTTCAATGTGCGCGGTACCGATGTGGATGGGATTGCTCAAGCTATTTTATCCAATTGTCCACGCCTGAAGGAGTTTGTGGGACCTAAAATCACAATGACGGAGATTGCCAATGGAGCAGAATGGGTGAGCACTGGGCTGACCGAGTTGGCTGTTTATCTGGAGGCGGACATTGATCAAGAGACTACCGAGGGCATGGAGAAGGCACGTAGTGTCTTTAAGCAACTTGGGAAATTGACTCAACTACGGTCTCTTAAGTTAACAAAGCGGAACTCAAATGATAGCGAAACGCGGACGCTGGATTTGAGACTAGGAACTGGTCTAGATGAGCTAGCCAACCTGAAGAGGCTGCGTGAGCTATCGTTCAACGATGATGATCACCAAGAAATAGATCTTGAGGAAGCGACATGGATCATGGACAATTGGCCAAGAATCGAGTACTGGAATGGCAAGTTGATGTGTGATTTACTTGCGCCGCACAATATAAATACATGCATCTTTTTAAGGCAGTCAATCGAATGAAACTTGTGATAAAAATAAAAGAGGACATATTAGGAACCATCTCAATCGTTGGCGGCTTCCTCAATCGACATAATCCTGTAAACTGCATCCGTGTTCCAAAGACTTTTCATAGTGTACTTAAGTGAAAAATATTTTGTAGACAGATACGTGAATACGAAGGTCGTGTATCGTACTGATGTACTGAGTATACCAACATGAGTTTTCTTTTTTTTCTGAAATAGAGAAATGAAAATGTTGACATGATAGCAAAAAACCATATCAGTCCCATGTATATCACTGCAAGGAATATCTTGCCTCAAACGAAGACGCTCGCCATACAATGGACCACTTCATTTCGTAGGATCACTTTTAAGAGAAAAATACAGCTTTGGTTGTTTCCGTGTTTCACATGTTTTATTGTCGCTCACACTTTCTGAACATGGATGTTAAGTAATTTAACGTTGTTATATGGGATACTTCACAAACCATAACAGTTGCCATCCCTTCCAATACCACAAGAGTGTTTACATCCCGAACATTTCCTGCTGAACAAGAGGAGATCCAAGTCAAAAGATTCGTGTTATGGGGATGACAACTTGATGATCTTAGAGTCATAAAGGCCCCCATTTCAAAAACAATCAGCGCCGAGAATCTAGAACTATTGAACTATTGAACTATTGAACTATTGAAAAAGAGCATTTGCCAACAATCTTCTATTAAAGAACTGCATGAAGATCGTATCCATTATGGCCAATAAAAGATCCAAAATAATAAATTTTACTTTTTCTCATGACACCACACTGGACGGAAAGTCATTTCAGCAGAAGAGGGATTGGTAATGTTGTAACTCCGTCGTAGGCGAAGGTTTGCCTTTCTTGTATGTCCTCTCATCAAAGACGCCTTTCTTCGGGTATAATAATATTCATCTAAGAGATGCCTCGTTCACAAGATAAAAGAAAACAAGAATAAACATCAGGCACCAAAAGCAGAAGTCTGCAAGAAATGAAGCCTGAATTAATCATTATAGTAGAAACATTAAATCTCTATTTATGATACCATTAGTTATACGGTAGCGGCAGGTCTTGTTTACATCCTCATTGTTATAAAGATAATAGCAGTAAAAGATATGAAAGAATAATTAGTGCAAGTGCTGGATTGCTCCCATGAAGTAACATGTAAATCAGGTACCAATCAAATAATAATAGCACGTTCACAGATATAATTATACTCTTGCCTTTTTTTCACGAGTGTTCGAAAGCGAGAGTGTCCAAATGTTCTGGAGACGCGCCTTTGATACGGGGTCGGACATCTAATGGTGTAGTCTTTCTTGCTTCCTTGTCCTGTTCCTCACTTTTATTAACCTTTTCTGCTACTTCTCTTCTTCGTTAGTACTTTTGTTTACTTTTTTTTTGCGTTTTGTTGTTTGGTGTTTTCTTTTCTTACTTTTACTTTCATTGACTTCTTGGTACTTACCTTACTTACCTGAGACTGTCCACCCGACCACCCTATACAATCCCTTACCCTTGAAGAAAAAAAATATAAAAAAAAACTTCTTCCCGGTATTCGCTTTCTTTTCTGTACTTTCATTTGCTTTCACTTTTTTGCTATGCTTCCGTTTGTTTCGCTTTCTATTTTCTAGTCATGCTTTCGTTTGTATTTCTTTAACGCTTGTTATCTTTTGACTCATTCTCCTTTGCTGGTTCTCTTTCTTACTATCCTTTACTAGTTCATTTCCTTGTTATCCTATGATGGTTTACTTTCTTGCTATCCTTTGTTAGTTCATATCCTTGCTATCCTTTGATGGTTCGCTTTCTTGCTATCCTTTGATACTTCCTTTCTTATTATTCTTTGCTGCTTCACTTTCTTGCTGTGCTTTGATGGCTCATTTCCTTGTTATCCTCTGATGATTCATTTCCTTGTTGTCCTTGGTGCTTCACTTGTTATTCTTTGCTAGTTCATTTCCTTGTTATCCTTTGATGGTTACTTTTTGTTATCCTTTGGTGCTTCACTTTCTTGTTAGCCTTTGATGGTTCAATTCCTTGTTACGCTTCCATACTTTATCCTTCAATGCCTCACTTGGTTGCTACGCTTTCATTTCTTTCTTCCATGCTTGACTTTCCTGTTATGCCTTCATCTCTTTTTCGGTACTCCACTTTTGTTATCCTTTTCTATGTTTTCCTGGGCGCATCTCTTTCGTGTTATGTTCTATTACGCTTTCCTTCATTGCTTCGCTTTCTTGTTATTTTTTCATTTGCTTTTCTCGACGCTTCACCTTTTCACTATGCTATCCTTTGTTTTTCTTCGCTGCTTCGCTTCCTTGTTATGCTTTCTTTTTTGCTGCTTCACTTCCTCATTTGTTTTCCTTGGCCCTTCACTTTTTAAATATACTTTCATGTGCTTCTCTTCGACGCTTCACTTTCGATTTATCCTTCCTTTGTTTCCCTTCGATGCTTCGCTTTCTTACGTTGTTTTCAGTTGTTTTCGCCCTTTTCTTATTATGGCTTCCTTTCTTATTATAACTTTCTCATCCCTCAAACTTCCAGTCGCTATACTTATTTTGTGAGCCTTTTCAACTTGAATCAGTCTATCTTTCTCAAGTATTATTTCCTCAGTTCAGATCTCTTCCCTCCTCTCAACCAACTATTGATAGCCGTCGAAACAGACAAACGTTATGATTCAGCTCTATCATCTCAGCTCTCTACCATCTTGTACGGAGATGGATATAGGTCACGAAGCTTCTTTGGTCTCAATATTTGATTATCATTTTATTGAACTCAGTGATGTTGAGCATGTGCGCGTTCATGCCATATGCATTTTTGCACAGTCAGAGCCGTCGTACGGCCGAAGAAGGATAACTTGGTACCAAAAATAACAAAGGAGAAGCCTGACAACAACGTAGTCCTGTAAGGGTCACTGTATTCTGTCAATGTTCAGGTTGCGGATGAAGCTGTTTAGAGAGATGCTTAAGAAAAGAAAAGAAAAGAAAAAAAAAAAAAAGGAAACGAAGGGTAATCAAACAAAGACGCAGTTCAACTTCTTCTTTGGCTAAACCACATCTCCTGCAGCAAGTGAAGTAGTTGTGCAAATAGTTGAGGTAACCGTTAAAAAAATCTTTTTGATACAAACGCATGCGTTGGCTCTTCTAGTTGAGAAACCATCCTCCACTTTTGACAATGTGCAATGCTTTTTATTTAATTTATTATTGCTATTATCATTATTATTACTATAGTAGCTCTTATAACACAATCATCAGGAAGTAGAGTTGCACTAAAAGTCTCATGTCCAAGGTCCTTGTCCCCCTATCAAGTTACGATGACAATGCTATCCTCTTTTTTCTTTAATTTACGTAAAGGATATAGGAACTTCTCTACCACAGTAGGTTCACTTTCACCAACGACCATTATACTATACGCGTAATTGATACTTGGCCAATTGTTAACCATCCATGTCGCTTCCTCAAGTTGCATTTGACAGTATTTATCATCTTTTAACATTAACGAGTGTAGTCTCTTTAGATTGGATAGTTCATCTAGACCTACTCTTAGCCTCAAGTCCAGCGTCGATCCACGCTCCTCCAAGGAGTAACCCCCGGCCAGGCTAAAGCATTCTAGCTGAGTCAACTTGCCTAGTTGTCTAAACGCAAGGCGCGCCTTTGTCATGCCTTCTTCAGTCTCCCACAGGATCTCCAAATCCTTACCTTTCGCACTATTTGTCCATTACTCCATATCCTTTGCTAGTTAGATAGCAATGCTTGTAAAGTAAGCTAGCCGAGTTCATGATCTTGGACATCTAGCCGCCTTAATTCAGTCATCCATCTGGGAATTGCTACTATTTTCTCATCCTCCATTGTCATATGTAAACACAGATCTGATAAGTTATTCAGGATCCAGTGGTGCTGAAGGGGTCCTACTCTGTAAAAGTCTAGCTCATCAGATTCCGCGCACTGGTTGTCAGCATCCAATGAACACAATTCTAGACAATTCCCAATCAACATAGCGAGGCAATACAAGCTGGTATACGAAAAGGGAGGACCTTTATGTATACATTCTCAATACGCAGTGTGCGTACATTCGGGCAAATACATTTGCTGTTCCCACTACTTAGGACGTTGATAGGTAGCCGTTGGACGGTTACATTGTCCAATTCCAAGTGCCTAGCTTTCTCGCAGACTTAAAAGAATGATGGGCTATCAACAATTGCCCTTTCTATGTGAGAAAGCCTCAAGTGAGTGAGATTGGCGCACTCCTGTAAAGCCTTCCAGAGCTTTGGCGAAGGGTCAATTTTGACCACGTAAAAGCTAGTGAGCTGATTGAAAAGGTGGGTCGGTGTGGGCCATGAACAGTGTCCTTCGTATACGACGGACTTGAGTCCCTGTAATGAGCCATACTGCGCCGAGAGAGATTCTCTAAATACAAAGTCTTGAAATGTAATCTCTTCAATGGATACAATTTAAAAGGTCATCCTGATCGAGGAAATCGCTGATGAGTAAGAGGATTCAGGAATCTCCAAAGGTTCAATTTATGGCTGTCCATATTGCAATGATGCTCATGGAGTGTGCTTCATTTGATTGTTAAAAAAAAAAATGGCATGACTGTGCTTGTTCTGAGCACTATATCCATATTCTATAGAAACGAACACAATCCACGACCAGATATTTTATCTTTGAACCCATTGAAAGTTGGAGACCATGTAAACGGCTGTATGCTTGAAAAAATAGTATAGCCTGTCTCTGCATAATATGAATATACATGTACACCAAAATTTTGTTTATGTGGACGATTTACTAAGGAAAACGTCCATATATTTTTAAGGTTCCAATGAATTGGGAAGTATTCTTAACTTTACAAAATATATAGGCACATGTGACATTGCATTTAAGGGTTCCCATAAATGCACATTCCCGGACGAAAGGTTGGACAAAAGGTTGGACAAAAGGCCGGATCCAAGTGCATTTATGCGAACCCATAAATGCAATGTCACATGTGCCTATATATTTTGTAAAGTTAAGAATACTTCCCAATTCATTGGAACCTTAAAAATATATGGACGTTTTCCTTAGTAAATCGTCCACATAAACAAAATTTTGGTGTACACCTTAGTCTATATTCCTGACAAATGTCTAGATCGAACAAGGCTTTATGGGCTCTATCTATGCCTGCATAGGATGACTGTGAGCTTAAAGTTAAACTGCAATGTAGCCAAGGGATGATTTGAAGGAAGGCACCAGGTCTGAAAATGAGTTGATAATTCATGCAAAAGGCAGACTTATTTAATAATGACAATTGGTTAGGAAAGACGACCACAATGACATCAATAAAGGATAGATGGTTTCAATCTTTCAGGGGGTGAGTCCCATGCACGTACAAAAAAAAAAAAAAAATAAAAAAGTGTCAAGCGGCAATGACACATGTCTCATGTTCTCTACTCCATTGACATCATCTCTTTACAACATGAGCAAAAATAAAATGAATCCCTTGGACATTCCTGAAATAGTCTCGCTCATTGGTGACTTCCTCGATCGAAAAGACCTTCTCAACTGTATCCGTGTCTCCAAAGCTTTTCACAGCGCTTTTGTCTGGTCCATCTGGAAGATAGTCATTATCAGACCTCCTCCATCCAGTAATCCTAGCGACAAAGCACTCCAGGCCAATAAGAAGTACATTGAGGAGATTAGGTTTCAAAAATACAGTGTTCCAGAGGAGTATAGATCATTACGCGAATGTAATCGTCTCCAGTTCATCACATACGAAGGCAATGGGCTATCGGACCTAGAGCCCGCTCACCTTTTCAATCTGATCAAGGCCAACAGTTCCACCATCACCGGGGTTCGCCTGAACAATATTCGAGCTTCGCCGAATCTCTGGAAGACGTTACTGGAATGTACCAATCTCAATCGTTTGGAGGCTTCTAGCATTTCTGTTATACATGATATCGATTTATTGATTCAAGTCTGCAAGAAACTCCAGTACTTAGATTTGGATGGTGTATGTATTAGCCGGCTACCTATCGATTTCCTAAGGAATGAGGGCAGCGAATATATTTTCTCAAGTATGCACACCTTACGTTTTCGGAATGTCAGAATAAACAGTCGCCCACAACCGTATACATCATCACACTTCTTCGGCACGTTAGTTAGGAGATGTCCAGGATTGCGCGTACTAAAATTTGACGAGTCCAGCGAGTGTCACCAGCTTCAGCAGCTAGAACATGATAATTTCTACAGGTTAGCATTCCTTCAGCATCCTTGGAAATTGACAAAGTTATCAGATCTGTCTCTCCCTTCCATGAGGATAAAAGACAGGGATATGGCGACACTTCTCAGATGGATGACAGGATTAACACAGTTAAATGCAGCATTTTGTGAGTTCAGCCAGCTTTCTTTACAAGAATTGCTAGCACGCAAGCAAGAGATATGGGATAATGGACGCATGATACAGGAAACAAGACTTCACAGACTTTGTGAGACAATTGAAACGCTGATCTTTGGTCAAGCATGCGTCGTTGAGATGAGTGGTTTGGTTCAAACGGTTTTATCGAATTGCCCACGACTGAAGATACTAAGAGGATCTAAAATCACAGTGACGGAGATTGTCAATGGAGCGGAATGGGTTAGCACTGGATTGACTGACCTGGTGCTCGATCTCGAGGCAGATATTGATCAAGAGACTGAAGAAGGCATGGCAAAAGCGCGAATTGCATTCAGACAACTAGGGAGATTAACTCGGCTACATTATCTTAACCTAACTGGGTGGAGCCCAATGAATAGAGGAGTACGGACTCTGGACTTGAAGCTAAGAGCAGGTTTGGATGAACTAGCCAAACTGAAGAATCTGTATATGCTAGCGTTCAAAAAGGATGATCGTCAACAAATACAGCTTGAGGACGCGGCATGGATGGTGAACAATTGGCCAGAAATCAAATACTTGAATGGTCGTGTAAAAGGCCCAATGGATGAAAACAGCTTAGCATATGATTTCTTAAAGTCGCGCAAAATATCCGTTTTGGTAAAATAAAGAAAAAATACATTATTGACTCACGAATCCGATATAAAGGACACGCACCTTAGCCATTCAATATGAATCTACATACCGATGACTGTCACGCAGCCTTTGATGAAGATGATGATAAAATGTAGCCATAAGAAGAATAATAATAACTGAGCATCTAAGGTATCTTTACATTTACGCCAAATCGAATTTCTTTTGTTTGCATTTATTTCACTGTGTGTGGTTTAGGTGAGCAGCAAATTGAATTGTGCATTTTTTATTTCTTCTTCTTTTTCTTGCCTTCCCAAAAGATCCATTTTTGCAGTGTGGGCCGCGTTAATATGCCATGATTCTTGAAAGGCTACTATCACTACTATCAGGTGTACAAGGATGCCGAAGGGATGCTATCCTAGAAGTTTGCTTGTTCTTCCTCGTCCGAGCCGCCAATATGCAATGAACGCAATTCTTGACATCTCCTAACAAACATGCCGAGGGAATAGTAGATGGTGATACGGTTTGACAGAGCTAACCAGATGTTATCAATGCGTAGTATGCACATATTTGGGAGAACATTGTCGCTGCCTACGCCGCTTAGGGATCTGTTAGGTAGCTGATGGATGGCTACAGCCTCCAATTCCCAGTACCTAACTTTCTTGCAGACTTGAAGGAATAGGTCAGCAGCAGTTTCCATATATATGCGAATAAGCTCCAGACGCTTGAGGTTGGCGCATTCCAGTAAAGCCTCCCAGAACTCCGGCAAAGATTCAATATCGTCGGTCAAGTGAAAGCTAGTGATGATGGAACTGCAAGCCTTGATCTGGTTGATAAGGTGGATTGGTTTAGGCCATGAACATTCGCCTTCGTATGCGATGAACTTGAGCCTCGGTAACAACCCTTATGCCTTTGCAGTGTTTCCCTGCAAGGCTCTGCTGTTTCCAACAATGATTTTTCTCCATACGAATCTGGTAAGAGCTATGAAAAGGCTTAGAGACGTGGATACAGTTTAGATCTTTTTTATTGAGGAAGTTGTCAATAAGGCGATTGCTGAAACCTCCAAACGATTCAATCTAAGGCTGTCCATGTTGCAAAGAGATGATGCTAGTGGATAAATAAAAAATTGCTGTGAAAGAGACAGAACATTATCATCTTGTACAGAGATAGATATAGTCCCTTCGATCTAGATGGTCGTTTAGCATTCCATCGAACGTTCAGCGATGCTGTGCAGGCGCAATTTAAGCATTCAGAGCGTAAATGGAAGAGTAATATAACTGACAACTATACAAATACGGTTGTATATATAGTTGTGAAGGTATATAGTTTGATATTATGACTGATAAGATAATTCTGGCAATTGTGCATTAGTGGTATTAGCATTTCAGGAGCCGTTGCATGCAAAGCTGTGATAATAATCGTTTAAGAGAAAGCGCATCCCGCACAGCGTGGAATAGCAGCAACCATAAAAGAATAGTTTTGACAGTAATTGGCTGCCAATAGTTGGGAAACCCTTTGTTGCATATTTTACTTTTGCAAGAGAAAGAGCTCGTAAAGATAACTAATTAAAGATATAAATGTACTATGTGGTTAAGAACAGTAGATATTAGTAGCAATAAAACTATGTAAATAAGCGATAATTCTACAGCATGCTTAGAAAAACACATAGATGCCTGGCAATATCCTTTGCACCAGATGGCAAATATTTAACCCATGGGTGTGGTGTACAGATCTATATCTTATTCTCATTTACCATTTACATGTGCCCATTACCTGCTTACTAGTCCATTCATAATTTCGATTTGGTGACCGATTTTGACTTTATTCTTTTTTTTTTTCTGCCTAGAAATGGAAAGTATCTTATTCAATTTAAAAAGCTTAAAAATACATTGGCTTTTAACGACTTGTTGACGAGGACTCTAGACATAGAGTTAAACCGTACAGGCTCCAGCGCACGACCAATGGGGCTGGCATTCGCCGTTCGATGAGCAAGGGACGTACTGACCGTCCCACGTCGAGCCTTTAGTAGTGTAGCACCATTCCAAGCTGCTGACACCACAATTGGCCCAGCATCGACCTTTGTAGCAGCCATAACCAGCTTGACCAACTGCCATGCATGCTGCCCAGACCGAGAAAACTGCGATAATAGATGTAAGCGACTTCATAATGCAATGAGACTTGCGGCCGTTGGCAAAGAGGATATGAGGTAAATAGAGAGAACCACTTGAGAGCTTGGCAAAGACGTGTTAGTGTACGCGAAAAGGTTCGAGTCTTGAGACTGGCTCGGTTGTGTGTTAGTGCTGAACTTTGGATGGGGGTGTGTAATAATTAAGAGAGATAAAAGATGATTTTATTATAATTATTAAAACAAGCCTTTTTATAGGCTTAAGGCTATATACTGTCACAAGGTGCCTCCATTTTATACGCGAAGAGGGTCTCAAAAAGAAATAGCTATTGCCATTTTTGCATACACATGTACATGCATTCTTTCCTTTTATTTGGGCAAAGCTTCAGCCTGGTGGTGTTTGACTAAGCTTTATTCGCATGAATGTGTAATCCACCTAATATTATTACGAGCCACAAGCCATGGCTTCGATGCGGTCAATTCATCTCGCAAAAAGAACAGTAGATACTGCTGATGACTTTTTGCCTAAGACTTTATTCATGCCAGCGCCTTTTGTCTTGTTTCTGCACCTCTTGGATTGGGCGTTGATCTTCGATACTCTCCAATTGGAGTTCTCGCTTAATGCGCAGTCCCTTGGTGTGGAGAACTTTTTTGGAGGTCAAGGATCAAAGGTATGCGCTGTCTTAAGTTTGTTTGACAAAATATTATTCAGCCCTCTTCCTTGCTTTCCCCTAAATTTCTGCTATCTTTCCTTTCCTTGTTGACCTTTTATGTCTCTATCCTCCGCCTTTCTCATTAATGAATTTTTTTTTCTGCTTCTGTAATGGTGGGCTAGTGGTCTTTTTTATCTCTCTTTGTAAAATCACCAGGCAAACCTAGCATGACATCTCTTCCTGCAATAACATCTGGGAGAGAAAGAGGGTGGGAATAGTATAAAAGTTCCGAGGAGCGAGTATAATGACAAAGCAAATGCTATGGTATCCCCACCAGGCCCATCTGCGATAAAGAATACAATTACTATCTTTATAAGGAAAAGAAGGAGTATACATACCCTAGACTCCAGTGTCAGTAAGGTATTCTAGTTCTAGAGCTGAGCACAAAAGCTGATCGCTGCACAGATTTCAGTGCTTCTAATACACTACAGACAACAGAAAGAGGTTGTGCGTCAAGCCGCGATGTCTGCCACTCCTTCAAAGTGAGCCAATATGCTTCTTTATATACTATATGGTAGACATGTCTCATAGCATTATATCGAGCCTTGGTTTCCTAAAACCTAAAATCCATAGTCCAAGACGCGTCTTTTTTCTTTTTAGTGAGATTTCGACTTTCCATTAAGAAGCCTCGCATCTCCTTGTAAGGATATCCATAAATGCTTGCTGGACTACAATATACATTCCTTATTCCTGCTCTTCCGAAATTTCGGAAGGGGTTGGAGATATTCTAGTGGTTCTGCAGTGTTTTTGACTACAAGCTAGACAATTTTCATTGTGAACTTGGCTTCTAGACACCCACATTTTCAAAATCTTGAATCAAAATCTCTTCAAAATACGTTATTTGCCCTTGTGAAGACGCGTTCAATTGGGATACAGACCCTGAGAGGCGCAGTACGCTTGGGACTGAAAAGAGAGGCTTTACTTTGGGACACTTTATCTTTTACAGTTCCTAGAAGCACTTGGAGGGCGAAAATTTAATTTTTCCCAACTGGACAACACTTTGCTTATTTTCACTTCTACAAAAATCTGCTTTTTAATTCATCTTCTCCGATTGATTGGGGACACCTTTTTTTTAAGAACACAAAAAAAAAAAAACCATAGGCAAATAAATAATCTTCAGTAGGCAGCGGCATTAACAGACATTATCAATACGTGATGGATCTAAGCATGGGGCTGCAGAATGAGTTCGTGCTGTTCTTTAGACTAATATAGAGGTATCTGGTGATATTCTTTGCACTAGAAAGCGAATGTATGTTATATGAGTGTGGCGTGTGGATCCATGTCTTATCCCCATTTACTTCTCTACCTGATTGCTTGTCTATCTATCCAAAAAAAATCATTCATTTATCTTTGGCAACGTGCAATGCTTCGTAAAGATTATTATGGCTACTTTTACCATCGTCCCCATCAAGGTCTTATCACAATCATCAGTAAGCAAACGGAAGACCATTAGAAGGCTCATGTCCAAGATTATTGTTCTCTATACCAGGTCGTGAATCGATAATGTATAATTTCTTTGCTCATTCAGGCTTTCAGCTAATGGATATATTGTGCGACTTAAGGAAGTCATAAACTGAAGTATCTACACCCATCGGTACTTCCAAACGACCATACAAGTATCTCATACTTGGCCAATTGTCCACGATCCACACCGCATCCTGTAGCTCTATTCGCTGGAGATAACCATATCCGAACATTAGCACTTTCAAACTCTTCAGATTTGCTAGCTCGTCTAGGCCTGTCCTTAGCCTCAAGTCCAGCGTCCGTCTTCCATTAGGCTGACACCCTGCTGCTATGGCGAGAGAATTTAGTTGAGTCAACCTTCCTAGTTGTCTAAATGCAATTCGCGCTTTTGCCATGCCTTCTTCAGTCTCTTGATCAACATCTGCCTCAAGATCGAGCACTAGGCTAGTCAATTCAGTGCTAACCCATTCCGCTCCATTGACAATCTCTGTCACTGTGATTTTAGATCCTTCCATTGTTCTCAGTCGAGGGCAATTCGATAGAATTGCTTGAGTAATACCGCTATTGTCTGTACGGAATGCTAATGCCTCGACTGTTTCACAGAGCCTCCGAACCCTTGTCTTCCGTACCATCTGTCCACTATCTAGTACCTCTTGCTCACCAGCTAGTAATTCTTGCAAAGAAAGCTGGCCGAATTTACAATATCGGCTGATTAGCCGATTTAGTTCAGTTATGCGCCTGAGAAGTGCAGCCATATCCTCGTCCTCTATAGTCATATTAAGCAAACACAAATCTGACAGACTATTCAGGATCCAAGGATGCTGAAGGAGTGCTGCTCTGTAGAAGTCCGCTTGGTGATTTTGCTCGAACTCCCCATCAACAGTCAGTTCGCACAATCCTGGACATTTCCTAACCAGCATCCCGAGGTAATACCAAATAGTGTACGGAAAGGGAGGACCAACTATCTGGACATCCTCAATATGCAGTATGCGTATATTTGGGAGAACATACTCGCTGCCTTCGCTGTTTCTGAAGAAGTCAGGTAGCTGGAGCATGAGTATATGCACCAATTCCAAGTGCCTAACTTTCTTGCAGACTTGAAGGAATAGATCGAACTCTTTATTAGCGCACCTTATACTTGTATTATAGGTTCCTAATCTATTGAGATTGGTACATCCCAACAGTGCCTTCCAGAGCTCATGTGAGCTTCGAACTCTATGGAAACATATCCTGGTAATAGTGGAACCATGTACCCTTATGAGATTTGAAAGACTTCGTAGGTGACTTGATTCAGCCGACATACGAAACTGCGACCAGTAATTGATGGACTGGAGGCGAGCACATCCTTGCAATATCGTATACTCCTCAGGGAAGACGTTTTGAAATAAAATCTCTTCAATATGTTTCTTGTGTTTTTGCAATGCTTCACCAGAAGGATATCTGGATGAAGGTTCGACAGTGATTCTTCTGTATAAGAGTCCAATAAATGCGTTGTGAAAAGTCTTGGAGACACGGACACAGTTCAGAAGATCTTTTTCATAGAGGAAGTCGCCAACGAGGGGGATAATCTCGGGAAGATGCAAGGGATTCAAGCTCATTTTGCTCATGTTGCAATTACAAAGAGAGGATGCATGGAATGTTGGACGTGATGTCTTTGCATTCTTTGTAGACATGACGTTCCACCAGAAGTCTCATTTGATTGGCTGACCTTCTTTTGTACAGTCACCTGAAATAAAGTTTGGACAAAATGATTTTTTTTTGAACAACCTGGACAAACAGCTCATATGCAACATACATAAAGACTTCATCAATACACATGAAATTTTACATGCTCACTAAAGAGGTCAATACTGTTATTTATTGGGGTTTTGAAGACGGCATTGTTAGAGTAGCAAAAGTGCCATGTAGGTTCAATAGTGAGTGTTCCTACCATCGACCCCATTCACTTCTTCCAGCCTTTCGGGCATGGTAGCGACAAGGCTGGCCAGCCTCTCTTGCGGTAAATTATTCCACTCTTCGATAAGAGCCCGTGTGAGAGTGGGAAGATCTCTTGGCCCTTTAGCGCGCCTATCGAGTGCATCCGCAAGAAGTGACCATACATGTTCAATAGGGTTCAAATCTGGGGAGCATGAAGGCCAGTCTGGAATCCTCGGGATGCTGTTTTTTTCGCGCCATTCTTTTGCAATCTTACAAGTATGAACTGGAGCATTATCCTCCATAAGTATGCCATCCTCTACCTCAGCCATAAATCTGGCTAGCTCGCCTTGATATACATCTTCCACGAAACACCGTCCATCTTTACGACCTCTTTCAAATACAACCAACCGAGACTTTCTGGTTGCTGTGAACGCCCCCCAGACCATCAGAGTTGTTCTACCACTTTTGAAAGTGGGTGCGAGGCAATCATGATCGTACTTTTCCTCTACTTTACGCCAAACTCTTATTTGACGAAAATGCTCACCAACTTCAAATGATTATTCGTCAGTCCAAACTACCCGATTCCAGTCTTCCATGGACCAACTCATATATTTTTTGACAAACTGCAGCCTCCTTTTTATATGTCCTTCTTTTAAGAATGGTTTTTTTACTGCAATCCGGCTGAAAATACCCAGTGAATGCAATGCCTTCGCAACTGTCCTCTCGCAAACTTTGTTCGGCAATTGGTTAGTGATATCATTAAGAGTACACCTTCTATTCTGCTTAGTATGGCGAACGATGCTCCTGAGGTCCCGTTCACTTAGTACTTTGGGCCGTCCTGGGATCGGAGTGCAAGCAGTGGTGCCTCTTTCTTGGTACACCCTGATAATATTAATAACAGAGGTTCGGGGTACACCGCGTTGCAATGCGATTTCCGCAGCCTTCATGCCCGCGAGGTGCATTCCAACGATGATACCTTTATTCTCAATGTCTAAGTGTCTCGCCATGGTGGTTTACTCAAGCTGTTTGTATGTGAAAAACAGAAAGGAAAGAGATTGAAGGAAACGCTTCCCTACGTAACTATTTCAATATTTTATTTTTTTGTCCAATCTTTGTTTTAGGTGACTGTACACCAGTGTTTTGTTAGACTAATAGCCCGCTGAAGCTCCCACCACACCACACGTCTTGGTCTATGTAAGCATCCACAAGAGATGGAATGTGGACAAGATTTCAATGTGCAAAATTTTCTGCGCCACGCGAACTTTTTTTTTTAAAAGTCGCCTCCTCTTTTCTTCAAAGTCGAGCGAGAAAGATCTGGCGCATGCACCATCTCATCATAACGACTCTCCCCATTCCTTCAATAAATTTCATTCTCATCTTCAATAACGTTCATACTCCTGCGACGCGTATCTGAGCGAGCGTTTGAGTATCGTTATACGCCACCAGGTCGGTGAAAGCACCTCGTGTGATTACGCCACCATCTTTGCAACATGGAAAACATTAAATTGAGTCCCTTGGACATTCCAGAAATCATCTCCCTCATTGGCGAGCATCTCAATCGAAGAGACCTTATAAACTGTATCCGCGTCTCAAAGGTCTTTCACAGGGCTCTTATCAGGTCCAGATGGAGAGAGATCAATATTGTCTGTAAATATCCTACTGGAGAAGCACTAGAAAACAACAAGAAATACATTGAGGAGTTAAGGTTTGAAAGCAGGTTTCCAAAAGAATATGGGTTATTGAAAGGGTGTGATCGCCTCCAGTTCATCGATTACAAACGGGAATTTGGTACATCGTCCCAATTGAACTACCTTTCAAACCTCATCAAAGCCCACTACTCTACTCTCACCAGGATTTGCTTTGACGATATTCAAAGTTCACATGAGTTCTGGGGGGCACTACTGGAATGTACTAACCTCAAGCGTTTGGAAGTGTCCTACACACGTATAAAGGATGAAGTCGGCCCATTCCTTCAAGTCTGCAAGGGGCTTGCCCGGTTGACTTTAAGATGTGTATCCATATTTCAGCTACCAAGCAACTTCATTAGCAACGAGGCCAATGAATTTTCTTTCCTAAATATACACACACTGTCCATTACAGCCGTCGAGATACTTAAACCTCCACATCCATATACAGCATCATCTTGTCTCGGCATATTGGCGAGGAGATGTCCAGGACTATGTGAATTAACATTTGTTGATAAAAGCGGGCACGGGGGACCTGAGCAACTAATAATAAATGACTTCTACAGGACCACATTCCAACAGTATCCTTGGGTATTGGCGAATTTGTCATATCTGTCTTTGCCTTATATGAGAATAAAAGACAAGGATATGATGGCACTTCTCAGCCAGATCACTGAATTAAGACATTTAGATGTCCGACAATGTAAATTCGGTCATCTCTCTCTACAGGAGTTGCTAGCTGATAAACAAGAAATGTTGGACAAGGGACACATATTGCGAAAGACAAGGCCCCGAAGACTCTGTGAAGCACTGGAGGTATTGATGTTTGATGAACAAAGTGTCGGGATGGATGGGATTGTTCAAGCTGTTTTATCGAATTGTCCACGTCTGAAGCAATTGACGGGAACTAAGATTACAATAACAGAGATTGTCAACGGGACAGGATGGGTCTGTACTGAACTGACTGACTTGAATATTTATCTTAAGGCAGACGTTGATCAAGGAACTATAGAGGGTATGGCGAAGGCGCGTATTGCGTTTAGGGAACTTGGCAAATTGACTCAGCTACAATACCTCAGCCTTACGTCGCAGAATTCAAATAATGAAGAGAGAATACGGACAATAGACTTGAGGCTCAGAGCAGGTCTGGATGAGCTAGTCAATCTGAAGAATCTAGTTTCCTTATGGTTTTATGGTGACAATCACCAGCGAATGCAACTCGAAGATGCAACATGGATTGTGGGCAATTGGCCAAGGATCAAATACTTGAAGGGTCGCCTGAACTCAAATCCGAATAAGGATGAAAATGATATATACAATTTGATATACAAATTCTTTGAGTCTCACGAGATATTCGTTAGAAGATAGACTAAAGAAGAAAAGAATTGCATTTCCAATCCAGTCTAGTATGCAGGATATTGAGATTCGGATGCAGGCCTTCCTGTGCTCATAGTCTATTCACTACCATAGTATATTGCAGAAAAGAAAAAAAAGACACTATAGTCTGCGTTGCACCTTGAGAAACTTTTAATGTACTTCGATTGAGTTTATTAAGTACGGTAAACTTCATCTGCAGCTATTAGTTGTAATGTGAGCTTGTTCAAGTTAACGGTCCTTAAACTGTTTTAATGAAAGGTTTACCGAACATTGCTAGCTATCGCACGACAAATCCTCAGTTTTATTTGATCTGGAGGTAAGTTAGAGTAAGCGTTCATTAGGTATCTATCTCGTTTTCTGGTCTTACCCCACTTGTCACGCCCCTTTGCCTTCTATTCATTACAGATAGGGGGCTGGCAACTATTGAGTTGAAGTGGGCTACTTCCACAACATATGTTTCTCTTATAAAAATCTATGGCCCTTTCAAGCTACCAACGAAGGCTGGCGACCTAAAAGCGCAGTTTAAGATCCTTGCCCATATTCCACGAGTTCGAGTATATGCTTTTTCCCAGCCTGATTGGTTTTTTAATTATTGGGCTGCTATTAACACATATCTCATTTTAGACCGGTGTCAAAGAGGCAATGAATAATTATTTCCAATGCCATCAGAGGGATCAAGATGACAAATTGGATGATTGAGGTGATACTAATGAGTGGATATATGAGATGGATGGAGAGGAGATCTCATATGACGACGAGGCACTTGGCTCCTCTCCCTTACTTTAACTACTTAGGCGATACTGGTGAGCGCAAAGGAAATTTTATATGATGAAACTTGGCTCCTCTCTCTAGTTTAAACTATTTAGGGGACATTATGAGTAGATATATGAAGCAGATGTAGAAGGAATAAGAGATTCCATACGACAATGCGGCCCTTGATTCCTTCCTCTTGTTGAAACCTATATACAATGTTCACACTCCTTGTAAATATTCATCACGAGATTTTTGAAAGCAATTTCATAGATATTATTACACAGTTTAACATTCAACTCAAGAATGCTGCAAAGTGAGCTTCCGAGGAGAGATATAGAGTATGAGGACAGTAGAACAGTAGATGCACAAGTAACAATGCTTGCTGAAAATGCAGTGACTGTCGGCCGAGGTTTGGATACTTTTTTTTGTCTTTTTAAAAGTGTTACAAAAGAAGAAGACTAGCTTATTATTATTTTCAGTGAGTTTAATGACATTACAATTCTTGGCTATCCAGTATCAATAAAATATAAGCTGTCTATCTTTGTGAAATGAGTTAGAAGAATAGAAGAGCAGGGAAGAGAGGAGATATGGAATGAGCTAACAATACATAAGGAAGGCTATTTTATTCGAGTTGGCTTATTCGGGTTGAAAAGACTCCTAAATGAGTATGGCAACTGAAGCCTTGAGAAATGAGAAAAGACGTAGCAGGTGCATGCTTGACGGAGGATAGCCTGCTAACTTTTTATTTTTATTGTATTTGTTTATTTGTTACCAATCTTGCTGTTACGCTGACCACCAATGGATGGCCTGGATGGCATGGACTTCAGGAACGTGAACTGACAAAATCAGCCAATCAAATTGGCCAAAACACATTTATTTTCCTCATGTCAGAACTTGTCTCGCTCATTGGTGACTTCCTCAGTCGAAAGGATCTTCCAAACTGTCTTTGCGTCTCCAAACTTTTCATGGAGCTCTTATCTAGCACATTTGGAGGAAAATCATAGTCAGACGACACCGAATCTTTGCCCCTCACTGGCGAAGCACTACAGAAGCACAAGGAACACATTGAGGAACTTCACTTTAAACATCCTGGGGATGATATCCTAGAAGAGTATGGGTCTTTGCAAGGATGTAGTCGCCTCTGGTTCATCAAAGCTTCTAGTTTAATATCATCCGAGCCGATTCACTTTTTGAATCTATTCAAGGCCCACAACTCTACCATTACCAAGGTTATCCTAGAAGACGTTCAAAGCTCACAATTGCTCTGGGATACGCTGCTTGGGTGCATTAACCTTAATCACTTGGAGGTTATTAGTATGTCTATAGATGATGGGGTCGACATATTCTTTCAAGTTTGCAAGAAACTTGGGTACTTGGATTTCAATGATGTTTTCATATGCCGGCTACCTACCGACTTCCTAAGTAGCGAGGTCAGCGAACATACTTTCCCAAATATACACACACTGCACATTGACCGTGTCCGGATATTCGACCCTTCACACCCTTACACACCATCACATTCCCTCGGCATGTTGGTGCGATGTCCAGGATTATATACGCTTAAGTTTGGTAAAAATATCCAAGTTGATTACTATAAGGAAGCTTTCTTCCAACATCCCTGGACTCTGCATAATTTGGCAGAGCTGTCTTCCCCGTCCGCGAAAATAACGGACAGTGGTATGGTAGTACTTCTCAGGCAGACGACTGGTCTAACATGGCTAAATGTCCCAGGTTGCGAGTTCGGCCAGCTCTCTTTGCAAGGATTGCTGACGGACAAGTATGAGGTGTTGAATAATGGACAAATGGTACAAAAGGAAAAGTTTCGAAGAGCCTGTGAGACTGTTGAGATATTGATACTCAATGAAGATAGTGACAGGCCGGATGGCATTGTCCAGGCTATTTTATCGAATTGTCCACGACTGAGGAAACTGACAGGACCTAGAATCACAGTAACAGAGATTGTCGATGGAGTGGGATGGGTATGCACTGGACTGACTGATCTGCATATTACTCTAGTGGCAGATGTTGACCAAGAGACCGAAGAAGGCATGGCGATGACGCGTGTTGTGTATAAAGAACTAGGAAAATTGACTCAGCTACGCTACCTTTGGCTGACTAAGGATTATCGCGATCCTATAGTACGAACGCTGAACTTAAGGCTAAGAGCAGGCCTGGGTGAATTAGTCAACTGAAAAGTCTACATACGCTAAGCTTCAAATCAGATATTTCCCAGAAGATAGAACCCGAGGATGCGACATGGCTTGTGGATAATTGGTCAACAGTATGCTTCAGAGGTTTTTTGGCATTTCGTTAGATGTAGTTCCATTTAGGATGATAATTAAAGCGCTTCCACACACTTGTAGTAAATATGCTGGATACTGTGCCAAAAATCATCACTGAACTTACTAGAGCCCTTATAAGTATCCTTCTCGAAAAGATGGTATTATCCCCATCAAATATATGATAGAAGGCACTAATACCCGCCATAAAAAAAGAATGAAAAGGATCTGTTCAGCATATAAAAGAAGCACCAAATATCATGACAAAGTTGGTCACTTTTAAAAACTTTACAGGCTTGAAGCACGAATGGCTCCTGTTAGAGTGCTACAATGCAGACGCCTTCGTAAAAGCCAATTTGGGAACTTATTACCTTCAGTTTGAAACTACCTTTAAAAGAATCCATTCAGGATCCATGGAGTAACATCTGTACAAAGTATGGTATGCACAGAATAAAGTAAAATTACGCCATTTCTGATGTATAATCAATGGGCTACTGCACGCGTGAAACCATCTTTTAAAAGCTGCACTTCATTACCAGCAACAGGCCTCAGGCCGAGATAATCCAGTTGGATCTAAAATGAACGACTTTACTTATAGCATCATGACCTTTCCGTACACACATAGGCATATCTTAATGAAATACGCTCAAGAAACACGTAATTATCGTCATGGGATATTGGAATATTGGAAATAAGTAATTTCAAAGTTCAAAAGCAGATATTTTCAATCTACATCCTATAATATGGCGGACATGAGCTCTTGGACATTCACTTCATAAACAATAGTGATATAGCTGCAGTAATATTGATAAAAGCGGTCATAGTCATCAAAGAAAAAAAAAAATTCAACGTCTTTCTTTCTTTCTTTCTTTTTATAGATTGACTTGTTTAATTTGCACCTTTCATTGATTGACTATCATTAATCTGCAGTGGGTTCCTCGAAATGACGCTATTGCTATTGCTAGGTTCGTTCAATAGTGTCAAACTATACCATACAGCTATTTTTTATACATTCATCTCTCCCTCCTTTCCCCTATCTGAACTACTTGAATTGAATCTCTTTATGACATGAATATGCCTTCTGCTCGACCCTCTTGAAAAGGCTCCGCAGACTATATTCATGTCTGCAAAAGATGACACAGAGCTTAAAGGACAGAGCTGGGCTGCAGTACTGCGTCTGTTTGAGCTGTTGAAGGTTAATTGAAGGAGGGGAAGAAGGAAAGAAGGAGTCTGGAATGAGGTGGTAGTGCTGATGAAAGACAAAGCTGCATGAGTAGAAACAACTAGGGAATGAATATGACATCCGTGACTTCGTTGTTCTTTCTTTCTTTAAGCGAATTTCTTCATTTATCTCATTTTTATTCCTGTATAATGTACAATTGTACCTTTTATTATTACATAAATATTCTTCATCATCTTCATCGAATAGACGGAGGGATCCCATAAAGCGTTCATCCTGGATAACATCTGTGCTATCGATGTATATGAGCTCTTTCCAACACCATCCTGATCATACTTCACCAGGTCAAACTTATCCAGCACTAAGAAAATGTGGCCCTTCAGGAATCTGATACTCAGCCGATTGTCCAAGATCCATACTGCATCCTTGAGTGTTATTCGTTGATAAAGATCTCGTCTGAAGGCTAATGTGTGCAGGCTCTTCAAGTTGGCTAGTTCATTCAGACCTGCCCCTACCGTTAAGTTCAGCGTCGTATTTGTTAAAGTGCTGCAATACCAGGCCTTCTCAGTCACTTGGTCGATGTCTACCACAAGGTTGAGAGTCAGATCAGTCAGTCCAGTGCATACCCAATCTGACCCACGGAAAATCTGCATCGCTGTGATTTTAGGTTCCGTTAGTTGTTTCAGGTAAGTGGATAAAATAGATTGAGAAAGACAACCCGTCCTGTCGCTGAGTACATTGATCGCCAATATCTCAATCATCTCACAGAGGCTCCGAACCCTTTTCTTTCATATTCATTGTCCATTATACAATATCTCTTGTTCGTCTGCTAGTAATGCTTGCAGAGAGAGCGGGCCAAACTCACTATATGGGATATCTAGCCGTCATAATCCAGGTATCCGTCTGAGAAGCGTCGCTATATCCCTGTCTTTTAGGAACATGTCAGGAATAGATAGTTCTGACAGGTTAATCAGGATCCAAGGGTGCTGGAGGAACACTAGACAGAAAAGAGCATCCTCGTTGCTTATATTTGAACAAAGTTCAAGTACACGCAATCCGGGACATCTCCATAACAACATGCCAAGGAGATACCAGCTAATGCGCGGATCTAGAGGGTCTATCTCGATACCCTCAGTAGGGAATGTGTGTATATTCAGGAGAACATGTTCGCTGTCCTCACTACTTAGGAAGCTGGTGGGTAGCTGGTGGATGGTTACAAGCTCCAAATCCAATTGCCCAACTTTCTGGCAGACTCGAAAGAATATCTCGGCTCCGTCATCAATGGAGTATCATAAAGTTCTAGGGAATTGAGGTTGGTGCATTCTAGAAGTGGCTGCCAAAGCCAAAATGTAGTTTGAATTCTGTAAAAGCCTAACTTAGTGATGGTGGGGTTGTGAGCCTTGATCAGCTTCAAAGAGCGGATCGGTTTATTACATGTTCTACCTGAGTATATGATGTATTGGGGGCGATCACATCCTTGTAATGAGACATACTCCTTTGGAATGTCGTCTACTCCAAAGCGTAGTTCCTCAATATATTTCTTGTGGTTCTGTAGTGCAAGACCAGTATGATTTTTGCTCGGGAAAGGTTCGATAGGTTTCTTTCCATACGAGTCCGATAAGTGCTTTATGAAAAGCTTTGGAAACGTGAATAGAGTTTAGAAGGCCATCTTGCTCGAGGAAGTCGCCAATGAGTAAGATGATTTCGGGAATCTCTAAGGCTCAACTTGAAATTGCTCATGTTGCAAAAAACCCAAGTTGAAAGTACAAAGTGGTGGAGTATGCACGTTCAGCTGGACGAAATCTTTTATTTCCCTGTAAATCGTTATTTCCTGCAAAGAAATAAAAAAAGAGAGAAGCTGCTGCATTGATGCTTACCATACTTTTGTCAAGATATCCTTAAAGAGTGCTTTCCTCATACTTGACGCTTGTGTCTATCTATGGTAGACTTTTGCTGTAGTAGCATGAGAAAGTCGCTTACCAAAGCTGGACGAATCTTACTCAAGGCCATGGACTAGCAATAATACGCGCTGCGTTGTTTTTATTTTATGATAAGTATTATATATACATGCATATACAACATTTATCCTTTAAAATAACGTACAGACAATGCAGGCAAAAGCTCGTGAACGCGTTTTTATTAATGATGGTTCATTCTTGACTCTTTTCTGCTTGTTTAGTTTTGAATCGTTTGTGCTACATGTTGCAATGCAGCCCTTTTTTTTGTTTAAGCGTGTGCGTGGGCAGTCCATGATTGGTCTTTTTATTTTTTATCACTTCACTCTAACCCCACTTTCACCCCTTTTTTGCTTTGCCTTGTTTTACTTTGATTTACTTGCTTTGCTTTGCATCCTTTTTTCTAGTTGCATCTTTTCAATATACTCCATTTCATTCAAAAAAAAGTAAAAAATAAAGAAATGCACTCATTGTCATGGAGCATTTCGACTACTGTCGTTGCAGTCGCTATGTTGACTCTTCTCTCTGTCTCAGTCTCGGTCAATGCACAGGCTGGAAAAGTGTTGAAGCCTCCAATGGACGATGCTGACCATAGCAATTATGGAGATATGGGCAAAGCAAAGGAGTGAGTGAGTGTTGTGTTATTACATTTTATTTTTTTAGACTTGGTTAGCTTTGAATTGACCTGAAATATTTGAAATAAAAATAGGTTCGCAAAGGAACACATGGGAGAAAGAGGCAAGAACTTGACAGAAAGAGAAGAATTGATGATGTTGTTTTCGATTCATGATACCAATAAGGATGGATACTTGGACGGAATCGAACTTCGTGCTGCATTCAGTCAAGCCAGTGACCCTGCTAAAGAGGATTCGAATCCTCAACTGGAATTGGAAAAGATGATTGAAATGATTGACCATGTCATTGCTGAAGATGATATCAACAACGAGTAAGATCTTTTCTTTCTTTCTTTCTTTCTCTATACTTTATATGTATCTATAAGGCAACTATTATTTATCCTAATTTTGCTTTTTTTTTTTTTTTTTTTTTTTCAATTTGCTTAGTGGCAAGATCTCTTGGGAAGAATACTTGATCAGCCAAAAGTATCATGAGGGATGAAATAGATACTTTTATTTGTACAAATATAAAATGGGTCGAAGAAAGACATATTCAAAAGAATATATATATACAAAACTTTTTTTTTTTCTTTTTTGTCTTTTTCTTCTTCTTCACTTCTTCACAAGATAAAGAATCAAGAGTAAAGTACGTTGCCCAAAGGATCATACAACGGTGTTACTTCCACTGTAGGCCTTCCTTTGCATCTAAAAAAAAAAGAAAAGTTTTTGTGGGATCAGGAAACTGAGCAAATCATATATATTTCAACTTAATGGAAGCAAAGGATAGAGTCGTCTTGCTTTTACTTTTTCATGATTCGATAAACAGGTCGACAAATAATCCTTGCTGGAGACGCATCGCATTCGTATTGAACCAATGACCACAATGTACATTCGTTATTCTGAACTGTCCTAATCTTTACTGATCCATCTGGTTCGTAGCGGTGGGGGTGATCCTCTTGTCTCATTCCTCGGTGCTCCATTCTAGTCGATACACATTTATTTATTGTTCTCGTTTTTTTTTTTGCAAGGATAGACATATTTCGGAGATCTCATCCATGTCTTTTAATTTACATGAATATAATACAATTATACAAATAATCACGTGGACAACATATGCTTTAACCATCCCTAGCTATTAAATATATTTCTTTTCATTTTTATTTACAAATGGGATCCCAATGGCTTCTGAATAACACGACTGTTCCAGTTCAGGACTTGTGTCAATCCTGTGAACCAATCCGTGCTCTGGTCCCGTCGGCAAATCGTCATGACTGGATATTTTGATGCTGTGATCATAACTGAGTCCCCACGCCCCAATTCCTGACGATGTCGACCATCAAACGATAACCAAGCCGTCGTTCGACTAGTGGCAGGCACTAAATACAAGATTTGAATGAAGAGGAAAAAAAAATGATTAAGGCCATCATCTTCATCATTATTCATCATAGGAAATGTTGATCGGATTTTCCTTGGTGACATACCACAGATACGCAGGTGTTTGGTTCCAGGGATAATCATAGGCCGTGCAGTCAAGGAGTGAGGCGCAATAGGCGATATAATAACTGAGTTTTTATCCGGATGGATCAATGAACCTCCAATCGAGAGCTAATGGTTTTTTAGAAATAAAGTATATATACACTTTAATATCAGTCATGGATCGATCATCACTATCATAAAAAATTATAAATAATAATAATAATAAAATTACCGAATATGCTGTCGAGCCTGTAGCGGTAGCGATGACAAGTCCATCTGCCAAGATGGTCGTCACCGGGTTTCCATCCACAAATAGCTCCAGCTGCAACATTCCTGCATTAGATCCACGATCCATGGTCACTTCGTTCAATACGTGATAAGAGTCGGAGGGAGTCATGAACTCTTCAATATTGGGTTTTGGGATTCGAGTGATGAGGGCATGTCCGTTTTCATGACAGGACTCAAGATCTGCTACCTCTGCTCCACTTTTCGAATCCATCGCCTTAACTTTGCGCATAATCTCGGCTTTCCTGTATTGTTCTGCCAACTCCTTTAGACGATGATTGTTTCTTTCGCTATCGCCGTCACTGTCACTCTCACTGTCACTGTCGCTGTCATTGCCAATCTCAATATCACCACCATCATTATCAAGCACAACAACGTTGTCGTTACTAGCGAGGCTTGCCGTAGAAGCGATGTTTTCATTAGAGTTGAGTTGAAGATTGGTGACGAGACCTGTACTGGCGTTATTGCTACCATTATTGCTACTTGTGCTACTATTACTACTACTACTACTCGTGTTGTCGACACTGCTGTCCCTTCTATTCTTGATGTTGCTGACTTTTAAGTGTTGAGTGATATCCTTGTATTTATAAACAGAGCACTGTAGTCTCATGCGGATATTGAGGTTCATCCCTTCGCCACGAAGAATATTGGTCATGGTTTGTTGATAATGTTCAAAGTTAAAATTGGTCAAGAAACCTAGACTTCCGAGATGAAACTTTTTTTTATAAAAAAATAAAAAATAAAAAAAAAAAAAAAAATAAAAAAAAAAAAAAAAATAAAAAAAAAAAAAAAAATAAAAAAAAGTTTGGATTAGTAAAACAAGCTATTACGTCTCGTACAACAAAAACAAGTCCTTTTTCACTTTTTTTCCTTTTCGCTTTACAGATACAATAGGCGGAACACGACTCTGGAACATCCAGGCAGTGTAGAGGACAGTGCCATCGCCTCCTAATGTGACAGCAAGGTGAATTTGTTTGGATGATTTCTTGTGACATTCAAAGGTCCAGAATTGAAGTCGGTCCTTCCAAGTTGGATGATGTTCTAGAAATTCATGATATTTAAACGAAGGTCGCTCCTGAAGTTTCTTGTCTACAAAGATGGTAACCTCTGGGAATCTCTCCAATAACCACCTTGTGAGTACTCTGGTCATCTTTGTCAACTTTGGATCTGGTTTTGTCACAATTAGAATACTGGAAATCGGAGGGAGCTAAAAAGAAATAAAGATGTTATTATGAAGAGTATCTCAAAAAAATGTAAATGAAAAAGTAAGAATGACTAACCTTCACAACTGTTCGATAGAGCTGATCAAACAATATCATGACTTGTTCATACCTGTATAGAGAAAATAATTTTTTTTAAAAAATAAAAAATAAAAAGCCAGATTAATGATTAAGCTCTCGATGATTAAAACTCTTGATGATTAAAACTCGAACTTCTTTTATCTAATGGATCAAAAATTACCGATTCAACAATGTGCCTATTTGAGCAGGTTCAAATATCCCGTCAACTTCTCCGGATTGAATATGGATTATTCCTTTCTTTGAAATCTCTTTGCTTAAAATCGTCTCTAAATCCTTGTCATCTAAAAGCAGGCAGGGTTGAATAAATTAAGCAAATTTGCATATTTGTTTGTTTATTAATCATTCGGGTCGACTAATGGATAAACAATATCAAAAGAATAAAAATTGTGAAAAGGGATATTAAATCACCTTGACGAATTGGGATCCAATCGCCGTCATGATCAAGCCATCGAAGGAGTGGTTGTGGTTCAAGACAGTCAGGGAATTCTTTCAAGAACCGTCTGTAGATAGTGCTCGGTTGAAGATCTTTGGAGAGAGAGAGAGGAGGAGCAAGGAAGGAGAAGGAAAGAAAGAGACAATTTTTACTAACCCAGTCATTTTTCAAAGAGTGTAAAAATTAACATTTACAATGCCAATTCAAGATTCACACATGGATGCTTGCACAATTCAATTTACCAGCGACCAATACATGAACTGAGTTTTGGGAATGAGTTAGCTTGAGCGCGAAACTCATGGTTCAGTGCAGTGAACTTTTAGAAATAGTTTGCCGTTGTTGTGGTTGTAAGGGTGTCGTAGCAAGTGGGAAAGTGAAGTTGAAAGGCAGGCAATAAAGAAATCAAGCCGCTGTAAAGACATGTTTCATTTGGGCCTAGACTTGGTCAAAAGGATCTGTTGCGACTCGCGCTATTGCATTATGACATGACTGAAATGATATCCCCATTCCCATCCCATCCCAAACAGGAATTAATTAGTGTAAATTTATATATAAAACATTATATTTATAACGACGAGAATGACATCTTTTTTTTTAAACTACTCTTCAATTAGGTAGTCGTAGCCATAGGCTATCATTATATCATTACATCCATTAGGGCATGGTGGGAAATACATTTGTAAAAAAAAAAAGTCAATTATCAGATGACAGACTTTGGAAGCAGCAACATCAACAAAAATAAAAAATTGCTCCTAGTACTTACCCATGACACCTTGCATGTAACAGCCCAGAACAATGCCACCACCCACTCTTGAAACCCAATGCTCAAATCGAGTAAAGAAAGCGAGGATATAAAATAGCTGCCAGTGGTGTGGATGAAAGTATCCTGGAACAGCCACGGACCAGACATAGGATTTATATGGTTCAACAACAACTCCTGTTTCTACTGTCTGTAAAGCAGTAGAAGTTCCAGCTGCAGGTTTAGTTTCTGCTCCAGTTTCAACCCCAGCTGCATTGGCATTGGCATTGGCATTGGCATTGTCAATATTTTCCAAAGAAGAATAACGAAGGTTACTAGAGGAATCCACCAAGGGATCAAGGCTCCCTGTACGACTGACATGATGACTCGATTGTTGTTGATAATGGTTATCCATTCGGACTACAACTGTACCTGATGGTTGTTGATCCTGTTGCTCTGATCGATCTTGTTGCACCTGCTGATCCGCTGCTGCCGGCGCTGCTGCACTTCCTGAATCGATCGTCGGTACCTTTGGCGCTGCTGCTGCTTCCAATCTACTTTGTTTCTCTAATCCACGCCTGGCCTTACGTGTGCTCCATCTCCACCGCAGCCTCAACATACCATTATACACCTTTGATAGCCCAAACGCATCCATGTTCTGTTGTTTCAAGCATGCATACCCGATCAATGTCAGGATCACAGGGACCAATAGTCCTAATAAGTAATAGCCCAAGAACCCAGGCACGGTCTTGTTGAGATCCACTCCAAGATATATATGGAATCCTGCAAATACCAAAACAACTCCCGTAGCTCCTGCAAACAATGCATACATTCCAAATGGCCACGACTTCCACGACGGTAACGATGTCTTAGCGAAGTCAAGTTCTGCAATCATCTTTACAAAAAAGATTTTTTTTTACAAGTCGTCAGAGGATTAGCTTTATAGAAATCCATGTTATGTTATACATGAATATAGACACAGATCGGGTAAACTCTTTGCTTACTGAATAGCATGGCCATGTAATCCAGAAAGCCAAGACGGTGATCCAGCTAGTGTACAATCTCCATGAGTATGGTCAGCTTGCTTTTTTTTTTTTTTTAAAAAAAAAAAAAAAAAAATACACGTGGATGATCCAATGACCTCCCAAAACTTACTTTAATGTCCGTGCGTAATTCCCAAAGATGAACACAATAACACCATATGAAGTCGCATGGAGAAGGTCTTGATAATGTCTGGCGGGTCGCTTTGCAAGGTGCTCCCAATTAAAGACCGTGGCGACAACAACATAAACCGGATATGGGATCAAGACTGTTGCGAGCATAAAATAGATGAACATGATGGGATCAAAGGATCCAACCCAATTGGTCATCCCACAGGTATCGAGGTCCGGTCCCATTGGTGTCCAACCCATCTTTATAAATTAACTGGGGTATGAGAGGATAAAGGCAAAAAAAAAAAAAGGAAGAAGTATTTACGGAAAAAGAGAGTGGGTGTAGGTGAAGGAGAAAGAGAAAATGAAAGAGAAAAGGAGAAGAAAAAAGAGAACCGAGGAAAGGCAGGCTTTGTAAAAAGAGAGGTTGATTGAGAATAAAGAGTGTCTATGCCAGGAATAAATGTCGGAAAAAAACTAGTGTGGGCGAGACACCAAGCGGGGATTCGCAATCAGAAATAAGCCCAGACAAAATGTCAAAGGGAAATAAGATTTTTAGGGCTGACACTTAAAAAAAAAGTCAGCTTCACTTCAAAATGAACAATTGAATGAATGAAGACAAGTTAATGAACGAGAGGAAGAGTGTGTGAGCAAGGCAAAGAGCAAAGAGAAGAGGGGAGGGGAGAGAAGAGAAGAGAGGAGAGGAATGGTGCCTTAAAAAAAAAAAAAAAAAAAAAAAAGATAAAGAATAAGCGTATGTAAGATGACAAAGGCCAGGGGTCATACACATTTTAAGGTTTTTCACATCAGTGCACAGTACTTGGAATGCTAATCACATTAATCACATTGCATCATTTTACGTCCCAAACACTTTAATCCACAAAAAAAAAGAAAAAAAGAGTTCAAGATGACAATGAAGCCAACGTCTCCAGCATCATTTTGCTTGAGCCATTAGGCCTGAGTGAAGAAAAGCTTCCAAAATGTCCCAATGGCTTCTGTCCATGTAAATATTCATAAAGTAAAAGAAACGTTCCGATGGTCCTCCTTTCCATACAAATATTAGAAAACCCTTCCACAATGAGGTTTTTCCGTCTCTTTCCTCGGTTATCTCTGCAACGCTTCCTCCTTTTTACGAATCTTTTGTGCCATCAAAATAGCTTTAGGCAAATATCCCCTCTCTCATCCTTATCCAACCTCATGTCCACGGAGCGATTCAGGCGCCTAGTACTCAACCAATTTCAAACTCCGCCTTGTTGAGCTTCCGTTATCCCCTGGCTCTGGTACAACCTGGGCTGATTCATTCTACTGCATCAAGGAGATTGGCTATCTTGATCTTCCTCTATACAGTTCAGCGAACATTGGTTTGTCACATATGGCAGAGACAGAAGATACGTCTTTGTTTTTTTTTTTTTTTTTTTTTTTTTTTTTCGTATAACGCTTATAATAATTGATGAACACTCTTTTCCGACCATGTTCTGTAGATATCTGTTCCCTGATTAAGGCAGCCTCAGCCATAACTACCAATAAGCCCCAATGACAGACGCACAAAAGCGTCAATATTCTACAGAGAATAGCAAGGAAGCATACCCGGAATACATATACATGGAATGTTGTCGCAAAAATTCGCTGTAATCACAGGTCGTCTTCAGTTATCCTGATATCTCTTCATATAACCCCCGTGCCCTTCCGCTTCAATTTCTCTGCTATTACTTTCATCTAATACTTTTGATTGTTATATATATAGTTACTTGTCCATAACGTACCGTGTATGCCATTTATTGTAACTACTATATCATCTCATAGATTGTACCGACTATCGAAATCACGCATGCACACATGCCTATTCCCTCCACCATCTTCAAGGCTATTAAAGACTGCCAAGCCTGGCCTATCTATCTCGCTCTCGCTATTTCTTCTATCTGCAAGGCTCTGTACGTGACCATCAATGAGGATCCTTCTAGTAAGAAGAGGACGATCAAATACCTGTTAACTTGTCTTTGCTTGAAGAAGCGATAAACACCATCAATAACGGCTTCTCGCTAATATCTGCGATCTATGGCCCAGCGAGTACTTCCCCCATAACCCTAATTTACTAGAGCTGTGGAAGCAAAAGCTGGCCGTGGCGGAGCATCAACTCGTTCGCTGCATGTGATTAAAATGAAAACCACCAATCACCGCTTCGTGTATAAAAGGGTCCTACTGGCAATGAGGTCTTTGTGACCTATCCGTAGCATCATTTTGCAACATGAACAGCTTTAACATGGCTCATTTAAATATTTCAGAGATTCTCATCCTCACTGGTGAATTACTTGATCGAAAAGGCCCTCTGAATTGTATTCGCGTCTCCACCACTTTTCATCGTGCTCTTACCAGATCTCTTTGGAGAAACATCCATATCAGGCCTAGCTTCCTTGTTGGTGAACTACTGCTGAAACACAAGAGATACGTTGAAAAGTTTGGTTTTGGAGGCCGTTTCTCAAAGAAGCATACAAAGTTGTGAGGGTGCACTCATGCATTTCATTGACTCTTGCAATGCAACTCTCAAAACTGCTAGAACCCTCATGTTAATGGCATCGAACTATGTCTTCCTCAACTATACATTCACTTTTCAGCAATCATATTTTCCTCATCCCTTACCTGAATTGCTTAACTTATATCTTTTTCTATCGCATGGATATGCGCCTGCACAACATTTCTGAGTTTATTAGGGTGGGAGTCGACTATCTAGGTCGAAGAGACCTCGTTGACTATAAATTCATATCTGCACAAGATGACACAGAGCCTAGACGACAAAGTTGAGTCGCAATGTTGTACCTGTTTGACACCTGTCGAGGGCCGCTTAATGAGAATCGAACAATGACAAGCTTCGGCAACTAGAACATATCTCGTAAAGCAAGTAGAGTAAATGTGCTATTCGCTAGTGCAATCGTAACAGATTGCGAAGATCCTTTTTTTTATCTCGAAAATCTTACTACACCGTTGTCTATTTTCCTACAACGTGTAATGCTTTTTAATTGTTATTATTAATACTATAGAGACTTTTATCATCTCACCAAGGTCGCACCACGATCATCAGGAAGTAGATACCCATTGGAAGGCCCTTATTTAAGGCTCTTATGTGATGACGGTGTATTTCTTTGCTTTATTAGCCTAGGGGAAACAATATATATTGTGCGATTTAAGAAAGCTCTGTACCAAAGTATTTATATCCTCTCCATTCTCATCCGACTCCCAGTTCACGCGACCATACAAGTATCTGATGCTTGGCCAATTGTTCACCATCCATGTCGCATCCTTAAGTTGCATTTGTTGGTGAAAATCATCTCGGAAACTTAGCGTATACAGACTTCTCAGATTGGCCAGTTCATCCAGACCTGCTCTTAACTGCAAGTCAAGTGTCCGTATTGACCTAACCCAAGCTGTTAGACAAAGAGAATGTAGTCTAGTCAATTTACCTAACTGTTTGAACACAATCCGTGTCTTTGCCATGCCTTCTTCAGTCTCTTGGTCAATGTCTGCCACTAGAGTGATAATCAGGTCAGTCAGTTGAGTGCTAACCCACTCTGCTCCATCGACAATCTCTGTCACCATGATTCTAGGTCCACACAGTCGCTTCAATCGTGGGCAGTTAGACAAAATAGTATAAACAAGCCCATCTATCTTGTTGCGAACATCGAGCATCAATATCTCAACCGTCTCACAGAGTCTCCGAAGCCTTATTTTTCGTACCACTTGTCCATTATACAATATCTCTTGTTCGTCCGCTAGTAATGCTTGCAGAGAGAGCTGGCCAAAATCACAACATGGGATATCTAACCGTCTTAATTCAGTCATCCGTCTGAGAAGTGCCGCCAAATCTTCGTCTTTTATCCCTATGCTAGGGAAAGACAGCTCTGACAAATTGTCCAGAGTCCAAGAATGGTGAAAAAACGCTTCATTGTAGAATTTATCACGGACGTCTATGCGCGGGTAGCATTCTCTATACTCAAGTGTGGACAAGTTTGGACATCTCCTCACCAACGTGCCGAGGCAATATGGTGAGGTGTGCGGATGTGGAGGGTCATCTATCCGAACATCGTCAACACGCAACGTGTGCATATTTGGGAAAGTATACTCGCTGGCCTCACCACTTAGGAAGTCGGTAGGTAGCTGGCGTATGGATACATTTTTGAAATCCAAGTACCCAAGTTTCTTGCAAACTTGAAAGAATATGTCGACCCCATCATTTATACACATAGAGGCAACCTTCAAGCGATTGAAGTTGGCGCATCCAAGCAGTGTCTCCCAGAGCAATTGTGAATTCTGAACATAAGCTAGGTTAATTTTGGTAATGGTAGAGTTGTGGGCCTTGATTAGATTTAAAAAACGAGTTGGAGCCGGTTCGCGCGGTGATATTCTGCTGGTTTGTATAAACTGGAGGCGAATACATCCCTGCAATGACCCATACTCTTCTGGAATATCCTTTTGAGGGTATATAAAGTGAATTTTCTCAATATATTCCTTGTGCTTCTGTAGTGCTTCGCCAGTGGGGGTGAAAGGTCCGTGTCGTCTGACTATGATTTTTCTCCAAATGTGCCAGATAAGAGCTCCATGAAAAGTTTTGGAGACGCAGAGACAGTTTAGAAGATCCTTTCGATCGAGAAAGCTGCCAATGAGTGAAATGATTTCTAGAATCTCCAGAGGATTCAATTTTAGATTGCTCATGTTGCAAAGAGATGATGCAAAAGGAATGTAGACATGTTCGTTGGCTCTTTTTTTCGAACGGTTACACGTTCTGTGGCTGGCTAGTTTCAATATCTTTTCAAATCAAAATGAAATCGTTTACTGTTGCCATGCTGGATATCATGGTTTGTATGTCTTGATGAGATCAGTTGACGTTCCTGTATTCATGCCAGCAGCTAGTCAGCGTAACGGCAAGACATCGCCCTCTGTCCAGCATTCGCCTACTACTATCTTCAAAACCGCGCTGGAGCCTTACTTTTTTTTTTTTTAATTTGAACAAGTTTATCTAAAAACGACCTCTATTTCTCGAGTATCGATAGTATACAATGATTCATGGAATGCTAATACCCACAGCTGTTAGAGCTCTCTTATTAGAAATGGTTTCAAACAATCCTTCTTCACTTCTATAGTCGATTTTGAACAAGCCATATTTCCTTTCTTTCTTTTTGTCTGGATTGCTTAAGTTGTATGCACCTATTCAACATTGAATGGTAGTCCGGCTATTCCTATAGGAAAGGCTTCGTAGATTATATAAATCTCTGCACAAAATGGCATGGAGCCTTTATAACAGGATTAAATTACAGTGTTTTGTCCTGTTTGGCCGTTGCCGAAGGTTGTTTAATGAGAACCAAACAATGACAAGCTTTGACAACTAAACCATATCCCATAGAGGCGAACTGCGCTACTCATTGGATTATCCATAAACAATGAGTTTGACACAACTGCAAATTGCAAAGGGTTTTATTTCGCAACTCTTCCTATATATATATTAGCAATGCACATTTATTACTATTTATCATTATCATCAAGGTCATTCAAAACCATCAGCAAGTAGATAGACATTAGAAGGTTCATGCTCAAGGTTCTTACCCACTATCCTAGGTTGTGAATTGACAGTGTATTTATTTGTTTCTTTTAGACTATCGGCCAAAGTATATATTATGCGACTTGAGAGACTCATGCACCAAAGTTTTTCGTCTCCACCAAGCACTTGGCACACACGACCATACAAGTATCTGATACTTGATCAATTGTTCACAATCCACATCGCATCCTCAAGCTGCGTTGGCTGGTGACAGTTTTCGTGGAAACAAAGACTCTTCAGGTCAGCTAGTTCATCCAGACCTACTCTTAATCTGAAGTTCAGCATTCGTTTTCCTTGTGTCCCACACTCTCAGGCTAAGAGAACATAGCTGAATCAATTAACCTAGCTGTTTATACACAACGCGCGTCTTCACCATGCTTTCTTCAGCCCTCTGATCATCAAACTCGTCAATCCATTGTATGCCCATTTTGCTCCATCGGTAATCTCTGTCAGCTTGATTCTAAGTTTACTCAGCTGCTTTAGTTGTGGCAATTAGACAGAATCTGTTGAACAATACCGTCAGTCCCAATGCTTCGTTCATCGAGCAACAGTGTCTCAACTAGAGCTTTTGTGGGCTTTGAGCATCTTCTAGGGTAACCTTGGTAATGATAGAGTTATGTGCCTTGAGCAAATTCAAAAGTAAATCGGTTCAGGTAATATTAAACCATAGACTCCGATTAACTGGAGGCGACTACAAATGCAACCAATCCTGAACATCTCCTCACTAACATGCCAAGGCAATATGATGGTGTGTACGGATGTGGGGGGTCCTTCATCCAAACTTTGTCAATATATAGTGTGCATATATTGGGGAATTGTATTCGATGGTTTCGCTATTCTGGAAGCCGATGGGTAGCCGCTGTATGAATGTACTTTCCAAGCTCAAGAGTCGAAGTTTTTTGCAAACTTGAAGGAGAGTATCAACTCCATCACCTATATCAGTGCCAGAGACTTCCGGTTAAGGTTGGTACAACCAAGTAGCGCCACTCAGGCTCCACATAAGGTTTGGATGCTTCTTATACAAAACCTGGTGATGGTGGAATTGTGAGTCTTGATTAATTCCAAGACGCCTGCTGCTCTGTACTGTAGTCCCTCGGATATGATGGGCGGAAGGCGGGTACATCCCTGCAATGACTAATGCTCAATTGGAAGGATGGGTACTTTGAATCTAAGCTTCTCAATGTATACCTTGTAGGTCATGAGTACTTCGCCAGCAGGGTAGCGGCGATATACGGAGTTTTGGAGGGACAATGATTCTCTCCAGATGAACTTGATAAGATTAAGGTGAAATGTCTTGCAAACACAGATACAGTTTAGAACCTCATTTCGCTCGAGGAAGTCGCCAACAAGTGAAAGTATTTGCGGAGCCTTCAAAAGGCTGTTAATGTCGAGAAGAGATGCAACTGATGAAATATGGACATGAATGGATGGTGGTGGCAAAAGTGAGAAACTATTTCACGATCCCAATCTTACCACACTGGGATGTCGTATAAAGACATTTATTTACAACCGTCAACAGCAGCTCTGTCCAGCATTCACCTACTCACCTATTATGTCTCAGCTCTCCTCTCAGGGCTTTAGTTGCCATACTCATTTTGGAGCCTTCCCTTACAAATAAAGGTGATATGGAGACATGCTTGATAGAAAGATAGATGTTCTATAATGTCAAAAGCAATACATTCTTGTGATTGAAATAGTTTGGAGGGTAGCTAGACGCTGTCTGTCATTCTGCAAATCCAACCACAAATTCTAGGCTTGTCTTTAGAATAAGGCGGCTCAGCCAAATTTGACTTAGTTCAATGGCTTTATCTCAATCGTCCTGGTAACAAACGAAAATGAATATACACAACGATGTCAACAAGGGCCTGAGCTTGGCCAAGTAAAGTCCTTTTTTTTTTGTTCAGCCAAGAATGCAAGAAAGGCTCGCTGTTTGTTACGGCTGCTCTTGTGTATTGATGTATAATATGTATTTGATTTTGTATGTGCGTATGATTTTTTTTTTCTTATGCTTTCTGGGCATGAAGGATGGATAAAGTCCTCTCAAGACTAGGTTGATGCCGAGGAGGTACGCTGGCGTTATCTTGAATCAATTTCAAAAAGGAGAGCTGCGGACGTGATTCGACCATCCGAGTCAACATTATCTGCCAAAGCCAGTTGGGCACATTCCTCATGATAAAGCGTATAGTCTTGGCCTTCAGGGTCTAGGGGAAGAGGAGGAGGAAGAAGAAGTGAGGGAAGATATATAAAGATAAAGAAAGGTATGATTCAGAAGATGCCATCATCAATCATTCTCATCCATTTTGCAAATAAATGTCTATGGAGAGTTGAGAACCTAAAAAAGCAAGTTTATTTATTTCTTCTTACCTGCGCAATCACTTGCGAAAAGATTCGACCATTGTCAAAGGAGATTTTAACAACAGGGTAACGCTCTTTCTTATACTCTTCAAAGACTGCCTCGATCTCGCTCACAGATGCAGAAGAAGATAAAACATTTAACCAGTTGGCCAACACAATCGCATCATGCATAGCATTCCATGCTCCTGAACCGCTTGCAGGGTGAACCTGGAGATAGAAAAATAATAATGATGGTTAATAAAAAAAAAGAATGCCAGAGAAAGGATATATAAAAAAATGAAGATGTGTTGATTAATCTCATAAGAGTAGATCATTTACCTTGTGCGCAGCTATTCAGTACATTCACATTTAAGAACAGAAAATATTTAGCTGTCAACGAGCGGAAAATAACGAAAGATATCATTATCCTTAATATTTCGCTCAGTGATCCTTTTTTTTTTTTTTTTTTTTTTTTTTTTTTTTTACCATCGCCAAGTAGCACGGTCCGTCCAGAGTACCAAGTATCAAAGACCTTTTCTTCAAGCAAGACTTTGGAGATCAAAGGTGAACGATCAATCAAATCTCCAATGGTCAGGGAGTTGTTCAGCCCTCCAGGGATAGCAAAGTCACGTACATGCTTGCACATGGATTCGGCGGCTCCGGGTCCCCATTCCGCATTCTGAAATGTACTATGATCTAAGGAGGAGACCCCGTCCAGATAATGGGTCACTACCCAGCAATAAACATTGTCCTTGACGGTCCAGATGCTCCACTGGGTTACAAAAAGAAAGGGATTTTTTTTTTCTTTTTAGTGCTCGAGCCCTAAGCGTATGGCGGTATCTGCATTTTTGTATACAAGTCATACCGAATAGGGCTTATCTGTCGCCATCACAGACGTGAATCTACAGATCGGATCATCAAGCTCCGGGAACTCTGCTGGATCCAAAGGATGAGTCCTTCCGACGAGACATACACAACTATAAGGTAGACCTGCACTATCAGACGGCGGCGACTTGTTCTCCTTCTGCAACTGCTCATATAGGCTTAACCGAACACTGCTATATGCTCCATCCGCTCCAACAAGGATATCTCCTTCAGCAGTTGTGTTATCTGCAAACTGGATCTGTATACCGCCACTGCCACCGTTACCATCCAATGGCTCGGTTTGTTTTATGGACACTAGACGTTTGCTTAGATGGATCTTTTCTGCAGGAATTTGACGCTGAATTAGGCTGTGAACTGCGGCTCTTGAAGAAATATAATTGGTGGATCCTCCCCTAGGAAAGAAATAAAGAAAAAGATGAGCGTAATCATTAAGCAAGGTGGCTCTTCTCCCCTACTATGATTGATTGCAACAGATAGTATGCAATTCCTTTAGTTTTTCTTTACATCTCTTGCATAGATCTGAAATCCATGGAGAACTCCAATTGTCGTTGTTCATTGTAGTTGTCGATCGTATGCATTGCTTTGCCAAGCGACACAAATTCATCCCAGATGCCTATCTGTTTAAACACTGGGGCCACTGTGGCGCCCACTCCGAGTGCCGCTCCTAAGTCAAAAAAGTAGAAAAAAAAAAAAAAAAAAAAAAAAAAGAGCAACAATCAGTTGTCAGACAATAATGGTTCTCATCATCAGTTCATACTTATTTATTTTACCAAGAGCTCTGATCTCAGCCATCCTGTCATAGATCTCATATGGTACCCCAGCCTTCTCTAACAAGGCTCCAAGGGTCAATCCACCAAGACCAGCACCCACGATCAAAACCTTGGGTTTCCTGATAGATTTTGAAGAATTATCAGCAGCCGACATTATTAGAAAAGAAAGCGGTACAGATTTTGGATAAAAAAAGAAAATAAGGAAAATAGGCACTTAAAAAAAAAAAAAAAAAAAAAAAGGATGAAAGAAAGTAAAGGAATGATGTTTGAATCTCATTCTCATTCACCCTTAGCCCACAAGTTAATTATAATTCATGTGTGTGTTGTACAACCATTGCATTTGATAAAAAAAAAAAGAAAAAAAAAAAAAAACAGAACAGTTCGCCCCATTTTTTTTACTTGTTTATTTCTTAAAAGTACAAACAAAGGAAAGGGAGAGAGTGCACAATCGCGATTTGTGCCCCCATCCAGATGTTAAAAAGATAATAAAGGATCTAGATAAGTAATGTGTATAAAAAATATATAAAAGAAAGAGATAATGAGAGTGCAGGCGGAGGAAAAGAAACGCTTTCATGATAGCGCAGGTTTTGACTGTCGATTGAACAGAATGTTCAGAATTTCTGCATCAGACTTCCTTGTTGCTGTTGATTCAATGCCTGATCCCGATCCTAACGATATCCCCGCTACATCAGGCCTTCCTCGATCTACTGTGCCCCCTTTTACTTGCAGATCCGAAAATAGCTTTTTACATCGACTGTTCGGTTGAATTCCATACCGAATCATATCATTATATACCCATCTCGCTTTTTGATCCTCTCCTCGAGCCATACAAGCCTCCATTAAATGACTCCATGTCAACTGTGGGAGCACTTTGGCTAAAGCTGCCTCCTTTTGATCCAACAATTGTTGAACCTCTGTCAAGTAACCATGTTGACATAATTGTTGAATCACATTCACAGCTGTCTTGGGATACTTTTCAAGCTCAGGAGACACATTTCGGCTCGTCATGGTGTCGATCAGTTCTGCAGCTCGTTCTAGATCATGGGCTCGACCGACCAAATACAGTAGATAAATCCTGTAAGAGTAAGAGGCATTGTTGTTGGCGGCTGTTGAGATTGTCAGTCGTACCTGAGGCTCTATTGTCTTCCAGACTGCCTCCACTTGCTGATGATTTGGATCGGACTCCCGCGTTGCTGTTACTGAGGTTGTTATTGAGACTGATTCTGATAAAGATGATGTCAAGGCTGGTGCCATTTTGATATAATACTCCAAGACTGCACTAGCGTCATATATCGAGGTCGGTTGCAAGTTTAAATCCTTCATCTTTTGAACCATCGTCCCTGCAATTGCCAAGCTGCCTGCTTCTGCTCCTGCCCCTGTTCCTGCTCGAGCATGTGCCCTTGTCATAGCTGCCAATATTCGCGAAGTCATTGGAATACTTGGCATGGCCTCCATCTTTTCAAACGTCATGGTGGCTCGTTTAAGTTCGCCACATTTGATCCATGCTTGAATAATGTAGAAATAGTCATCCGCAGTCCCGTTAGCCTCCAATTCTAGCCGCTCTTGTTCCTTTTGGATCCAACCTAAATCTTTGTGTTTGATCGCTGCTGCCAGTCGTTCCTTTAGAGCCCGTGTCCGCTGACGACTTAGAGCATCCTTCTGTGAATGAGCTGTCCAATGTTCAATCACTGCTTTGTATTCATCTTCGGGTTTATGAATTTGTTCCGCTAATCGGGTCCTGAATGATACTGTAAGTGCCTTTGAAGGAATTAAAAGATGAAAAATAAAATAAAAAAATGATATTATGTAATGATGTCAATGCTACTGCTTTTGATTGATCATAAAAAAATATACTGTATTACATTTTTTTTTTTTCTTCAAGTACCTGGTAAAGATCTTCCTCTTCTTTTGATAGTGAAGACCGACAAGTCATACTTGAGGTTGAAAATGTGGCTGTGCCCAATCGTTGATGATGTAAAGATGGCTGCAATAACCGTTGTTGTTGATTTTTTTGAGAAGGGAGCGATGGATGCTGTGAGGATCGTCCCTGAAACCAAGGAATAGTAGCTTTTTCAAGTCGAGAACAAAGTCCGGACCCATTTCTATATCCATGGAAGAGAGAAAAAGAAAAAGTAGAGGAAAGTCCGAGAGATGTCGTCGCCGACAATGTCCGCGTTCCGATAATGAATGCTGATGTTGGGATTTTGGCTGCTGCAGCCGTTGCTGCAGTTGCTGTGGCAGTATTCATTGATGACGCGTGGAAAAAATGATAAAATGGAACAAAAAATTCTTTAATCCGAACTAGCTATTGCCGTTGCAACTAGAGTGATAGTAACAGTTGTTGTTATATCAAAGATATTAGGATGAAGAAGACTGGTACCCAAGGTGTTTTTCTGTCGTGTACACGATAAAAAGAATGAAAGGAAAATGAGCAAGTGTTGCGAAATGTGCTATGAGACCGAGTGTCACTGAGTTTTAATTAAAACTCATGTTTCGGACCTGTCAATGTGAATGTGTGTGAATGTGAATGTGTGAATGTGAGAATGAAACGCATTGTTACAAATATGGTGTTGATTATGGAGCCCATTATGGGATTTAAGGGGTTGGTCTCAGAACAGCAACAGGGAATCAGAATGATGCCAATTCAAAAATTAGCTCATGACCATAGTCACGATAAAAACGCCACCGGCTCTTAGGAATGTTTCGATGCAAGATATTACATTTACTATTGCGTTGCTTGCTTTGTCGTTTGCACAACCTAGCAGTACTTGAAATCAGACTTGGAAGCAACTACAGTTTTAGTCAAGATGTATTACAAGAAGGTTAAAAAAGAAGCCTTTGAATGTATGGATTCGTGAGGTCCCACGATGTAGAGATGGTAGGAATCAGGTTAGATCTAAAAGCAAAATCGATCAAGGACAAGATCGTTTTACATGCAGAAAGTCTGGAAAGATGCAAACTCACTATAGAATAGTACGAATTTTGGCGACGATGAGGAAACGTTGAAGAACAGAATCCTGAGTAGAATAGATGCAATTTTTACTACACATTATAGTCGATCTAGTCCGTGTCATGGTCTTGGCTCCAAAGAAATGGTTGAAATTTGCTAAGAGAAGAGAAGAGACAGCCTATTGCTTCAAAGAAGCAACAAGAGCTTGTTTAAGCCTATAAAGTGTGAAGTGCATCCAATTAGCCGAGACAGCCAACCGTATACCAACCTGAGACAATAGGCACGAGGAGCCACGGGGTGGAACTGGAGTGTGAAAAGAATAAAAGTATTACCCGATTGCAACTCGACTTTGCCAAGTGTGAACACCTTGGATTGGAAAGAGGAAGAGAACTAGAGCAAATCATGCACAATATCAATAACAATCAGCAACAACGCATTATGCAGCCTATTCGCTGTAATCGGATGATGGATGGTAGTCAGCAGGATCTTGCTGTACTTGCTTCATGTATGCCACTAAACCTCATATTTGATTATTTTATTTTGTAGCATTTACACACACACATTGGCTGTGAACAAATAATTTTATGATTGCAATGTAATGATGCGTTTAACAGTCTTGTTTTAAAAAGACATCTTTTTTTTCTTTCACTCTCACTTTTGCCTCTTTTCTCTTTTTTTTTTTTTTAATGTTCAACTTTGTCAACCCCTTCCAAGCTCTTCTGCTTTGATCTATCCCACTCCGCACACACTCTCTCCACTATTCTCTCCTTTCAGTTTTTTATTTGTATTTTTATTTTTTTATTCTCTTTTTTCTTTTATAAAAAACATTTTAAATTTGAACTGTACTTTATACAAAACATATTACTCAATCAAGGACATCATGAGACAATCCAGTGACAATACCTCTATGGGAGAAGCTCCTGCTGCTCATAAGGATACCCTCCGCAGTTTCATCACTACTCTTGCTAGTTTCTCTGGAGACCTCTCTGCATTGACATGTCCTAGTTTTCTCTTGAGCTCTGTCAGCTTGCTCGAATATAGGCAGGTTACTATTGTTATTATTATATATTATTACCTATTTATCCTTCCCCTTTTTTCACTTCCAATTAAAAGAAACAGATGGTGCCCAGAATCCACATCTTCGGATTCGTGTTTGTGGTAGATGGTGCAAAAAAAAAATTGTCTCACATCTTTATTTCTCATCTTCATATTTGACAACTTTAAGGGTAAATATTTAAGAAGAAAAAAAAGTCCTTTGCTTTACTCTGTAAAAGAGACGGTAATGACAGAGGAAGAGGGAGAGGGAGGAGAGAAGGACCTATCCTTCCAATTCATTCTTTTCATTGTAGACAAAGACATCTGCGCAGCAGTTGTTGCTGCTTTTAGATTGGGTTTCTGAAATATGTTTGACTTTTTTTTTTTCCTATACTGTAGCCAATATTGGGGTGACCATCCCAAACTGTTTGCATCCATCTCTTCAGGGACTACACCTGAGGATCGTCTGCTGAGTTGCACACGTTGGTTCATCTCAACGCTCTACAGTTCTTATTCATCTCGATCCACGGCTTCAGGCATGGAAAAGAAACCCTATAATCCCATTTTGGGTGAACAATACTTTGCTCAGTGGACAGGAGATCAAGAGACTGGGGATCTTTTTCTAAAAGCTGAACAAGTCAGCCATCACCCTCCTGTAAGCTTTTTTTCTTTCTTTTTTTTTTTTTCCCTTCCAAAATGACTATTACAAAATAGCCGTGGAATGGGAACGCGTTTGTTTATTTGAGGGTCAATTGTTCTACGCAGACGTCAAACTTAATTTTTTAACATGGGTATTTGTTTATCCCAAATTACACAGATTATGGCCTTTCATTTAGAAAACAAAACAGCAGGCGTCATTTTAGAGGGACAATGCGGTCAGAAATCACATTTTGCTATGCCCGCAGGAATTAATGTCTCTCAAACAGGCCATGCCATCGTGACACTTCCAAAATTCAATGAGACTTATCTGATTACCCTTCCTACACTCCATATCCGTGGGATCATCACAGGAAGACCAACCCTTGAGTTGGCTGGATCTAGTTATATTATTAGCAGTGTAGGGCACATCACCACAATCGAGTATAGCTCAAAGGGATTCTTTTCAGGCGAACGTAATCACTTTGAGGCTATATTGAGACCCATCGAAGAAAACGAGGACCCGTTTTATAAAGCTCAAGGTGTCTGGAGCAAAGTATCTACTTTAAGCACTTGTAATAGAAACGGAAACAGAGCTATTGGGAATGAAATTGGAAAAAGCATCAAAAAGGATAACAAGAGTAATCATCTTAGCACCGGTCAACCTTTCTTTGATGCTCAAACTGATAAAGCTATTCCGCCGGAACTGAAGCCACTGGATCAGATGGGACCATTGGAATCGCTTAAACTTTGGGCACCTGTGACTCAAGCCATCCTTAACAACGATTATAACGCTGCTTCAAAGGAAAAATCACAGATTGAAGAGGCACAACGTGCCTTAGCCAAGGCAAGAAAGGAGAAGGGCCAAACTCAAGCGGACGATCTAAAGCTATTCAAGTTAGTGGATGAAGATGCTGATGAGATCGGAAAGGTATTCACAGCCTTGAAGCGAACACTTGTGGAAATCGCAGGTCCCAAGGCCATTCGAGAGGATGAAGCTAAATCTCATTGGAGGCTGCGGAATTAAATAAAAAAATAAAAAATAAAAAATAAAAATAAAAATAAAAATAAAAAAAAAAACTCGATTATTGTGTAAATAGCACTTGATCAAATAAAGCTCAGGATCCGACCTGTAACAATAATTGTTCTTACAAAAACGATGACTCGCGCTCATCTCTAATGTTCTAATGACCACCACTGGTGCTCAAACAATGCCTCAATACAAAAATTCGAATGCCTGTAGACTTGGACAAGTACAAGTAAAATAACCTTCCTTTGAGGTACTGGGCTCATAATATTCATAAAAAAGATGTAAAAGCAGACTATCCATCGATATTAATGTATTTCCTGTACTTCCCCAGTGCTTTGCCAGTAGGATATCTGAATGGCCTGACAGTGATTTTTCTCCATGTGAACTTGATAAGTACACTATGAAAGCTTGGAGACACGGACACAGTTTAGAAGTTTCCTTTGGTCGAGAAAGTCAGAAACAATTAAGATAATCTCTGGAATATTCAAGGGATTTATTTTAATGCTGTTCATGTGGTGAAAATGATGGTGGTGGAAGCATGGAAATGCAGATTTGAATCCTTTTTAAAGTTTTTTTAATTGGATATGATGATTACGTGCAATCCCGCCACCAATCCATCCAAGTCTAATAAGGTTTATATTGTTCGTTTGCATAGAACCAATGATCGTTACGTGAGAATTCTTGTCTTTTGAAGGACCAAACTTATAACTTATTGTAACAGCTGTAAGAAATCAGCTTTAAACGCCACTGCAACAGCCGCTTCTCCATCTACTCGTGCGAAGTGCTGGTTTTGCTAAAGCAGATGTACACTGGACAAAAGGATTTTGGATTGTATTAAACATTTTTTTTTTTTTCTCATTTCATTTAGACCAATGGCACCTAATGTTCTGAATATCATATTGTGAATAGCTTGACATGGCCTGCGGCACTCCATTATTCATGTCATCTATAATCAGTAGCAACAAAACGAAAATAATAAGAAAAAAAAAGGCTGACGAAGCTTCGCCTCTAAAAAATACAGACTTGTTCAAGTTGAAGTAACTTTAGAACGATATCAGCAGCAGGTTCGAAGATGAAGAAAGGTATAACAGGCAAATGCTTAATCCTTGTCTACGATCCCCTTCCCACTTTTCATCCTTTAATCAACCTTCAAAGAATGAATTATAAGTCAACTGACGGCTGAGATCTATGACAGCCATATGCTTGGATAGTACAGCTTAATAACAAGCGTCATACTCTACAACAAAAAGGCCGCGTATAACTGACCACCTTTCAGAAATAAAAGGTCTATTCTACCGATGTGTAACCACCTAGGCTCTTTAATCATTGCCCAATGACATCGACATCCTGTACACAAAAATCAATGATTATGGCGCCGGATCAATTGTCACTGAAAATCTGTCATGTATCAAAACTGCTATAACAAAAACATGACTCGCTCGTCCCCCATAAACACTACCGACACCCGGAAAACCTTTCATTAGCACTTTTAAATAAACTTGTTTGATGCATTTGCACAAAAAATTGCCAGAGAGGCAAAAATAAGCTGCAATATCATTTTACTCGAAAGTACATCTGCCACTTGGTTATGTCTGCAATATCTAACAACCTATTTTTTTCCATGGCTATGCTACTTTCATCGCTACTATACAAGCAACGCTCGTATAGCTCGGTCATTCACAACTCGTCTATGCAGCAGCGAATGAATAGCACAACCTTTATTTGCAACAGCATATCACTCGCTGTCCAGTATTCGCCTGCTATGTCTTTCCACACCTTTCAAACCTTTAGTTACTATACTCATTTTGCGAGTCTTCTCAACTTGAGGGAAGTCTATCTTGCTCATGCACTATCTCCTCAACCCAGTTCTCTATCCTCTCAACCAACTATCGATAGTTGTCGAACTGGGGAGCATTGTAATTCAGCTTCATGGCCTCAGCTCCCTATCATCTTATGCAGACATGGGTATGGTTCATGGTGCCTTTTAGATCTAGATACTTGACCTTCAATTCATTAAGCGCGGGAATATGGAGTAGGCACTTATAGATATCAAAAAATACCAAGCATCTTACACATTCAAAATGCCAATACGGTTGAAGAAGTATAATTTGGTATCGAAAATGACAAAGAGAAGCTTGACAATAATGATAGTGACCTTCTGAAAATCATTGAGATCTATCTATCAATGCTCAGACTGTGGATGAAGCCATTTAGAGAAATACTTAACTCTTCAGCTTAACCACATCTCCTGTAGCAAGTGAAATAGCTGTGCAACTCGTTGAGGCAGCCGTAAAAAAAAGATAAAAAGTTTACACAAACGAAGATTGCACTGGCTCTTTTAGTTAAGGAACCATCCTCCACTTTCGGCAATGTGCAATGCTTTGTATTTGTTTTTATTACTATAGTGACTCTTATAACCAACATCATTTAAATCATTTGACGATCATGAAGTAGGCATGCACTAAAAGTCCCATGCCCAAGATCTGTATCCTCTATATCAGGTTATGGTATGACAATGCTTTCCCCTTCTTCTTTAATCCATGTCCTCCCAGATATTGGATATGTTGTGCGACTTTAGGAACTCCATCGCCAAATTAGGTTCAGCTTCCTCATCGCTCAGATCGCTACCCACGAATTTGATACTTGGCCAATTGTTCACCATCCATGTCGCTTCCTCAAGTTGTATTTGCCAGTATTTATCGTCTTCTAACCTTAGTGAGCGTAGACTCTTCAGATTGGCTAGTTCATCTAGACCTGTCTTTAGCCTCAAGTTCAGCACCGATCTAGCTTCATTCCACGAATAGCTATCTAGTAGGGCAAGCGATCGTAGCTTAGTTAACCTGCCTAGTTGTCTAAACGCAAGGCGCGTCTTTGCCATGCCTTCTTTAGTCTCTTGATCAACGTCTGCCTCAAGAATGATAGTCAAATCAGTCAGTCCTGTGCATACCCATTCTGCTCCATTGACAATCTCTGTCACTGTAATTTTAGGTCCCTCTAGTTCTTTCAGCCGTGGGCAACTTGACAACACAGCTTGACCAATGCCGGCATTGTATGTATAGAGCACCAATATTTCAAGTGTCTCACAGAGTCTCTGAAGCCTTGCCTTTTGTACTATTTCCCCATCATCCAGTATCTCTTGCTTGTCTGCTAGTAGCTCCTGTAAAGAGAACTGGCCGAATTCGCATTTTAGGGAGGATAGCTGTCGTAATCCAGTCATACGACCAAGAAGTGCTGCCATATCCTTGTCCTCTATTGTCATATTATGCAAACTCAGCGCTGATAAACTATTTAGAGCCCAGGGATGCTGAAGGAGTATTGCTCTGTAGAAGTCCGCTTGATGATATTGCTCGTAGCTGTCGTCAACAATCAGTTCACACAATACTGGACATCTCTTAACCAACGTCCCAAGGCAATACCAGCTGGTGTACGGTTTGGGAGGGCCGGCTATCTTGACCCTCTCAATACACAGTGTGTGCATATTTGGGAGGGAATATTCGTTGGCCTCATTACTTAGAAAGTTGGCAGGCAGCTGATGTATGGCTACATCTTCCAAGGTCAAATGTCTCAGTTTCTTGCAGACTTGAAGAAATAGATCGACCCCATCCTTTATACTCGTATTACAAGCCTTCAATATATTGAGGTTGGTGCATTCCAGTAGTGCCTTCCAGAGCCCATGTGAACTTTGAAATGCGTGGAAATAAATACTGGTGATAGTGGGATGGTGTGCCTTGATGAGATTGGAAAGTTTTAATAGGCAATCTGATCCAATCGCCATACGAAGCCTTGACCTGTAATAGATGGACTGGAGACGAGTACATCCTTGCAGTTCCGTATACTCTTTAGGGAAGTTGTTTATAAACACAATCTCCTCAATGTGCCCCTTGTATTTCTGCAGTACTTCTCTAGAAGGATATTCGGCTGGTGAAGGTCCGATAACGATTCTTCTCCAAAGAAGCCCAATAAGTATGTTGTAGAAAGCCTTGGAGACTTGAATACAGTTTAGAAGGCCTTCTACATCGAGGAAGGCACCTGTGAGGAGAATGATCTCAGGAATATGCAAGGGATTTATACTGTCGCTCATGTTACAATTCAAATGAGAGGATGCTGTTGGAACGCCAAAATGTGGACATGGTGACTGCATGTGTTTCGACATTTTAGCATAAGCCCCATTTGATTGGCTAACCTTCTATTATGCAATGTGTTGGAGAGTGGACAATATTTTGAGTCGACCGCTTTGCCACTAACTAACTTTATTTGATCAGCAGACTTGCTTTTATCCCTTCGTCCGTAACAAGGGCAAATTTACTATTATAAATGGACTTGAAATCCAGCAATCCATGGGCATTGTCTCGAAATAAATGACCGGAAACCAAACTGTCATGGAGCTATCCTGGCTTCTTTATTTGTGCAAATAAAAAAACTCATAAAAGATTTTCGCATGACCCTAGCATCCGCTTGGGAGCTCATTGTATCGTTTATTTATTGACTGGTGTAATAGCGGTGATGATACCCGCCGCCGTAGTATTGGCTTGAAAGGAGGGCAATCTGAGTTGATTCATTCTACCACACCATGGAGCTTGACTAACTTGATCTTTTCCTGTACAACTCGGCGAGACTTGATTTGTCATATCGTTTGCTTCCTCATCTTCTTGCGTTCCCTTGATATATCTGGGTTGATAAACACTGCTAATAGAGTTTGTTGGACCTGTTGAAACCAGAGGGAATCCCAACATATCATACTCAAGATGATACATATATCTATGTTGGAGCGAATGGTGAAATGCCTGTGTGTGATTCAGATGTAATGGACATTTACGGCGAAAGAAAGTATTGAGAGGATGTGAGTGATTATGAGAGCAAGGAAGAAGGGATTTGTATCCCTTTTCAAGTCCTTGGCAACAGAGCATGAGTAGCAGCTGTGATCACAAGTTGATTTCGGTGAGTCCGCATAACAATGGTCATAGTTTCAAGGCCCTATCTTCCATGCACAGCATTGCATTATTGTGCTTAAAAGGCATACAGGGATACCAATAGTGAAAAAAATGTATGTGAGCAAACAGTTGTTGTCTTCTTTGTTGTCTGCACATGCCTTCTTGCAGACCTGAAAGAATAGATCAACAAAAGCTCTAATATATTTACGATAAACTTCCAAGTGGTAGAGGTTAGTGCATTCCAGTAAAGACTTCCAGGGCTCGCGCGAAGCCCAAATACGCTCACCTAAGTGAAAGCTAGTGATGATGGAGCTGTAAGCCTTGATCTGGTTGATAGGGTGGGTCAGTTTGGAACATCCCTTTCCGTATGTGATGGACTTGAGCTCCTGTAATGACTCATACTCCTTTGGAGAATGTTCTTTAAATCTGCAGTCTTTAAATGTAATCTCTTCAACATATGCCTGTGCCTTTGTAGTGCTTTTTTGGTAGGCTTTCTGACCGATGTGATAGTGATTTCTCTCCATACGAATCTGATAAGGGAACTGTGAAAGGATTGAGGGACGCGGATACATTTTAAAAGGTCATTTCGATCAAGGAATTCACCAATGAGTAAGAAGATTTCTGGAATGTCAAAGGGATTCAACTTAAAGTGGTCCATGTTGTAAAAAGATGCCGCTGAGTGTGATCATTGAGTCATAGTTGTGAACAGGCGCTTAAAATTCAAGGTATTTATATTCTTTATTGATGGCGGTAAATGTCAACTTTGTGCTTGACATTTTGCCACCAGCCTCATTTCATTGGCTGATTTTTGTAAATGATAGTATAAATATATATTTTGTTAGATGTTATCAGTGACATTCTTTTATTTCAGTCATCCAGGGCTCCTCAGCGCAACAGCAAATATATACCTGATGCGACTTCTATTTGCAACAGCAACATATCGCTCTCTATCTAGTATTCAGCTGCTATGTCTTTCCTCACCCCTCAAACTTCTAGTTGCCATAGTCATCTTGTTAGTCTATCTTTCTCAAGCGCCATTTTCTGATTTCAGGCCTCTTTCCCCCTCTCAATCAACTATCGGTAGTTGTCAAACTATGGAACATTATAGCTCAGTGCTATCGCCTCAGCCCTCTGTCACCTTGCGCAGGCATGGGTACAGTTCACAGTGTCAATCTAGATATTTGACTATCATACTATCGTTTCATTTAACGCAGGAATGTGGAACAGATGCATATAGATGTCATAAAAATGCACTTTACACATTCCAAGCATCTTTATGGTTAAAGTATAACTTGATATCGAAAATGCCGTGAGAGTCTTGACAATGATGAGATTGTCTTTTCGAGAATCATTGAGTACTAGCTATACTCAGCTGCGGATGAAACTATTTAGAAGAATACTTAGGGAAAGAAGAAAGGGAAATCAAGCAAAGACACTCCTCAGCGTTCTCTTCAGCTAAACCAAGTTGCTCTACAACTCGTTGGTGCAGCTGTTAAAAAAAAAAAAAAAAAAAAAAAAAGGTACAAACGCTATTCGAGTTGGGAGAACCATCCTCCATTTATATTTTGGATACTATCATTACTTAGATTGTATGGCAAGCACCAAGAGGCATAGTTTCACTAAATTCTCATGTTCAAGATCTCCGTCCTCTATTTCAGATTATGATGTGACAATGCTTCTCTTTCCTTCTTTAATCTTTCATTAATTGGATACCTTATACCGCTTAAGGAACCCTCTCACCGAAATAGCTACATTCTTCTCATCATTCAGGAGGCCATTCACGTTTCTGATGCTTGGCCAATTGTTCACCATCCATCTCGCATCCTCGAGTTGTAATCGCTGGCTCTTATCATTCTTGAACCATAGTGTGCGTAGTTTCTTTAGATTGACTAGTTCATCCAGACCTGCTCTTAATCTCAAGTCCAGCGTCTCTCTATCATTGCTTCTTTTGCTCCACCATCCTGTTAGGCCAAGATATTCTAGCTGAGTCAGCTTGCCTAGTTGTCTAAAGACCATGCGCGCCTTTGCCATGCCTTCTTCAGTCTCTTGATCAATATCTCTTTCAAGATAGATATCCAGTTTAGTCAACCCAACGCATACCCATTCTGCCCCACTGGAAATCTCTGTCACTGTAGTTTTAAGGCCTTCCAGCCTTTTCAGTCGTGGACAATTCAATAAAATGGTTAGAACACTACCATCTATGATGTCGAGCTTATTGAACACCAATGTCTCAATTGTCTCACAGAGTCTCCGAACTCTTGTCTTCCATACTATTTGTCCACTATCCAATCCTTCTTGCTTGTCTGCTAGTAACTCCTGTAAAGAGAGCTGGCCGAATTCACCACAAGGGACGATTAACCGTCTTAATCCAGTCACCCGTCTGAGGAGCACAGCCATATCCTCGTCTTTTACCCTCATATAAAAGGTAACCAGATCTGACAAATTGTTCAAAGTCCAAGGTTTCTGAAGAAATGCTATCCTGTGGAAGTCTGGATGGTAATCATTCGGATCCCGGCTGTTAATATGTAATGAAAACAATTCTGGACATCTCCTGACCAACATGCCGAGGCAACCCCAGCTGGTATATAGATCTGGAGGATCGGCCATTCGGACATCCTCAAGACGCAGTGTGTGTATTTTCGGGAGAATATATTCACTATCGTCGTTATTTAGGAAATTAACAGGTAGCTGGTGAATGGTTACATGCTCCAATTCTAAGCGCCTAACTCTCTTACAGACTTGAAGGAATAGATCAGCCGACTCACTGATAGTTGTGTGGTAAACTTCCAAGTGGTAGAGGTTGCTACATTCCAGTAAAGCCTTCCAGAGCTCATGTGAATGCTCAATATCGCTGGACAAGTGAAAGCTCGTGAGGATGGAGCTATGGACTTTGATTTGCTTGTAAAGGTGCCTCGGCGTGAGCCATGAACATCCTTTTCCATATCCGACGGATCTAATTTCTCGTAATACTGGGAAAGAATCTTTAAATGCAAAATGTGAAAATGTAATCTTTTCAATGTATTCCTTGTGCTTCTGTCGCGCTTTACTAGCAGGATATTTGAGCGATGTAATGGTGATTTTTCTCCATATGAGTCCGATAAGAGAACTATGAAAAAACTTTGAGACTCGGATACAGTTTAAAAGGTCTTTTTGGTTGAGCAAACCGCCAATGAGTAAGAGGATTTCAGGGATCTTTAAAGGATTTAAATTATGGTGGTCCATGTTGCAAAAAAAAACCCAATGATGGAATGTGGTAATGGCCCATCTGAAAAAAAAAAAAAAAAAAAAAAAAAAAGTGTGGCTACGTTTTGCATCAAGCATTAAATAATGTTATGCAAGTGCGATTTAAGCATTCAGGAACGTAGACAGGAGAGATATATGGATATTGAACTTATAAAAAAAAGTATTGTATAATTGTGAATGTTTAGTTTGCATCATATCTGGCAAGGGGATTCTGGCAATGGTACTAACGGTAGTGCGTACTATCTATATCAAAGCCGTGAAAAGAACCACTTAGAAGAGAGAAGAAGTAAAGAAAAGAAGAAAGCGGAACTAAACGAAGACAAGGTCCGGCTTTCTCTTCTACTAAACTATATCTCGCACAGTGTAATTAGCATCCGTAGAAAAATTGTCTTGGTGCAAATCAAGTTGCAAATTCTCTTTTAGCTAGGAAATCCTACATGGTTGGGGACGCATAATGCTAATGTTTTTGTAAATATTATTACTGTAGGTGCCTTTACCGTCTTCACCAAGAATCTATCATCATCATTCGTAAGCGGGTGGATGGCTCGTGCCTAAGAGTTCTTGCCCTCCATTTCAGGTTTGTTGATAATATATACTTCAGTCTATCAGTAAACGAATATACTGTGCAACTTCAAGGATTCATTTACCGGTGAAAACTATGTCTGAATACCAGCAAAACCAGACTCTGCAGGCTGATCAATTCATCCAGCCTTGCCTTTAGTCTCAGGTGCAACTTCAGTGTTATTCTGTCTAGACAACTCAATGTTTATTTATTTTTTTCCCTCTTCAACTCTCATTGCCTGCACTTCCCCCAACGCAACAAAGACAACGAGAGGAGGCCCTGGAGATGCTGTCTGAAATGATTGTTGATATAATACATTACTATCAATCGTATTTTAGAACCTGGGTGCACGCGGAACTAACATTGCGTTTGACATCGAATCACCCTCTCTGCCAGACTCATGTGCTTGCAGGGCATTTCTATGCTTGTAATGATTAAGGCGCAAACAAGACAGGAGAATGATGTTGCCTATATCCATGGCAGCAGTGGACTCTCTTCTCGATATAGAAGGCGATTTAATCATCCACTGGAAGGGATAGCAGGCACTACAATATCGTTCATATATATGCTTTTGTTGGCAAACCACAGTCTTTTATACATGTCTTTCCCCCCGGCCAAGATTTTCTACGGCTGCAGTTTTTGCAACGTCTGGATTGAGTAGAGCTTTCGCTTATTCTATTATTCTTTTCTACCCTTTTCGTAATGTGAGAGGGCCGAAGGTCGTGCGTCTTCCTTGACATGCATTTGGAGATGGATGTCTTTATTAAATAACGCTTGCGGGGTCCTCCTACTCTTGGATTTCGTTTAGGAACGCAAGTATGTCACGATGCGCAATGGTAGGAGAGAGATAGTCTTTAATAAGGATTTTGTCAATAAGTAACAGGTTTCGCTTCTCATCGATATCCTCGAAGCCATCTTCATCATAGATTGGCTATTATACTTTCTATTTGCTGCCATAACAATTACCACATTGTATTTCTCTTTGCACTTCCTGGACGTCGGGCACATGGTTAAACTTGTTGATAAAGGTAGCGAGACGCCTCTCACTATCGTCTGTTTCCATAATCTAGCGTCCACATTTTTTGTTTTGCATAAAAATATACCATCTTCTAACTCGACGTATTTGTTGCGTCTATACAATCGTATCTCTGGGCTTCAAGATGTCCCCTTTTTACTTCCTTTGATGAAAGTATTGCTCCTATTCCTTGCAAACCACCTTTATCAATAATGTTTTGCGCTCAAGAAGTGTATGGCTCTCAGTGCCTCCTTGTAAGTATCAGATATGGGCCAGCTTAAGAACCAGTCCTCCTCGAACTCGCTCTGGAATTTATTGGTAATTGCTTGATGATCATCTCGTTTTGGCTTTACCTTGCCTAGCTTCGAGATCACTGATCCTTGTTCTATCTGCGACAGTCTGGAAGTCTGCTGTCGACCAATACATCGGTGATTGCCCTTTGATGGTATGGAATGAGTTGCTCAAACTTAACCCATCTCTAGGAGTATTTGTTGTTGAGGTAACTAATAGGTCGTTTGATATCTGACAAGTTGAAATTAGTTTAAATTATCTATGGACTGAAGGAAGGATTACTGTGATATCTCGAGAATGCAAATGCTATGATTACTCCGCTTACAAGCTTGTAAAAGGAAGATCGATCTCCTTAACCATTGCTGCCTTGAGCGCTCGTAGGCGCTACAACCCCTCACAGCCTTGCTACCGCCATGATGGGTTTGGACTTCTCGGGTCGCATTTAAGACAAAGTTTCTGTAAGGAAATATGATCAAAATACACCTCTTTTTTACGACAGTGTTTTAGCCTTAGTTACACTAATTCCAGGAAGTAATGCAGTTGATACAGGGGAGGGGATATAACGCGCTCTAGTGAGGTATTCATAGGTTCCAACAGCTTCGTGTCCTAGCGGTTTAACCTGGTACTTGCTGTTAAAGGCTAGAACTTAAGCTTGCAATCAATCGATTAAAAAAAAGGGAGGGGGGGAATGCCTCGAATAGCAGCCATCTTTAGAACGAACAGTATAGAGACTCGGCAAGGTGTCTCTAGCAAAAAAGAAGATAAAATAAGAGAATTAACCCCTTTGGTGCTTTGTTTATCTATAGGCTGGGGGTAGAGAATGAAAGCAGGAGAGAAAAATGATGAAAGTTGGTAGTGGATGACATGACTTGACATATAGTTTTTCGCTGCTTGCTTTTTCATTACTTCCTTGGTATGGACTCACTGGCACGTGTATAGCACTTGAATGCATTGATTGCGTCCCAGTTCTTCAAGTTCGTGCTTATCATATCAAGTAACATGTAAAAAAATATGAAAAAAATGTATTGAGTAGGTCGGAACATCTGTAGTGCTATCATCTGCCGTAATTATGGCCTCACATGGGTGATAACGAGTCAATAAGCGATCATTTTTTACGCTTCCTATGCTAATAGCAAGCATAGAGGACTGGATCTGGCCTACCCATGAGTTGATGAAAGCTAGGTGAGTAAAATTTACCCAATTTTATGCTCTAAGGGTAAATAGACCGCGAGAGAATATAGTAGTCTGGTCTCGAAATACCGGCTCAAAGTAACTAATAGATGCATTTAAAAAAATAAAAATAAAAAATAAAAAATAAATAATAAAAAATAATTATGGTGATGAAGATGCAATAAGGATGATATATACTACCAGACGATAAATCGGCTTTTGATTCATTTACAATAACGCATTTTAATAATACATTCATTCAATCAACGGAAGTGAAGAAATAAAAAATAAAGAATGATAATAATCGGCGGACGTATTGCTCAACAGAAACACGATCCCAACAAGGTTATTATAAGAGTGAGTCTCGTTCAATTCTCGTCAAGACAAGGTTTTTCTTATTATATGAAAGCTACTCCTTTACTACTCTTACTCTCTCTCTAACTCAATCTTCCTTTGTAGACTTGCTCACTTAGTTACGTGATTGTTGGAGTCAACCAACACTATGCTGTCCAAGAAACGCCCATCATATGAAGACTCTGTTGAAGAAGCGGGGATTTCTCGTTTGCACTGTAGTGTATTTTGCGTGAGCACCTGAAGAGGAAACGATGATTACTCTATCTTCAGCCTGTGAGTGAGAATGGACTGTCTGTTCGGATGTAACGAAGAGCGCCATCAACAGCAAACACAGGTACAGGTACAGGGTTGAATCTAGGTCTGGGCACTGTGCCGGATCGTGGCCAAAGAAGTAAGCGACCAGCAGCATTTTTGCTTCGTAGCAAGCCAGAAAGCACAAAGAGAGGACTCAAGAAACTTTTAACATTTAGCATTTGTGTGTTCGTAAGCATACTATCTATAGTTTACATGGTTCCCGCTGGGTTACTCCAGTGGTGACGTGTATAAAAAACAATTTAATTAAATTTCAGTGAAAAATCCAGCAATCATTATCATTATTTGTCTAAATTATTCTTTTTTACACGAGTTCAGAGTCCTCCAGGAACTTGTACTCGAAACGGAAATCCGTCTTCTTGCGTTGGCACCATGCTCCTTCATAGTCAAAGTAAATATATGTGCCTTGTTCATAATCGTCCGTAATTGCCTTTGGCTCCTCATGCCGTTGAAACCATGTTAGATACTTTTTATGGAAGCGCCAGGACTGCTTCTTCAACTCACGCGCAGCAAGATACCTAAGGAAAATTAAAAGAAAGGAAAAAAAACAATGCAATATGAATGATCCTATCTTAAAATATTGGAATTATATAAAGCACGTTCATTATAAAGGCTTACTGCTGGTATGTCCCTTGCTGGTAGTAAAAGATAAAGAACAGCGTGTCAATGTCAAACTTCTCAAACATGGCAGGACTGTCAAATACTCCTGGCATCGGTGCTTGTGGGTAATAGGATGGTGTTGGATAAGGATCCTTGGGTGCATAATTCTTTGGTCTAAATTGATTAAAGAATGGTAAACATGGGTGTTAGATTTAACATGTGTTCTAACGGCAATCCCTTTCCCCCCCTCACATGACTCTAGTAGATATGTATCTCAAGATTCATACCGTTCAGTGTCCACAGCTTCTGGCATGAATTGATAACTGGCTTCCAACATTTGTTGAGCAAAGAATCCAACCTCTTTTTGTAGCGCTCGTTCCTTGGACGCTTCAAAGCTATGTGCAAGATCAGCCAATGCTGCAGGTAATCTAATCTCAGGTTCTGGTGCCACCAGTGCTGTCGGTGGCGTTGGCATAGATGTCGATGCAGGTGCAGGTGCAGATGTTGGTACACTAGATGGTGCAGGCTGTGATTCTATTGGCTTGGCTTCATTCTGCTGCGGAATATAAAGTTAGAAATTAATTGAAATAATCTTCACCCAATGCAGTGGACATTTGTTCCCTTGCAATAACACTGTTGACAAAGCTAAACAAATAATTAAATCTTACTGATTCAGGTACATTGGGTGGCGTTGACAGCCCCTCAATTTCTGCGCTAGCTTGTTTTTCTGCTATGGATGTTGTAAACGGAGATTCTAACGCTTTAGATGCCGTTGAAGCGGGGTCAGTTGATGATGTTAATAAAGATTTGGATTCATCCTTGGGTTCTGATGCTAGTGTCTGCACTGACGATGACGCTGGTGTAGTTATCGTAGCCGCCTGCGGTGATGGTGATGTTACTTTAGCTGTTTCGTTTGCTTGCTTAGGAGAATCCTTTGTCAACACTGCTGATGAAACTTGAGGTGATGCTGCTGAAGTAGTGCGAGATGGATCGGATGGCAAGTTGGCTGCTACTGCAGTCGCATATTGGATGACGGGGGATTCTGAAGCCCCTGTACGCGGCAAAGCTGGTTGTCGGTTGGGCGGAGCTACCGTTGTCGTTTTTGCTGTTGATTGACTGGGCGTTGATGCAGGCTTTGTTTCCTTGGATTCTGATACTGACAATTCTAAAAAAAAAAAAAAAAAAAAAAAAAAAAAAAAAAGTGTGTGCGCGCGATCGATAGAGATAAAGAGAGAAAGGTATAAGCATCAAGAGACGTAAAAAAGTATCTCTACAGTATCTACGGTCAATTCTTTCTGGCTTAAAATCAATTCATAGAATGTCTTACTTTTTGCTGGTATAATCTTGACAGGAGGTTTTGTGGGTGAAGGCTCTGGCTCTGGTTCCTTTGCCTGCTTCTTGGTAGGCGTTGGTGTATCATCCTTCTCATCATAATCATGAGTAACTGAATGATCTTCCATACCAACTGCAAAATAATCCTCTTCATCTTCCAGATTCAAATCCGTGTAAATCTCCTCGTCTTCTGCGAAATCCGGATCCTGAATTTATGCATCATAATAAATAGGAATACGTGTAGAATATATATAAAAGTGAGATGAATGGTCAATAAGTTGGGGCAATCCAACTGAAGGAAGCTCATCGATCTTAACATTCAAAGCCTCCTGCATACCTGGTTCTCATCAACATAGTAGTTCACATCTTCCTGAATTGCAATGACCTACAAGGAAATTGAACATTATTTAGGGAAAAAGCCATTAGCATACTGAGGCAAGCTTGAATTCAAAAGTCTAAAGATGAAATGATTATATAATTTTTCTAGGTTATTTTTTACCTTTTCGGTATCGATCTGACCGTTTTCCAAAAGCCTTAGGATTAGTTCCAGACGCCCTTGATGCCACTTATGTCGCTCAATCTTCTCCTCCAGTTCTGATATCCTTTCCTTTGAAGAGTTGTTCTTGCCCTTCTTTGTGCCTGCTTGTAAAGTCTCTACCTCAGCCTCTAGAGCTTCGATTTGGATACTCAATGCTTCAACACGATCTGTTACCCAAGAACACGTCTCCGCTTTTTCCTTCTCCTTAGGATCCATGCGTCCAGACATGATCAATCCTTCTCTGGAATATGCTTTCGTCTTCATTTCCTTTTCAATTGCCTTGAACTTTTCCATTTGCTAGAAAGAATAACCCCCACGCATAAAAAAAGGAGCCACACCGGATATGCAGGTGGGCAGATAAAATTTCAAAAAAAAAAAGTTGATTGCATGTTAGTTGAACGGCTTACGTTTTCAAAAATGGATGGATTGTTTTTTATTTTTATTTTTTTGGAATTCAATGAAATGACATGAATTTCTCATGTGGTTGATTTTAGTTTACCTGTTCAATGAGTTTTCGGTTGTCCATGAGTGCCCTCTTGTCCTTGATGTCATTTGAGGAGATCCAAGTCTTGATCTGATCACGTAGTCGTTGCAACTTCTTAATTTCCTTCTTAAGGTCCGATTCATACTTGTCCTTTTGGTTGGCATTCGTTGATGTTTCAATCTTTTCTAGAGTCTCTTCAAAGGTTTCAACACCTTCCGCAACCTTTTTCAAGACCTTGTCAATTTCGGCTATATACAAAAATAAGAAGAAAAAAAAACAAGAACCCCATCCCAAGGAAGAAGAAAAAAAGGATAAGATATTCGGACAACGATCAAAAAAAGGTCAGATTGAAAAGAGAAGGACGTATGGGAGACAAACTCTGAGGGAAAAACACCAACGTCTTCCCAGGCTACAATGTTTGTTGATTTTCAACTTTGTAGCCATGGGTTCAATGGATACTTTAAAAAAATGGTGGCAAAGGAATGAAAAAGAAAGAAAGAAAGAAAGAAATAAAATAATAAAAGCAATTGATCGATATCAATGCATGTTATGATTACTCTGCAGTTTCCGTGTTGCCATGTCGTGTTCGTGAGGAGGAAGAAATGCGTGAAATGCGGTCGGAGGATTTGCTTTTTTAAAATGATAACGAAATGAGCTTGTGAGGATGCGTTGCGTTGATATAGATTATCGAACAGTGTGTGGGATGTGTTTGAGTATTGTATTTGTGCTTAAATGAATGAAGCAGCAAAGTGAAAAATAGGAAGCTATTCGCGTGAGAAATGTAGTTTGTTCAAGAGGAGATTTGATGAGGTAAATGACAAAGGAGAGTCAGTTGATGAAAGGCACATTCATTTTAGAAAATTGCTGGATGCAAATCCCCTTAACCAGAACCGTTAGTTAGAAAAGAGGCCCAAAATTTTTTAACAACTTTGTCATGGAGTGTTGTTCATAAAATCTTTTACGGTCGCTGCTCCTTATTTTATTATTCGTCCTTTTCATATTTACATTTTTCCATTCGCTTTCTTGATTCTCTTCTATCGAGTAACTTTTTGTTTTATAAAAAAAAAAGAAAGCTGAATAAGTGAGATCAAGCTCGACATTTTTTTTTTTTGCTTATTTGGAAGAAACAGCGTCTTTGATCTCCTTGACTGACACAGTGGGTCCTGTTGCAGGCGCGGCAGCAGCAGCGGTGGCAGCAACGATAGGACTCTCCGGCGACGATGATGAAGATGATGATGATGGTGCATCTGCAGGTTTTGACGCTCCTGAAGTCCCGGCAAGCTGATCTGCATGCTGATTCATTTCCTCCGCTCTCGTCTGCTTTACAACATCATAGTTCCAAGTGCCTTTGCTTTCTCTGGCGAAGGCCAAAGAGAGGAAAGAGGGGGGAAAAGAAAGAAGGCATGGTTGGTTGGTAAGACAGAAACATTATACAAGAGGAGAAAAAGAAAGGAGTTGTTCGCAATAAACCTTACTTCTGATACTTCTTCAGCGAGGGCTCCCAGATATAGTAGCCAGAAAAGACACCGACACCAACAGCAATTGCCAGTGGAATGTAACGATTCATTAATGACATGGTAATTTTTCGTTTCAAGAGGAAATGAATGTGAATGAATGACTGAATAAAAAAAAGTAACTATGAGCAGTTTTGTGATTACCATATTTACGCGATTCTCTAGCGCGATTCGGACGAAGCCACAACAAAGATAGTCATTCATTTTCGTTCCTGCTTGTTAATATCAACTGGCGACAGAGACAGGGAAAGAACCAAGACAAAAGGTAAAAGCGACCCTTGTAATAATAGAGTGAAGTCTCCTCCACAAAGCACCCCATATTGGTTGCTCCACCATCTATTTGCATGTGTTTGGACATGGTCGATACAATAATGAACAACAGAAGGTTGATCAATTGACATTATCTGCGTCAATTTTCTCACAGATGACAATTACAATGCAATTTAAATTCCTGAGGAATGTTTTTTGACCAGAAGCACAGACAACAGCTCTTTTAATGTCCAAAGGTGGTATTTCCCTGTTCCTCAAAATCCACGTGTGTGATCTTCAGTTAAAAAAAAAAAAAAAAAAAAAAAAAATGACGATAGCAGGGTCCTAGGAAAAAAAGATCCCAAGTACCTCGGAAAAGAGATTGCTTCCAAATAAAGACAAAGGATAAATACATAAAGTAAACAAACCGGGTGGATGAATCATAGTTGTCCAGTGCGGTGTGTCACCGAGGCCATCAAGCTACTGCAATGGAGGGAAGTTTGGGAGCCACAGCTTAATATAATTTGCATGTGATACGAGGGGAACAGGGGAAGAGAGGACAGTCTCACAGTCCCACAACGACAATCCCACAATCCCACGGAGGCAGGCAAAAAAATTGTGGAGGATTGATCAAAGTGCTTTGTTATTGAAACTCAAGAAGCTCTTTTTCTTTCTCTTCTCTCTCCCCACTCTCCACTCCAGGATTTTCTCTATACTCTTAACACCCCTTTCTTTCTCCCCCTTCATCTTTCAGGAAATAACATTCTCATTTTAACTCATTTACTTTTCTACATTTCAACATGTCTGACAGCACAGTTCACGCTATTGCCGGTAATGTCTTTCTCTTTGTTTTTTCTCTTTCGGGATAAGATAATAGTTTTTCTCCACTATGAATAGCTTGGCATACAGAATGACAAACATCGGCTAACGCGTATCCTATTCAACGTCATTGATCTTTTTTTTTTTTTTACCGCATATGATCTCTATGATCTTTGAAATACTAACCTGATCAAAAAAATCTTGACATCGCAGGTGCCGGAGGAGGAATCGTCTCCATGACTTTGACCTATCCATTGGTCACCATCAGCAATAGACTTCAAGTTCAGAAAGATAAGACCAACAAGGAGGCTTACAAGGTAAATATCTTATCAATTCAACACCTTACCTCATAAACATCAACTAATCCTTATGGACCATGGCGGTTCTCATAAAGTGACAGCAAGGCTAAAAAAAAAAATAAAAAAAAAAAAAGGATTTCCCGTTCATGGATCGGATTCAGGAAAAATGTAGAAAGGGAGAAAAACAAGAAAACTGAGAATTTGGAGTATTTTCTGACCAGGGTGTTTGGATTTTTTTTTTCTTCTTTTTCTTTTTCTTAGAACGGTTTGGATGTTGTCAGGAAGGTTATTGCCAAGGAAGGTATCGCCGGTCTTTACTCGTAAGTACACCACAGTCCCTTGGGCGTATTCAACCTAATTGGAATATACACGAATCAGAAACGTTTTCGCCAAGAAAGAATTGATCTTGTTCATTTTGTATGACATGGGAAATGCGGGATAAAACTGATGACGTCCTTTATAAAAAAATAAAAATAAAAAACCTAAACTAGTGGCCTGGATAGTGCCTTGTTCGGTATCTCGCTTACCAACTACTGCTATTACTATTTTTATGAGTTCACCAAGAGTGTGATCAACAAAGCTCAGATGAGCACCATCGAATCTATGTCTGCTGGTGCTGTTGCAGGTAAGAAGGACGATAAGATAATGTTTTCATATCTTTTATTTTTAAAATAGTTGATGAGGGCATTATGGAATCAAAGAGTAATGGGCTTATTTTCTTGTTTTTATGGTCTTTGAATAGGTGCTGCCACTGTCTTGATCACCAATCCTATTTGGGTTATCAATGTAAGAACTACTTCTATCATAGACTCGTGTTTTTACTTCTCTTTTAATTCTTTTATTTTTTTAATAACAGTTTTTTTTTCTTTTTTTTTTTTTTTTTTTAGACCCGCATTAATACTCGAAACACCAGTTCACCTAATAGTCGTCCTTTGAGCACCTTTGAGACTGCAGCTGAGATGATCAAGGAAAACGGCTTCAAGTCATTCTGGCAAGGCGTCATGCCAGCATTGGTCTTGGTGGCCAACCCCATCATTCAGTACACTGTTTTTGAAAAGATCAAGGCCAAGATTGCAAAGACTCGGGCTCTCACCAGCTTTGATTTCTTTCTTCTCGGCGCCGTCAGCAAATTGGCCGCCACCAGCATTACCTATCCATACATGTAAGTCTTTTTTTTTTTTTTTTTTTTTTTTTTTTTTTTAAAAAAAAAAAAAACAAAAACTTTTTACTTCCACAAAAAAGAATTACATTTTGATCCGCTCAACATTTTGGCTCTTATTTTCATATTGCTATGGTCAATAATAGTGTGGTCAAGTCTCGTATGCAATTGAAGCAGTCGGACAATGTGAACGAGCGCTATACCTCCATCTTGGATGGTTTCCGCAAGATCGTCAAATACGAGGGCATTGCTGGCCTTTACAAGGGAATTTCTAGCAAGATTGTTCAATCCATCTTGACAGCCTCGTTCTTGTTCATGGCTCAGGCTAGTTTGGTCGAATATGTGGCCAAGTTGTTGACTATCCTTGGTGTTCGTGCTCAAAAGCGCATTTAATTTCAAAAAATTGTTTTTTCTTTACTTTATCTTTTTTTTTTTATTTTTTATTTTTTATTTTTTATTTTTTATTATTATTATTTTCATTGCTATTATCATTGCTGCTACTACCCGTTATTTTCTATTTTGCTTTCTCTCTCTCTTCAACACTTCTTCTCTCCATCCTCTCTCCATCCTCTCTTCATCCCTTTCCTATATTACCAGATCTTTGGCACAATTCCATTTATAAATAAATAAAAAAATGACAAATAGTATAGACGAAATTAAAAAAGGCTTTTTCTTTTTCTTTTTCTTTTTCTCATTATGTTAATTATTATTAAGATTATGTATAAAGTAATAAGGAAAAGGAGGAACATGGGAGAGGGTTATGATTGACGATGAACAGTCATCGTTGGGTATTATCTCATGTGTAGCTGCTTTAAATATCATGATTCACGTCCATCTTCCTCTTTTATCGTTGGCGCAGGTGGGGCTGGTGATGGTGTCGATGATGGAGGCGCTGTTGATAATGCTGAGGTTACTGCTACTCCTGCTCCTGTTTCTTGCGCTAGATCGTTTCCTACGCCACTAAAGCCATCAAAATTATCTCTTGTCTCTTCTTCTTCTTGTGACCGCCCTGGTTCATATTCTTGCTGTTGTGGTCTTCTTCTCATCCCATTATTTCCATAAACACCGTTCTCAACTTCACCTGCAGTTTCAGCCTCGGCGACAGGACAGGTATCCATCTCTATGTGATTGCCTACACCACCTATAGCGGCTATATCACCCATCATCCCATTCATCCCATTCATCCGTCTCCTTGCCAACTGACGTTCATACTGTCTCCGTAAATGTTCATCTGAATATCCTTGATAATCCTCTCCATATTGTCCATAAGGGTTCACAGCATCGACCGAGAAATTCTCATGCAAGACTCGCATGGGTTCATCTGCAATGATCCTTGGGTTGTTGACTTCCGAATGGGATCGACCATAGATCAAATAGACAAAGACACCAGCAGCCATCCAGACCAATAACCGGATAATCGCCTCCCGTTTCGCACCTTGAATCAATACTAATGAACTTATCGCACCAATTCCAGGTAAAAGAAATGGACCTATTTTTTTTTTTTTTTAAAAAAAAAAAAAAAAAAAAAAAAGATGGGTAGCACAAAGATTAGGAAGAGGGGAATGGGTCGTATAAAAAAAAAAAAAAAAAAAAAAAAAAAGCCGATGCATTTCTTTTTTTTGTAAAGCGTTTACCTCCTGGTACTTTAAATCGACGAGGGACAGTTTTCCGAGTATAGCGGAGGATGATGACACCAATGTTGACAACAAAGAATGCAAAGATGGTGCCAACAGAAGACATGTCGCTCATCACCTCAATAGGAAGTAACGCACCACAAATTGCACAAATGATTCCTGAGACCAATGTAGCAACGTATGGAGTCTAAAAAAAAAAAAAAAAAAAAAAAGAAAAAGAGTTAAGAAAACGCCATCAAATAAACTTTTTTACAATATACGAATATGTAAGATATTGAATAACGCTCATTCGATTCTTTTTTTTTTTTTTTTTTTTTTACCTTATATTTTGGATGAACTTTTGCAAAGGCACGGGGGATCAAACCATCATTAGCCATGGCGTAAAAGACACGTGGTTGAGCAATCAATAAGACCAAAATAACCGAAGTCGTCGCAGCAAGAGCTCCTAATTCTGTCAGGACTACAAGCCAGGTCATATTCGTTGACCGGACCGTGAACACTAGAGGTGATCCGCCTGTCAATTGCTCGTAATTCACCACGCCCACGGTCACAGCACTGAGAGCAATATAAATCGTCGCACTGATCACCAGGGTCATCATAATTCCGACTGGTAAATTCACCTGGGGCTCTTTTGCTTCCTGGGCTGTGGTGGAGACACTGTCGAATCCAATGTAAGCAAAGAAGACTGAGGATGCACCCTGTAATAATCCAGAGACACCAAATTCCCCATAGGTCCCCGTGTTGGGTGGAATGTATGGGTGATAGTTTTCTCTTTTGATGGAGGGGATCATGGCAATGATCATGATGATCAAGACTATGATCTTGAATGCCACCAATACATTGTTGATCTTGGCTGTCAAATGGATTCCTGAATAGATCGTCACTGTTACCAGGGCTGAGATCACAAAGGCAGGCACATTAAAATAGGAACCCGACATTTCGAAATCATCATTGACCCAAACAATGGGAGCCTTTGTCCATTTGGGTGAGAGTGTTCCATGAAAGGCATCCTCGACCAATGCTACAAAGTAAGATGAAAAGCCAATGGAGACTGTTGCAGCACCAATCATGTATTCCAGAATGAGATTCCATCCAATGATCCATGCGGGTAATTCTCCGACGGTTGCATAGGCATATGTGTAAGCTGATCCAGCGATTGGGATCATGGAGGCCATCTCTGCATAGGATAGAGCTGCGATCCCAGAGACGATACCGCCGAGAAGAAATGAGATTGTGACTGAGGGGCCTGCCTGAGTAGCGGCAGCATTACCTATTTTTTTGTTTTTTTGTTTTTTTGTATTTGAGAACAAACGTACAAAAGTACACAGTTATTATATTATAATATACATATATAAATGATTGATTTGTTTATTTGTTTGTTAAAATCTAATCCAGTTTGAGTAAGCCGACAAAGGTGAAAAAAAAAAGAGATTCTTACCAAGAATGACAAAGACGCCAGTACCAACAACAGCACCTAGAAGCAATTGAGAAAAAAAAAAGCCAAAAGTGATTAGTTATAGATTTTGGTTTTGTCTTTTTTTGTTTGTTTGGATCGGCGTCGTTTGTGCATCTCCATCTTTTTTTTTTTTTTTTTTTTTTTCCTGCAGCAAACACAAAAAAAAAAATATGGTCAATGTGTCCTGAAGGTGTGACAAAACCCAGGTTTTGGGACATTTGAGTACATTCTACTCCAAATCCAATTGCAGTTTTGCTCCCATGGAAAGTCAAGAAAGCACAGAGCGAACAAACACAACCTCGCATACCAATAGAAAAATAAAAAAAAATAAAAAAAAATAAAAAAAAATAAAAAAAAATAAAAAAAAATAAAAAAAATAAAAAAAAAAAAAAATAAAAAAAAAGAAAGTAAAGGAAAGGGAATGAGGACAAGGGACAAGGGACAAGGGACAAGGGACAAGGGAAGGGGCTGATGGTTGAACAGTCTTGGAAGTATAAAAGAAGCACAATAAAAAATATAAAAAAAAGAGTCATTTTAAAAGAAAGAAGGAATGGGGGATGAGGATAGATGATGGACTATGCGGTAAGAATAATCCTGCAGCAAACCAGCCAGAATACATTCCTAATGCATTTCATTCTGCAACATTTTACCCACATGTTCGAATAAAGAGTTGAACGTCGAATTGGGGGCTTTTTGAAATTGTTTTCGTGAGAAGTGTGAGCAAAAAAACCTTCCACCTATTTTTTTTTTACAATCATAAAAACACATTACAGTCAAACTACACATGACCTATTTCCAATTTAAAAAAAAAAAAAAAAAAAAAAAAAAAGGGGTGCCAGATGTATCCATGGATGATAACAAACATGCTAGTTTGTGGATTGGATGTTGGATTATAACGCTGTGTAATGTAATGTAATGCTGTGCTGTTGTTGTTTTATTTTATTTTTATGCTTACCCAATCCTACAAAGGTCAACTCCACAGGTCCGAGTGAACGATTGAATTTGGTCTCTGCTTCCTCCACTGTGTATTCAAGACGGGCGAGAGTTTGAATCGAGACCAACCTTCGAGCGTGATATCGTAATTTGGACTCGTTGGGTTTTCTGAACGGAGTCTGGCCTGTATAGTAATAGCCTTCATCATCGTCCATCGCTCCAAACACAAAGGTCGGTGGTTTCGAAATGATGGGCAAAAGTTGAGCTGGAGATGTTAAAAAGAAGAAAAGAAAAAAAAATGAAAAAAGGAGGAAAAGAATGATTTAAAGTGTGGGAAGATAAGATAAACAGGCAATTACAATTAGAGTATAGACCGTTGAAAATAGAAAAAAATAGAATTAATAATTAAAAAGAACCACCATTACAACACTTGTTATATGTAAATATGCTGATGGAGATAGGAATATAGGAAAATAAAAATTATAAAGATTAATGTGTGAACTGCAGGAGCGGAGACTTAAAAAAAAAAAAAAAAAAAAAAAAAAGTCGAGAAGAGCAAGTGGAAGACTTTCGATTATAGTAGGGATGTGAGGAAACGATAGAAGGATGAGGGGAGGAGAAACTAACTGTGTCAATATACAAAGGGATATTTTGTGAATGAGTAAGGGGTTTAACAAGCGAGAATGAGTGAGAGAGTCTAAATGTCAACAAGGAAGAGTAATGGCCGTTGCACACCACAACACACAAATGAACGATGTATACAAATGAGATTGTAGAATGAAAAAACCATGGACAGTAAAAGAAAAAAGATAGTAAAAAAAAAAAAAAAAAAAAAAAAAAAAAGCGAAAGAGTGGGGGAGAGTGAATGGGCGAGTGTGGGGATGATGTTGAAATTCAAAAGAATTCATCCTTCACTCGGATCAAAGAGAGATGGATTCATGGAATGAATGACTTTTCTTTTTCGAGACTTTGTGAGCAAAAACATTTTTTTGAAAGCACACGGACTATCGTTTTGCTCTTGCATTTCTGCAATGTTGGTTGGTTGTTCATGGGCAAAAAGATGACAGATAAAATAGACATGTAAAAAAAAATGGTTGTTGGATGATGCGAGATGCTGCAGAGGCCTATTCTCTCCCTTCAAAGACCTCTTGTTTTTTTAAATGCTGTGTGCTCATCATTGTCCGCAAATACTTGAGAGTTTCGAGCAAACCTCCTGCTTTGTGGTTTTTATTTTATTTTCAGTTGTTACTTGTTCAACGACACGCACAAGCTTGTTCGGAGAAATGTGAAATGTAAATGTTTATATCTTGTTGACAAAGGATCTTGACAACAACAACAATCAATTGTTAACCACAAAAAACACTTTCGTTCTCTTCATTCGTTCGCTCTTTTCCCTCCGTGCTTCTCATATTTACTCTTCTTTCGTTTTTCTTCTCTTCTCTTTACGATATAGAAATATGAGATGAAAGGAGAAAAATGAAAGGGAAAACAGTGTGCAAGTAAGTGACAAAGGTTTGAACATGTAAGAGTCAGGATGTGGCGCAGCGGGTACAGCCGCGTGATTGGCTCACATCAAAGATAAATACCAGGCACCATCCAATCAAAAGCGATCCTTGGTTTCATCTCAATTTTATCAAATCTCATTCTCTCACTCTTCTCAGTCTTTCTCACCCTTCTCGCTCCTCTTGATCCTTTCGAGAAAAAGGAGAAAAGGGGTGGAAGGAGAGAGGAAGGGGGGTAATTTGATGGAGGGACAATGCACTTACTCTTATTCATGTTGATTATTGGCCATGAGGTGTAATAGATCTAGCTCTTTGAGGAAAATGAAGAGATCTTTCTATTTATCTTTGATTGATGGATTAATTGATTGATTGAGACAAGTGAAGGAATGGAGGTTGATATACAAGACGACAAGTCAAGGTATTGTTAGAACTTGTTGGATTTGTTTGATTTGTGGCGACCATATTCCATGCGACATAATGTTTGGTAATACGAGTGTCTTTGCCAAGACAAGAAATTCAAAATGAAAAGAGAAAAAGAAGGAACGAAAGAAAGAGAGAGCGAGAGAGATCGAGAATGTCGTAAACATGTAACCTGAATACAATTTGTATCCAATGTTTATCCATGTGTATGGCTTGGCTTTCCCATCACTTCCCTTTTTCCTTTTTACCTTTGTTGTGAACGACTCTTTCCCCTTCTCTGTCTACACAACAGTTCATCCCCTTTTCTCTCTCTCGTTTTAATTGCCCATGCATACTTTATTTCAAAGAAAAAAAGAAAAAATAATAATAATAATAAGCTGCGCATCTCTTTCATCTATTCTCTCATTCATTTCAACCTTTTCCTTCATCAGATTGTATCATTCACTCATTCCTCAATTCTCATTTCTCCTCTTTTATCCCGGCACTTTTTTTTTTGAACTATTCATTTGCACTCTACCCCGGTTTGAACAAAACCCTTTCGCCCGCCCCCTCTTTTTATTTTTTCATTAAACAACCTATTCGTTTGATACAATCTTCAATATTCATCATAATATTAAACACAAAATATCATTCACCCCACAATATCACATCAGTTTAACACCTGTACAATAAAAAACACACAAACAACGCTTCGCCCTTTCTCTTTCTTTCTTTCTTTCTTTCTTTCTTTCTTTTAATTATGTTAAAAGAAAAAAGATTATAGAAAACAGCATATACACAGTCAAAGGAAAAACAGAATAGAACTTCACTCTTCTCAAAAGAAACCCCTTCTTTCATCTTTTTTTTTCTTCACACTTTCATTTGACACACTTTCATTTGAACACAACAAAGTAATAATTAACCTAGTCAGTCAATCAATAACCAGCATCTTAGATAGCAACTCAAAAGAGACAAACAGCTCTTCCTGCTTCTTCTCCTCCCTTTACTCTACACAAAAAAAAAATCACATACTAACATGTCGACAGCAACCATAAAACCCAAAAAGAAAAGAACTTCTGTTGTTCAAGGTTGTGATCAATGTCGTAGAAGAAAGGTAACCGTGCAAAAAAAAAAAAAAAAAAAAAAAAAAATCGATTTGAAGAGCAATAGATATGAAGGGAACAAAGAAAAAAAAAACGCACACAGGCACACGCACTCACTTCAGCATTGTGTGTGTGCACGCGTGTGCACTTGTTTATTACGTGTTTGGGTTCACAATGGATAAATGATAGAGAAGAGAGCCCTGTCTATGCTGATGGGAGGGTCTACCTAAACAAAGAGATGTGAAAAAATAATAATAATAATAATAATAATAATAATAATAATAATAATAATAACACCAGTGTGAGACTAGCGGTTAATGATATTTAAAAAGGCAATGATCCCTCTTTTCAAAAAGGATTGCAGTAGTCAAGACTAACACGCTGCTGTAAATACAAAGAGGGAGAATCAAGAACTCTGAAATGTCCAGTGGTACTTTCAAGTATCCTCAATGGAGGCTATGTAAAAGAGTGCAAAACAATAATGGGATACAAAAGAATTAACCATTGGGTAAAAAAATATAATATCATATTTAATGGTCAAGCAGGTCCATTCATTACAGTCAATCTGTCCTCCTGCTTAGACTTTGGTCTACATGCAGTCGATAGCTAACAACAACAAAGCTGCCATGCCATGCAGTTTACAACAACAAAAAGTGGTTGATAGTCTAAAAAAGTGAGAGCGCTGCGAAAAAGTGAAAGAGTGGGAAAGGGGATGGGAAATTGTGCATTTTAGATGGTTGGGCGATGATCCCTCCGCAGCTACGCCTTGCATTGTAAACCTTTTTTGTCATGTCATGTCATAGACTTGACGAAATGAAAAGAGAAAAAAGTTAAGGGTCAATTGATCCTTGGGAGTTTTTTTTTTTTTTTGTTCATATTCATAAAAAGGCTTAATCATGTTTAAGCATTCATGTTTACATGTTTGTATGCTTCCTTGTCAGAGCGGAAGAATAAACAGGCGAAAGAAACAGACAGGGACAGCCACAAATCGCACTGATTCCGTTAATTTTGAGTTTCGATCAGGCTGTGACTAATCGGAAAAGGATGCGAAAAAATGGATTTTTATTTTTCTGTCTAATTGCTCCAAAGGTGTGGATGGATGAGATATTTTGTTTCTTCATCGTTACACATTTCGGCAAATCCTCCCGCGGTATATGGAGAGAGAGAAAGAAGGAGAGAGAGAGGGGGGCGTGTGTTGGTAGTACATGTAACAAGTATTGTGTGTCCTTATTTTATTTATGCTCATGCTCAACGCCAATATCCGCAGTTGAAATACATTTTTAAGAAAAGAGAAAATATAACTGAAGGCTGTAGCTGCGGACTTGGTCAATTATGAATCTGTAACTTGAGAGCTTAGTTTTTAGAAAAAAAAAAAAAAAAAACATTAACATTAACATTAACATTAACATTGTTATATAATACCTCTTTCAAATAGACAAAATGTGATCAAGGACGACCAACATGTGGACCTTGTCTGTATGCAGGATTGATGGAATGCACATTCTTACTCGGAAAGACCCCTGCTTCCAAACGTAAGAAGCAACCGCACCCTGGAGTCGAAATTCTAGAAGCACGCCTGGAAAATATTGAGTCTACTTATTCTGAACGAATCAGTCATATGGAATCGATATTGAGTAAAGTCATACCCACGGGTCAGGAGAATGAAGAAGGATCATCATCACCCACCTCTGATGCTGCTGCTGCTAATACCACTCATGATACCACTACTACTACCACCGCTACTACTACGACTCCAACTACTACTCCAACTACTCCAACTACAGCTACTACCACTACTAATAAGCGAAAGCAATCAAATCGTGTTATGAAAGGAGCAGGAATTAACACCAACGTACCCATAGATATACCTCCAGCAAGCGATGATGGTTGGATGGATGTCAACTCCCCCTTGGATAAAGTGTCTCTTTTCGATGCTCAATGGGATCGTAATTTCGGCACCCCAGCTATGGTAATACAATACAGGTGCATGGATTATAGATTCTTGTATTCTTCAGTCAACTACTGTTGATGGTTACTAAAGACTTGTTACTCTTTTCCACTTTCCTTTCCTTTCCTTTTCCTTTTTCTCGTTATCCTCTTTATCCTATGCTTCGGATTTTTTTTTTTTTATTTTTTTTATAGAACGTTGATCCGGCCTCAACGCCGACGTTATCATTACGCAAAGCAGGAGCAACAGGAATAGAAACACCATTACTGCCATTTTTGAAGGAAGAGCCTGATCCCCTTCCACTCTTCACACCAGATCATCAAGTAAGCAAAGTTAATCCAACCTATTCTAGAAAAAATTTTTTTTTTTTTTTTTTTTTTTTTTTTAACCTTTATTTTACTCTTCTATTTCCTGATTTGTGTCTATATGTGTCAAGTCGTCCCAGTCCATAAAGTCGCCAACATCGTCGATTACACCATCACATTCATCCACTTTAGATCAGACGCAAGGAGAGAGCGATGGAGATGATGGAGAGGAGATGAGTGAGCTTGCAGCGACGATGGACAAATTGAGAGTATTTGATGCATCCGTCTATTTCGGAAAAGGATCTATGCTATTTACTTCAACAGATCAGAATCAATTCTGGGATGAAGAGATTTCATTTGATGTACATGAAGCACATAATATCGACATCCCACCCGAAGCGCTGATCTTGCCACCGATCGAAGTGATTGATGTTTTATTTGACATTTATTATCAGGTAAAAAAAAAAAAAAAAAAAAAAAAAAAAAGAAAAAGAAAGAAAGAAAGGAACAACTTGTTACAGAGACAATACAACGATGACCATCAAATTAACTATTCTATACAACAAATCTCTTCTTTTATACACAATATGAAAGCACTACTATGTATATTTACCAATGATTCAAAAAGCAACCCTTTTACAAGCACTGGAGGATCGGTTTGAACCACAGAATATTTTTTTACTCAACGCAGTGTTCATGGCAACATCATTAACAGGAGATTGCAATCACCCATCTTGTTTCAGTACACCCAATGATCCAAAGACACTCGGCACACCGTTCTTTGAGCGGGCAAGGATGGTTCTGGATTATTGCATTGGTATTCCTCGACTCACCACTGTTCAGGGATTGATCATGTTATCACGCTACCCACGTATTTCGGGATTAGGACATAGCTATATGCAACAAGCGATTCATATGGCCTCTGATCTGGGTCTTCACAGAAAATGCGATCGATGGATCTCGGACAAGCAGGTCCAAGAGGCTCGTAAGCGACTCTTTTGGTGTGTTTACGGTGCAGATAGCTCCACCTCCAGTGTAACAGGACGACGACCTATTATTGATGATACAGAGATTGATGTGCCAATGATCGCTCCTGTGGACGGGGACAGTGAAGCAGAGACGAACCAGACACTGTTTTTGTTTCAAATCTGTCGACTGTGGAGGATATTCAGGACCATCAAGCGATATGTCTTCAATGCGGCAGAAGTCCAGGATATGGTCCCGGGCAGTCTTCCCAAAAACTGTGAGCAGCAACTCATTCAGTGGCAACTTAACCTCCCAGCAGAACTTCAGTTCAATTTTAATATGAAGGCAGGTGATCCAAGAGCCTTGTACAACTCTCGAGCAGGTAAATTATCAGAAGGAACTATTAAAAAAAAAAAAAAAAAAAAAACTAGTGAATAGCATTTTTTGCTTGGAAACTTCAGAAAAGATTAGGTACTCATATGAATATGCTTTTTTTTTTTTAAAAAAAAAAAAAAAAAAAAAAAAATAGGTATCGCACAAATGTTGTATGAATCAGCATTGATCCTGCTTCACAAGCCCTATCTCTCATCTTCTGAACATCTCAAGCGATCTCCTTATCGATCACAAGACATTTGCATTAAATCCGCCACCAAAATCACAGAAATTGCAAGAGTATTAGCTCTGACGTATCAAAAATCCTTTGAATTAACCAGTGTGGGCGAATATGCCATGTTGAACGCCATTCGAATCCATGTCATGTTCCTCAAGTCAGCCGATGCTAAGATTGCAGAGACCGCGAAGAGCAACTTCGATTATATTATGCGGTTCTTCCGGGAGTTTTACTCCTCTCCACGAGCCAACAGTGATGAACAGAATATTAATTGCGTACTCTCGTTCTTTGAAGAGTTTATGCATACAGTCAAGGGACTCAGTCAATCGAGTGTTCATGTCTGTGCAGGGGCGATCAAGAGCCTGGCGATTGCAAAACGTAACAGGATACCCACCACTAGACGAGGACATGGAGTTGGAGGAGCTGGAGCTGGGACTGGATCTGGATCTGGATCTGGAGCAGGAGCAGGAGTAGGAGCAGGAGCCACGACTTTGAGCGGACAGCAACTTAGTCAAGGATTACTTGATGGAAATGACCGCCGTAATATCAGTCGGTTGGTCAGAATTGGACGTGAGGAACGCGCGAAGGCTAGGAGTAACTCTGTAGTCTCACCTTCGATGGGAGCATCTGGTCTGAACAGAAAGCGACACAGCCACATGCAACACGAAGCTCAGCAGCGTGTGAATATGAATCAATATTTCCATCAACAACAACAACTGCAAGCACAGCAGCAGCAACAGCGCCAAGCCCCTGTGACCTCTTCAGCATCTCCCCTTGTAGCAGGAAGCGATGATAGTGGAGGAAGTTATTATAACCCTGGAAAGATTCAAAAGGTCTCACAGTTCGTTGGGCCATTTGGAGGTCCACAGGTCATGGAGAGCTTGAAACAGTTTCAGACAACGACCGCGATTTTGAGTCAGCCTCCTGCCACCTCTGGAACAATATTTCAGCCTCATCAACTTCTCCAACAATATCAACAACAACAGCAACAACAGCAGCAATCGGCACAAAATCAGCAGTTGCAAAATACAAATACAAACTTAATCAATAATGTCCTCTCACCCACCAGCAGCATCTTCCCAACATTCGCACAACAACAACCTATGACGCTGACTATCCAACAGCAGCAACAGGCTCAACAGATTTTACAACAACAGTTGTTGCTACAGCAACATCAGCAGCAGCAACAACAACAACAACAACAACAACAGCAACAACAGCAACAACAGCAACAACAGCAACAACATCAACATCAACAACAGCAACAGCAACAGCAACAGCAACAGCAACAGCAACAGCAACAACAACAGCAACAGCAACAAACTCAACAGTTATACAATCAGATCGGTCAACAAATGGGCTTATATGACTCTTTTAATCCGATTCTTTGGAACGATATGAGTGCTATGACAGGGTCCAATATTTGCTTCTTGACAGACTCACAATTCATGAGCCGAACTTCGAGTCTGGATCCAAGCAGCGCTAGCAATAACAACAACGCCACCACAGGCGCCGACAACAATAACAATAATAGCAACAGTAATACCGGTAACAACGCTCTTGGTATTAATAATAATACGAACAATAGTACAATGTCGCCTGCTACGTCCATCGCCACGACCCATATCAGTAATTACACCAATAACAGCAATAACAACAATAACAACAACAACAACAATACCACCAATCCCTCTCATCAGCATCTGTTCAATGCCTACTTGAATAATCCCATGTATAATATGACCTCAAGCGGCGTTGGTGTTACGGCTAATTCTACTCCTACTACTACAACCACTTCTATTGCGACTGCTACTATTAATAACAACAACAACTTACATCAGTCTCACCAGCCACTAAATGAAATTGATACATCTGGTCTCTTTTTACCTCTCAAGCTCGAGCCTCCAGATAGCACTCTAGGTTCTATGGGATTGACCAACAACAGCAGCAACAATAATAATAATAACAATGGGGAATTGGGGCCAATGGATGAGGAGCTTAGTTCAGATCAGGTACAAGCTCTTCTAGAACAAACTTTAGCAGCAGCAGCAGCTCAAAATGCTCGGATGCATCAATCATTTGGAACTCTAGGTGGCATAGGTGGTGGTGGCAACGGTATTGGGGGTATAGGCGTAGGTATGTGTGGTGGTAATGGTGGTGCAGGTAACCAGTTTAACCAACAACAGTTCCGACAGCAGCAACAACAACAACAACAACAAGCAGCACAGAATCACTGCTTGGATCTAAGTGGAGTCCAAGATGATTTCCACTCTACCAACTGGCCTGGCATGATGTAAATACTATAAAGAACGATGAACGCCAGGTCTGATTAAAATAAAATAAAACAAAAAGATGAGGATAATGAATGAACTCTCAAACTTAATAGTCTCCACAAAGTTTTTAGCTTTTTTGGCTTTTTTTTTTTCTGAAGGAACATATTAAACGACTATTTAGCTGCTTGAAGCACAAAGTCTTTTTTTTTTTTTTTTTTTTTTTTTTTCTTTACAATCCATCCTTGGCATCTGTATGCTCTTTACTGAAGCGTTCCGCATCCTGAATACCCTTGTCAACATCGATCCAAAGGAGCAAGATCAAGGGAAAGACCATCATGACTAGAGGGAAGACGAAGCCCCAACGAGTATCATTGTTTTCGATGATCGCACCCGTGATCAAGGGTCCTAACCAAGAAGAGGATTTGTCTGTGATACCATATAACGAAAAGAATTCCGATTCTTTGCCCTTGGGGATCAGAGCCGCATACATGACTCTAGAGAAACTTTGGAAGGCTCCCAACATCAAACCGAAATAAACAAGACAGGGCCAGATCTCGACCTTGTGAACGAGCCCGAAGCTGTTAGAGAAGCCAATGAGGCAATATACAGGGACCATAGCGAAGGCTGCAGAGATGATCAAGAGCATTTGTTTCGATGTCAAATTCATCCGACGTTGGATCCATAACCAAGCATAGGTTCCAATCAAGGCCGAAAACGGAACCAGAATGGCTCCAATCATCAGTTGAGTGTTGGTGAGCAAGAATTTCTTTTTGCCGAGGAAGATGGCTAAGGAGACGATAGTGGAGTTGCCATCCGAGAGAATGAACCATGAAACGAGATATTTGAATGTCTCCTTGAGCAAGCGAGCTTCTGTCAACGTCTTTCCAACTGCATAAATAAAAGTAAAAATAAAAATTAAACAAATGGATTAGAACTGATATCAAAGCTTCTACTTTTAAATTAAACTATATTACAAAAAAATAAACAAAAAAACTTACGACGTCTCCAAGAATAAAAGAATAGGTTGACATTGCCTGGCAGAGGCTCACCAGGCTGAGGGGCCATGTATTTGAGAGTGAAGAACGAGACCGCAAACCACCAGAGTCCTGTCAAAGCCATGCCGACCTGCATCGAATAGGTCGTCTGACCCATTGCGACTGCAATACCGGCTGCAATGATCAACATTGTCACACCTGCAGCATATCCAATGGCCATTGAATGAGATGATAAGGAATTGGAGACCTTGTCTTGAATGAAATAATAATCCGATAAAGTCTTTGTTGCTTCTGCTTCTGCTTCTACTTCTGCTTCTACTCCAGTTTTGGTGGCGAGTCCTCTTTTGACATCAATGACTTCGGGATGATCACGGGTTAGAGTGGGGATAAATGCATAATACAAGACCCAACTTGCGCCAAATGCCACGTTGGAGATGATCACCAATATTCCCGCAAACCAATACAAACCTAAAAGATAAGAGAAGTGTACAGTACAAGTAAATAATCAAATGTTTACAGATGTAAAGTTTTTTTTTTTTCGGCCAAAGATAATAAATGATGTAAACCATACTGGCAGTGCGGATAACAGCAAAAAGGATAGTTGCGATGGATCCAATGAATGCGAACGTCATCAAGAAGGACTTGCGCCGGTCTATAAAAAAAAATAAAAAAAAATAAAAAAAGGCATTAACGAATATTAATATCAATTTTTTTTTTTTTTTTTTTTTTTTTTTGGGGAGACAATAATGAGTGCGGATGAAATCCATTTCACTTACTGCCGTGATCAGCTAATGCACCCATACTGATAAAAACAACTGCTTGCAAGAATACTGAGACCGAAATACAATAAAGCGAAAAGGATGCTGTGTCTAGCCATATCGATCCAATCTTTACAACGCACTGAAAGTAAGGATAGAGGGAAAGAGAGAAAGAAAGGAAGAAAAATCCGTTGCTGTTTAGGAATACATTGAAGATATTGGACACAGATCTTGATGATTTCTGAATTACAATGAGCCTTTAGTCTTCTTTTTTTTTTTTCATAAAAAATACCTTGTAGTTTACTTGATGCTTTTTTTTAAAAAAAAAAAAAAAAAAAAAAAAAGATTAATTTGCTTTGTCAATAACTCGGCTCTCATTCCACTGCAATTGGCAGAGGCACATGCATGAGGACACTTGTGCAAGTGCTTTTATTATACTATAATTTTTGAAGTTTCCAAGTCCTCCTTCCAAATCATTTAGTAACATGCTCGGGTACTGTATGTATAAACATTACTGATCAAGTCGGTATGGCATACAAATGGTGGATTGGCGAAAGATAATGGAAGTAGGAGAGCCGAGATTATAAAAGATTTGTGGCACATGCGGGTACCCAATGCACAAATACATGAACATGCTACACTGTTTGTGACACTCCACACTCGCGGAGGAGATTTTTTTTCAACCAAGATTTGTCATACAAACTGAGTGTGGTGTATAATTTATAGGGATGACATGATATCTTTTTTTTTTTTGATTGCAATTACAAGGGTAATAAATGATATAAAATAAAGAGATTTACCGTATCACAAGGCAGGTCTCTGTTATCGAATTGACGTCCATTGCCGCTAGCAAGAGCCTCAAGTACAATAGGCGCAAGGGTTGAAATACAGACGACGCTATAAGGCTCGGCCTAAAAAAAAAAAAAAAAAAAAAAAGACAGCTCATAAATGTGAGAAATCGCTTTTCGCTAATTTTTTACCAGGAAGGTCACACATAAAACAGAGTTTAAAGGTACAAAAAAAAAGAGCAATTAGACCTCACTTACAGCAACAGCATACGCAAGCCTATTAAATTAAAATTACATTATCATGCGCGCCAGAAGAATTTTAAAAGAAAAAAGGTTAGTGAATAATTTGACACTGTATATCCATGCAATAGCATCATTGTCAAAGACCCAGCCAGACTATCCACTCTTTTTTTTTTTTTTTTTTTTGTTTATTATTGGTTTTTTCCTTTGGTCCCCAGCTTTGAAGCATGACCTGGCCCAAGAACACAAAAAAATAATAAATAAAAAGAGCCAAAGAGGGGGAAAACAAAGAGATGTGGAGAATCTGAGTTATCTGGTGGAAGGAAATTATTAAAAATAAAAATAAAAATAAAAAAAAAAAAAAAAAAACTGCCTAGTTTCTGTTATTTCGGAATATGCAATGTAAGAAGAAACGCTTTATATATAATATATACGTCAGAGGGAATTAGGATGTGAAAAAGGTGAGTTTTCTTTTTTGTCTTTACCATCCTTGAATCTCGCGCCTAGTGAGAGGTTTGTGTTGCTCAGACTCTAAACTCTCGATACTCTCCAAATCCTTCTTGTCACCAGTGGTGCCTACATGGTTCATCTCATGTAGTTCCTGCTTTTGATCGGACATCAGTAAGTGTCCGTTGAATTAATCAAAGTTGAAATGAAAGTGTGTGAGAGAGGGAGGGAGAGACAGTTGAATTAAAGTGCAACAAAAGCACAGACAAGTGTTTTCGGAATTATAATAGTAATAAAAAAAAGAGGGGGTGAAAACGAGAGACAGAAGGGGCGGAGGAGGATACAGGAGGAGGAGACAGAGGGGGTATAGAGATGGAGGAGAAAGAAAGAAGGAAGGAAGAAAAGATTGAAAGCGAATGAGGAGCATGGAATGAGGCAATGTTGGGCAACAATGAGTGTGGGTTGAAATTGAGTTAAAGTTTTTTTTTCGAAGACACAAGATCATGGCCAATCAGGTGCATGAGCTGGGCTGACACTCATTAAATTTGTTTCCTGCTTCGTTTTTCGCTTTTTTCTCTTCTCAGCATATGTTAACTCTAATCTACTGGGAACGCACAGCACTTGTCTTTTGTTGCTTCTTATTAGCAGAATCACTATTGTTCATGGTCTATCTATAAGTAGTCTTTGTATAAATGCCGTTAAGATTTATTTCAGATAGAAAGAAAGTGGATCAAGTTTGATCAGGCAGGAAGGGCTCAGGAGAAGGACGTTAAAGTAGAAAAGGGGGCGAAGGCGGTGATTAATAATGGTGTTCGGTCATTTTCATTAAAAATGGAAAATAAAATAAGAGGAATATAATATATACATAACTTATAATTCATAAATCATTAAAAAAAAAAAGATTCTACTATACTTTTATAATGTTAAATAGGATGAAATCTACATACATCTTAACCCACTTCCTTGTTCCTTTTTATTATTCTGGTGAGTTATTCATTTTGTATTCGCCTTCGCAACTGTCTGCAAGCTCTCGTAATCGATCTTCGTTAAGGACCCGGAGCAAGAGGCATTTCGAATAAAGCGTACTGTCCAAGGAGAACGTGTACTTTTGGGGGCGCTTCTGGAAAGCCAAAAACCACTTGATCGTCTTGGCTATTAAGGGTAAAAAAAGAGAGAGAGAGAAAGTAAGTTCAACTGAAGCATAAAATCGACAGCTTAAAGAGCCACCTACGCCCATCTCCTTCCTCCCCCTTCCTTCAAAAGTAATATAAAGTAATGCTTACCGATCAGCTGGAGCCGATAGAAATTCACAAGCAATTTTCCTGTTGGAAGCAGTTCTTGTAGTTCTGCACTACTGGGGGCCCGTAGCTGATCACTTATTGACATTGGCGAGGTTGATTCTTTTGAATGTTGGGCTCCAATGATACTACCATCTGTTGAATTATGTTCCATCTTGTCTAGAGGGGTAACGCACTCTTCTTCCTTCCCTTCTTTTTGGTCACTGAGTAGTAATGGAGGAAGGTACCATGGCGGTAATACTGTGGTATGTGTGAGGTCATACATAAACAGACCGAGAAATGGGATACACCCTTGCTTTTCCAAAGGCACTGTATACTGGAGATATTTGCTACTGTGTCCACCATTGTTGCTGCTGTTGCTGATGCTGGGACTGCTGGTGCTGCCAGAACCATTATAGCCATTAACAGACTCAGTTGACTGATGGGTACTAGGTATGTTGACCTCTGTTATGAACATTGCCATTCACGTTATAATGATAATGACAAAAAAGAGTCAGAGTAATGCAACTGGCAATAAACAATCAACTATCAAACGTCTTAATCGAAGTGGCACCTACCAGACCTATTACTGAATCCCCGCACCATACTCACTCCGTATATACTGGGCCTCCGCACAGTGACATCGCTTGTAGGCGTAGCAGTTGTTTCTTGACATCCAACCTGATTCATGGCTCTCCGGATCACATTCCAATTGCGGCATGGAGAGATGAAGTCCTGGAGCTCCTGCAATACACGCATCTCATAGCTGCGGACTCTGGACCATGTTCGCCTCAGGCCACACAACTGCCAAGAACCTAAGCCCATCACCAATTGGATAAGAGTATTGTAGTTTCTATATTGATAGCATTTCTATGATTGTTTTTTTTTTTTTTTTTTTTTTTTTTTTTTTTTTAGAATATTAAAAGCAAGACTCAAATAGTTAGGTTGCTGTTGAGATAGTTAGCAAGCTTTTTTTTTTATGGTAAAGAAATACCTGAGCGATCCTAATGAACTTTTCGATGACGCGTACACGGCCTTCAATCGGATTAGTGCTGACAACTTCAGAAACAACCCACATACATAACTAAAAAAAAAAAAAAAAAAAAAAAAAAAAGACATTCATAAGAGAATTCATTAGTCTGCTTGACATCCTCTGTACTTCTTTATTGCCTCCATGGCATATTGTTTCCCCCACAGGCTTGTTTCCCTGCAATGATTACTCATCTTACCATATTGCTTCGCTCGGTGCTTGCCTCGATACCGCTCTGCTCGTCATCAGTTTTGAACGGAGAATCGCTTACTGTGGAATGTGTTCGGCTCCGGCTCTTTTGACCTGCCTTTGCCAGTTTAAGCTCCAGGAGCTCATTCCATTGCACTTGCTTCAAGAAGTGCTGTTCAATTAGACAGAGTTGCTGTGCAATCATTTGCGACCGATAAAAGAGAATAAAAGGCTTATAGGCAATATTTGCACCACCATGGCAATGGTTTTGTATAATCGCATGAAAAGGATAGTAATGCCATACTGGCGAGCCCGGAGTCGAGGGTTGTGATGACACTGACCCTGAACGCTCTCGCTCTTCTTGTTGTTCCTGCTGCTGTTTCTCCATTTGCAGGGCCTCCATAAGCCCTAGTAATTCATCTTGGCTTCCTCTCAGTGTCATCGCAGGGGTAACATCATCATTATCATCATCCTCGTCATTATCATCATCATCATCATCATCATCATCATCATCATCATCGTCATCATCATCATCAACATCCAAAGGCCCAATTGACTTTTTACTAGGTGCGCCTCGACTAGCTGCGACACCAGAGCACTGAGCATGATGAGGACATTCCGGATTCGGGTGTGAACCCATGGAGGGAATGGAGCTAGAGCGTGAATGGCGGCTCGAGATGCTCGAAAACTGGGTCTTGGTTGGCGAAGGTATAGCTAAAGGTATGGTCACCGAAGAGTTATTATGGCTTTGGGCAGCAGATGATTTAATACGGTTAAGTGACCTATTGGGCATCGGCGGCAATGCTGAAGGGAAAGTCATCAAGTTAGCGATGGATGACGGCATTGACTCTTGCGGGAATACATCCAGGCCCAATGGAGAGACAGCGCCAATAATTGGCGGCCGTAGGCTTGGATGATTGCGTGTAGTAATGGGTAAGCAATAATCTGTAATTCCTGTATAAACTGGTCCCCAGCATACACATTTCTTACCCTCTGCTACCAAAACTTTGCTTCCTGGGAAAATTGTTGGGTTAACAATCTGCTGGTAGATGTCTTCACTCTTCTGACGGAGCTTGCTGATACTCATGGTCATCTTGGTCGACCAAGTACTGCTACTTTTTCCAGTTTTCACTGATGGTGCGGATGCTCGCCTTCCTCTCGGTACAATAATGGCTTCACCTTCACTCATCCTTCTCGACATGGCCCAAGACCGAGGCTCTTTTGAAAATATTGACCTAAAGCTCTTTAAGTTTTACCACATATTTCAATTATTAGCAATGACTTTCCTTTAGCTTTATAACATTAGTTCCACGCTCATGCAGCTTCTTTTTCTTTGTAACCATGATTTTTTACCGAAGGAAGGCTATTTCTTTCATTGAACATGGACTCGGAACTAGTGCCTGCAAGGGTGGTAGCTCTATGGCGTCCTTTGGTCGGTGCATCCTCGCTCGCCATTGGAGCCTCATCGCTTGCTGAAACAGGCCTGTCCAGCGCTTGTTCGGTAGGTGCGGGGATCTGTGCACTCGAGATTTTCAGCTGTTCAACCTCAGCAGCTTTTGAGTCGCTTTCATAAAACATTATACCGCGTGTAGGATTAACTGGTTGGATTACTGTTGGTGCTGGGTCCATTGGCCCAATACAGCACTCCTGGTCTTCTCGTTGCTGTTGTGGCTGCACGGAATGCTGCCCTTGTTCAATCATGAGGCTTTGTTTTACAAGACCTTTGTGATACTGTCGTCGTCTCTTAAAAAACTCAATGAGGCTCTGAATGGTCTTCGAGTCCTCAACAGAGGCCTCAACTTTTGGGTGAGAGCGCATCCCATTAAGAAACGATGCCAATTTGAAGCGTAGTAGCTTTGAGGTCAAAAAGTCATCTGCAAAATGGTTGTCCACCCAGTGTCGAAAGACGGCTAACGTCCTAGTTATTGGTAATGCAAATAGATTTTTTTTTTTCTTTGTCAACTACCCATGTTGCTAAATGCGCTCCTTTTTTTATTATTATTTTTAGTCTTACCGTGCTCGAGCGACAAAGCGCACTTCTGTATTTCCTTCCAGAGCCCATAAATAACGCTGAATGAGATAATCGCATAGCTGTGCAGGAGGCATGAACAATCGATATGTCAGAAAGAAATCACTCATAAACCCTGCATCTATTCAACAAAAATAATTATTAGCCCTTCCACTTTGTTTTCGGTACAATAAGAGATAAAAAAGACTTTGCGTCGAATTATTTAGCTTACCAATGCCATACTGATGCGTCAACTTTTCAACCAACTTAGCGGCCGTCGCTGCTGCGATAGTGCGCAAAGGAGATGCATTTAATTGCGCATCTGACGAAGGAGTACTCAGTGAAGCATACACGATTGCGTCTGAGCTTTCATGTTCCTCCAGGCGATCATTTAAATAATCAAACACTCCAGCACCGACCTCGGAATATCGAGGGAGCTTAGGTGGTGGCAGCAGTGTTAATGATGATGTTCCTTCATCACCATCAACATCACCAATGCCTTGTTCCATTTCTCCTTTTCCTTCTTCTTCTTTTACTTCTCCTCCTCCTCCTACTGCTGCTGCTGCTGCTACTTCTTCTTCTATTGTTTTTAATTCTAGCGGTAATGCTGATGCATATCTGTCACCGAGGATCTCTTGAGCGACCTCTTTCTCCATACTGAAAGTCGCACTGCTATTGTTTATTGCTTGTAATCGGGCGTCATATCCGTGAGCATGTCTTTGTTCTTGTTCCTGCTCATGTTCATGTTCATGTTCATGTTCATGTTCATGTTCATGTTCATGTTCATGTTCATGTTCATGTTCATGTTCATGTTCATGTTCATGTTCATGTTCATGTTCATGTTTATGTTCAACATGAGTGTCAACTTTCCTCTCAAGGACCTCATATGAAACAGTAATTTGCTCTGGGCTCAGCTTGCGGCTAACAAAAGAGGGAAGGCTCAGCTCATATCCCTCAAAATCTACGCCCAAAGATGATTCCTGTTGGTGTTCTTCTCCCCGATTGTTTCGCGAATCTGAGAATGCTATCGCAGAATGCAATGTACGCATCTCTTCCTGGATTTGCGTTTGCGCCAAGTGCTCAGACACCGGATTTGCGCTACCTTGCCTCTGGCTCCGTTCTAGAGCCTTTGATAACGCATCCTCTGTTACAAAATGTTGCATTGTCGATCTTCTCCTTTCACTCTGATCCTCATTTATTCGTGTTAAAGATACTCTTTGTCGAGTGGAGATCGAGCTTCGGCTAAAGCTATCAATCCCCATCATCATTTCGATGGAATCGCTGGATGAGTAGGGACTTTGGATTGGACTTTGAAGACAGCTATCCATCATATCAGAGACTCTACAATAAAAATGATAATAAAAAAAAAGGGGGGGTTACTATCACTTCAGGATCCACATTAACAGCACTGAGGGAAAAGAGGCATCGTACAAACCTAGAGTCGAGCGACGCGCTCCATGTCATATTTACGCCAAATTGAAACACTCGATCCAAGTCCGAGTCATCATCGCCCTCAAAACCTGAAGGCTGGTTGCTTTGTCCAACGTTTCTATGAGCCTGATCATGATTACAACCTGTTTTCGCTTTTTTGGCATTACTTTGGGTGGAGATATCAGCTTGGGTTGTTGCTAACCATCCACTTCCGGATTCAGGGACGGCCACCCAACCAAAAATAGTAGAAAGTGCTTGGAACTCTTTAGTGTTAGAGTCCACACAGGAATGGTGGCGGCGTCTAGGCATGTAAGAAAATGATGAGGTATCGCGAGATGTTGGTAGTGGTAACGTCATGAGCGCACCATCCCTTGTAGATAAGGCCATCGATAGACAGCTTGCAGGTGTGCTGGGTGATACCAAAGGCGTCTCGAATGAAGACAGTAGAAGGCCACAAAAGGAGACAGATCGACGCCGTCCATTTTGTGGAACGTGTCTTTTTTAAAAAAAAGATCGACGTTACTACTCTGAAGATTAAAACCCAGACATTGTGAACATTATACATTTTATGGTTTACACTTACTGGGTATTCTCCATGTTGGACTGTATATCATCCTTCTTTTGAGCTTGGCCACCCTTTTCTTCTTCGCCTTCCATTTCCGAATGATCATCATCTGTAGAGTATTGCGCCTCTACATCGTTATCACTGTGATCCAACTGATCCTGACTGAAATAATCATTGAACACGTTTAAATACCCCAGCTCAGGCGAGCGTGAGTCAGGTTTGGGTGCATCTCCTTCTTTTGCAAAGAGTTGTGGAAGAGTCAAATTATGCTGTTCTCGAATAATTGATTGATGAAGTTGACTATGTTGAATACGTTCATAAATTTGGTTGATTTTTTGCACACATTCAGAGACCTGTCGTCGATGATACATGGGTTTTTGTTGTCGTTGTCGTGGTTGCTGTTGTAGCTGTTGCTGTTGCTGTTTTGGTTGATGATGATGGTGCTGTAAATGTACAGAAGGTTTGTTTCCCTGGATATGGTACGTATTGGGCTGGTTTAGAAATATGGGAGAATAAGGAGAGGAATGTGAAGATGGAGGCAAAAGAGAGAAGTGAAGGGGGAGAAGGGGAGGATCTCGAAATGAAGAGTCATTTCGCATATTTTGTCCTTGGCTTGGTGTTTGCTTCCAAATTTGCTCCTGTTTCTCTTGGTCCCTGTTCCACTTGTACTTCTGATCCCGTCTTTGAGCCTGAGCATGCGCACATTGTCGAGGCTGTGGCCGCAGCTGTTGTGGTTGATGCTGTTGCCAAGCGAATGGGCACTCTGATGAGACTTGACTAGACACTAAATACTCGGAACTACCTTCAGGGCCTCTGCAGGCGGAGACTGTGGGATGGAATGGTGGATGCGGGGCAGTGTCTGGACGAGAAGGGTTTAGTTGGGAAGGATCTGGAGGGGTTTGGATCAATGTCATGGATTGAGGAAATGGAACCATGGTTTTTTGTTTCTCTGATGGTAAGAAAGGGAGGCCTAGCAAGATCTGCTTTTAAGTTTTTTTTTCTCTTAAAGTTTTTGCAGGGTCTTTGATAAAATGGAGGCAATGATAATGTAGGGAGGATGAGACACGTCGTGTTGAAGTATTTTAATGTCTGTGGTTTTTTTTTTTTTTTTTTTGTGGTGTTACTTGCTACTTTTTTTTTATTCGCTTTTTTGTTTTTTTGAGTTTCTTTCTTTTTTCCCTTTTTTTCTTCTTTTTTTGGTGTCTCCTTACCATAGATACCTGTTGGGAGTGGTCAATTCAAGAATGAGGACCAGAATCATATGTGAAAGTTTGGAGTAAGGGGGATGGACTAAAATTATCAGGTTCTCGAAAGTTAAAGTTTAGAGGACATTTGCTAAAGTTACAGGCTAGTCGACAGCCAAAGAGTGAAATCGCAAGAGAAAAATGAAAGAGTAAGAGGGAAGAAACAGAGGAAGTAGAGGATGGGTGAAATGATCGATGTACTGAAAAGTAAAATTACATAGTCATTCTCGGGAAATAAGAAATGACAACGAACGATGAGCTTACAAGTTTAAATAAAAGAGAGAGAGAGAGAAAAGAATGTTTTTCCGTGCAACCGTGCAACTGTGCGGTTAAATGCTGTCGAGTTGCTTATTTTATTCAATTCATTTTATTTCTACAACTTATTTTTACAAGACAATGCTAATCATGAACAGATGAGCAAAAGTGTATGCTCGGCACTCTATATAATAGCAACCAAGTCGAGCCCACTACCTTCGTCTTTTCTTTTTGTGAGAGGGACAATAAGAAGGAGAAAGGAAGGAATAGGAAGGAGGAAGCAATGATGGATTAGCAAAAAAAAAAAAAAAAAAAAAAAAAGTGTGCTCACAAATCAGGAGAAAGATAGCCGTGATCACCCCACAAAATCATCCCCTCGTTTTCCATCCCCTCGTCTCCATCCCCTCTTTTTTCTATCCCGTCCATCTTTAAGTTCAGCATAATCACTCCTATTTCCAGCTTACTCATCATCTTGAAGCTGCAAGGAAAAGAAAACGAGAACAAGAATAAGAACACTTAATAGAGTTGATAGCGTTAATAGCAGAGACATTACAAAGTATGTAAACTAACTGCAGCAATAAAAAGAGGGTTCGAGTTTGAGAAGGCCATGCTTGATAAAATGTAAACGCTCATTTGCCTTCACAAGCTCACACATTGTCTATGCAAACCTTTATTTCATGAAATACCGATGTCCCAGATGCAGAAGAGTTCTTGACGACATACTTGAACCAACCATCGTTCTTCATTTTAGTCGCTTTTTCTATCCTTTCTGACAAAAAATAATCAAGGGGCTAAAAAAAAAAAAAAAAAAGAAAAAAAGACCGTTAGATGTAATTGCATGAGCGCCTGATGTTGATGCTCGGTTTTGTCCTACATCTTTGATGTATCTCGTAAAGTGTTTGCATTAAGCTTTTTATTTTTATTGCAACGTCTAAAAAAAAAAACGCGAAGTCTCGTGACAGGACAAATTTGGTGGCAACATGTAGCTTATTCTCCGACAAAAAGAGATTGAATTTTTTTTTTTTGTCTTCACTCTTATCAAGCAATATTTTGATTGGAAGCATAAAAAAAAATGTTCGCCTCTTCATTTTTCAGGCTCCAATACTGGAAGACCTTTATAACCCCAAACCAGTATTCTCATAAACAGATTCCGGACCTGACAGACAAAGTTGCCATCGTCACGGGAGCTAACAGTGGTCTTGGTTATGCATCCACGGTTGCTCTGGCTGCTCATGGCGCACATGTCTTTCTCGCCTGCAGGAGTCAGCAGCGAGCTATGGACGCTATCAAACGAGCCAAGGAGGATATCAAAGAGGTGCTTGCTCATTTATCAACAGAGATAGTAAAAACAGAACCAAAGCTTGAATTTTTAGAACTGGATCTTAACGACATGGCTAAAGCTCGTGATTCAGCAAGGAATTTTTTAGCAAAGAATCTACCCATTCATATTTTGATTTGCAACGCTGGCATCAATTTGACTCCTTTTGAACTTAGTGCTAACGGTATCGAAACTCAATTTGCAGTTAACCACATGGGGTAAAGAACATTAAAGAAAGCATTCTTATACAAAAAAAAAAAAAAAAAAAAAAAAGAGAAGAAATGAAAGTTTGAGCCTTCGAGCTAAATAATACTCATTGTTCTCCATCTGCATTTTTCTCATCTTCTCTCTTGGCAGGCACTTTGTTTTCGCCACCGCATTACTGGAACGTATCAAAGAATCGCAGCCTTCAAGGATTGTCATCGTTTCCTCCATGAGCCATGAAGTCCATCCTCCTGGGGGAATTGATTTTGAGACATTGAATGACGTGACCAACATCAACGTTGTTCAGCGCTATGCCCGTTCCAAGCTTGCAAACCTTTTGTTTGGTAAAGCTCTAGCCCGTCGTTTGTCAAAAGAGCGTGTTTACGTCAACATTGCGGAGCCTGGCTATACCAATACAGCAATCTCTCGTCATACTAAAGATGTTTATGGAACTTTAGCAGGAAAGCTTGCTGACTTCATGAACAGATGGGTGGCTAAGGACCCCAAAATGGCTTGCCTGACCCAGCTGTACCTTGCTACAAGTCCAGAGGTCGAGAGTATGGATATTCGTGGACGATACTTCATCCCCATTGCTAATGAGCTCAATCCAAGTAAGTAAGGTAGATCTTCTTTCATGAGTGTGTAATGTTTTGTTGGTTTAAAGTTGTCTTTACGAACTGGACAATAAATTTTTCTTTTTCCTTTTTCCTTTTTTTCACCATAGGTCCATCCGCGCTTGACGAGGGGTTCCAAGAGGAATTGTGGAAATCTAGTGAGGCCTTGGTTCGCGAGAAGATTGGAAGTTAAAGGTCCGTTATACTAAGCTTCTTGCGGGGAAATAGCCAAGTGGCAGAAAGAATCAAGCCATGAAAATAGACCATTTGTTTATTCTTTGTTCTGACCCCCCTTTCCCCTTTTTCAATCCCATCATCGCTTAACCCTCTTTCAAAAATAAAATATGATGCTCCAGACATTCCCTGGTCGACCAGAAATCGATTTTCGATACACCATAATGCTATAATTTGCTGAGGGGGGTTGCTACATCCATAGGGCTTTACTATTTGCTTGGGTGTACTTCCACAGTAGTTCTTGGCAAGGGTCATGGAGATTTCCCATGTCATCATATTGATCGCGATAAATATACGATCAAGATAATTTGCCCACAGGCCTCAACGAGCCACTTGCCATGAGCTTGATTTTTTTTTTTTTTTTTTTTTTTTTTTTTTCGCAGACGCGACAACTGCAAAAGTGCACTTTGCCAAAAGTCTTTCTACTCTGCGATTCAGGGGCCATTATGCTCATTTTAGTTAATCGTTGATATTAATGAGGCCCAGGGTATTGCGGACCGAGTGGATCATTTGAAGTAAAAAAAAAAAAAAAAAAAAGCTTATCTAGACCTCGTAAAAGCCACAGCCTCTAAGGCTTGTTGCCGCCGCCATTTCTTCAGCCCAAGCAAAGGCTGTGTCTAGAGTGGCTATTGTTGTATTTATATTAATATAAATATAAATATAAATATAAATAAATAAACGTATAGTCTCGTGGTCCAAATTATCTTTTTCTTTTTTAGATATTGGGCAGAATCAAGAAATACCCATATGATAAACTGGTTTTTCGCTTCTTCAACTTGGTCATATATGCAATTGACGCGCTATTGCCGTTAAATTGCTATGGTGTATTGAGGACAATGAATAATGCATCTAGCAGCTAAGGGAATCATGATGGGCATACCTGGATACGGAATACTGAACTTCCTTGACAGAGTTGCATCTAGTTCACAAGCAATAAGGCTTTGAGGAGAATATATTCGAAAAAAAAAAAAAAAAAAAAAAAAAAAAAAACTATTTCTCACATCTATGGATGGGCGTAGTCAAAGGGTATGCAGGGCTGCTGGACCTCATTGTGGGAAGACCATATCCCTCTCTCTCTCTTTCTCTCTCTATAGACCCGTACGTTTCTTGGCGAGGGAGAGATTTCAGGAACAATTGTTGGGGATTTATAGCTAATAATTTGTTTACGCGACAAAAAAAATGTCATAGACGATTACAGATCTCTGTTAGTTTTTTTTTTTTTTTTGTCCTAATTGCTCTTGTTGCCACAGGAAGCAATGCGAAGATTCCGCACTCCGCAGCATATAGATTTTTTTTCCTCCAATGACTTCAGTAAGCTTAACGGAAGGACCCAGATAGAGATTTTTTTTTTAAAAAAAAAAAATCAGCAGAGCTTTCATTCAAACGGATTCAATAAATGAAAAAAGAAAAAAGGGAGAAGGGGGAGGGAGGATAGGGAAGTTACGCCGCAGTCTTGACATGGCACAGATGCCTTGCCCTTCTCTTTTTTCTCATTTTTCTCATTTTTCTTTTCTTCTTTGTTTCTTTTGCCCAATTTCCGGTTATACCAAGAAAAAAAAAAAAAGCCAATTACCGGATACGCTTTGGCCTCCCAACTCCCAATTCTCAACCCCCAACCTACCCTCGTTTCATGCACCATGTCTTGAAGTGGTCACGCGCCCGCTTATTTGTTTATTTACATATATATATATATATATTTATACATGTACATACATTGCCAAGCATCTTTTTTTTTTTTTTTTTGTAACACGCACTTTCGACCAAGACAAAGTCGATCATGAAAGGTTAATTACCCTTGTTTGTTTATGGCCCGGGAACCGGGATAGACAGGTTACGTCTTCTTTTTTTTTTTTTTTTTTTTTTTTTTTTTAAAAAAAAAAAAAAAATCAAAAGATAAATGGACCACATTGTTACTGTTTTAAGGCAATTTTTTCTTATTGCAATTTCCTCCACATCGAAATATCCCCGAGTAACAGAGCTGTATGATTCTGAGAATTTAATAAAATGAAATGAACTTTTTTAAAAAAAAAAAAAAAAAAAAAAAAATCAGCAAAAAGAAAATAAAAAAATAACGGTCTTAATTAATTTATTTTTATTATTTACTAACTTTTAAACAAATACGGTAATTGACGCTAGAGCGTCAATTTCCTAATAAGGTATACAAGGCAACCTTAACAATGAAAAAAAAAAAAAAAAAAAAAAAAAAAATATCAAATCAACGGGCCAACAGCATTAATGTTTTTTTATGCATTATAAAAATATATTTTTAAAAGGAAAAAAAAAAAAAAAAAGGTGCCCGGACGATGCGTGCTCGCATTGCCAATGTGTCGCAGTTTTAGATTATGTATACTCCCTCTGTCTCTCTCATTTTCGGTTCTACTCCAACAGTAACTCCAACAAAATAAAAAACAACATCGCACAGAACTATTTTTGATAGCCATCCAAGTATCCTTGCTCTGTCGCTAAATCTTAATGTTACATGGACATGGACATGGGATGGGATGGAGAAGAAGAAGGACGTGGGGACCCGTCTCTTTTTTTTTTTTTCCTCCTCCCCCTGCTCCTTCCCCTTTCCTCGCCGTCTCCATCAATTCTATGGATGCTCCATAATTCGCGTCTCAATGTTTCCCAACAAAGAGCCTTTTGTGGTCGAAACATGGAAATTAATATATCCTTTAATGATGAATGAAAATCTTTTTGTACAAATTAAAAGATCCATCTGATCAGGCGACCTGACCATTCAACGCTCCTTTTTTTAATTTTTACCCGGAGGGTGTTGTGCAATAGTCTCGGCAGGTGAATAGATGAATAGATGAATAGATGAATAGACAAATGGACAAATAGATGAATAGATTATACACATGAAGGAATTGAGAGAAATGAAGGTGTATGCACATGTTACCAAGAGCCCCTTTCTCTCCCTTTCTCTCCCTCTTTCTCCCTCTTTCATTTCCTTTCGACAGATTCATACAAATGGTGAATAAAAAAATAAAAAAATAAAAATAAAAAAAAGCTCACTTGCTCGGAATACACATTGTTAGTCCACCTTAATGCGATAGGTTCATCTACTAGTCCGCGTTTTATTTACTAAATACAAAAAAGAAAAGAAGTGATCGAGTTGATATGTTTCTGCTCTCATTCTTTTTTAATTTCTTGACCCAAATTATCTTAGCAGGGTCTTTTCTTTTTTTTTTTTTTTTTTTTTTTAATAATTATTTTTATGTTACCCTGATACCCGGAACAAAGAAAAAACAGTTGAAAAAAAAAAAAAAAAAAAAAAAAAAAGGAGAGAAAAGTGTGTATATCTGTATAAAAATACAGTATAATATGTGTGCTAAATAGATAAAGTGAAGGTGGCAAGGAGAGGAAAGGTGGAAAAAGTGAATGAACCGGATCAAACTATGTGAACCCAATTGCTGTCTGCTTTGTCTGTTGTCCTGTTTGTTCTGTTTGTCCTGTCTGTGGGACTTGCAGGACCTTGCAGCTAAAACATAAAAAAGCTTGGAATATTAAAATAAGCTTGCTCAAAAAAAAGGGTTCATTCATTGTGATTGGTCCACGACATGGGAATAAATTATTTGTAAAAAAAAAAAAAAAAAAAAAAAGTGTCAGTAAAATTAAAAAAAGTATATATATGTATATTATTGAATAAGCATCAACTGATCTATAATAAAACATCATCAAGTTACCATAGTCCGGACGGGAGCCGGCTCAGTAAACATCAGATGAAAAAAAAAAAAAAAAGATACAGTACATGCACCCGGGCATAAAGAGTAAAACAGAAGAGGAAAAGATAACAAGTAAAACCAAAAAGGAAAAAAGAAAAAGAAAATAAAGAATGAACACAAGACAGTACAGGATAGATAGATCAGACAGATCAAGGTTGACCAAGGCAGGCTCGTATGTAGGCAGAGAGCATTACTTTCAAAGGGCATTTTTTTCATACCAACTATAGCCTAGTCTGGATGAAAAAAACAACGCACACACTGGATGGGCAGACAGATTGACAGGAAAACAGACAGAAGAGCAAGGTCAATTGACTGCAAGGCGAAGGCGAACGAATCGAGGGGGCAAATGAGCAAAAAAATAAAAATAAAAAAAAAAAAAAGTCTTCGCCCAATTGAAGCTGAGCCTCTTGTAGACATTGGTTGGACTCGATCAAGACGTTGAGCTACCAAACAATCCCATTGTTGTTTTGGCGCTATCTATTTCAGCGTTATTTTAGTGACCAATAATAGTCTGCTGGCTGTCACGGACCAAAATAGACTAGGGCAACAACCGACACGCAGCAGCGCGTTGTAGAAAAGAGAAGGGAACGTATTGTTGTTGCTGCTGTTGTTATAGTCACTGTAAACACTGTCGACTTCCTCAGTTTAATGTTTATTGTATCTCCCTTATTAGATCAATTGGCTCCCAAGTGTCGTAACGTTTTAATATGTAGAAGGATGCTTGGGGACATTATGGTGTGTATAATAAACCATCCTATGAAACGTTGAGAACTACAGAGAACTAGAAAAAAATGACTCTATTGGAAAAATAATAAAAACAATCAAGCATTGGATGCTATAGTACATATTGCAGTGTCTATCTATCTTTAAGATTGTCATGAATGAATTGATGAAGAGCGCTTCCTTGATTGTTTCGACAATAAACACATGGAAAAATGTCTATAAAAAAAACAAAACAAAAAAAAAAAATGAAGAATGATGAATAATAAATAGACTAATTTCAGAACGAATGGATATCCACAAGCGGAGCATGTAAAATAAAG